ACTAGCATGAATACTTTTTCGATGTCTTTCTGCGGTACAATCCCCAATAGGTTCTGCCGCGAAGCTATCGCGTTCGGTGCGGTCCACAAGGCTAATCGGTCATCTGCTCGTACGAAAGGTCGGTAGGGGGATGGTCTTAGTTCGTTTTCGGCTCTCGGTTTTCTCGGAGTTCGCCCGGTCTGGGCTCGCGGTGAGGGGGCGTGCGCGCTGGTTCCGACGCCACGCGTGTCCGCGTCCCTCCCCTTGCCGGGCGCGCCCGCACGCGCGGGCGCGTTTTTGACTCGCGCCGTCTTAGGCATGTGGCACGAGGAAGAGCGCCAACTCGGGCGGGAGCGCGAAGCTCGGTTTGAAGGTCGGGTTGCCGGTCCAGGCGCCGCGAGACACCGGATCTGCGAGGTTGATTTTCGTGTCCACGTACTCCAGCCGGAGCGTCACGTTCCTGGCCATGCAGACCGCTTCGATCCTCTGGATCACTAGATTCACCTGAAAGTTCCTGCTCTTGCCGTTCTCGATGGCGCCGATGACCCCTTGATTGTCGCTCCGGATCCACGCGTCGGCGTCCCTCACGTCCTTCCCCTCCAGCCATAGCACCGCGAGCTCGATTGCCACCGCTTCCGCCCAGCCGATGTCCCTTCCCGCAGTTCGCCACTCCGCCAGGGGGACCCTCCACCGCCAGGCGGCCTCCGCGCCCTCCGCGACGAGTCCCACGCCCCACTCTGAGGACGCGTCCACCCAGATGCCGAAGTCCACGGGCGGGCCGCGCGCAACGAGCTGGCGCGTGATGCCCTCGCGTCCCAGAGTCTCGGTCCACCACTTGATGTCGGTGACTACCGACTTCTGCGGGTAGCGCTCGGCCTCCGGACGCGGGTTGGCCCCGAACTTCGCGATAAAGGCCTGTAGGCTGGGCAAACGCGAGCGGCCCGTCACGTAGACGAAGGTGATGTGTTGAAGCGTGCCCAGGAGACTCTGCGCGTCCTTGAAGCGGAGGCGCGCCTTCTTCTCGCAAACGAGCGCCCTCGTCGCCTCTGTCTTGGCGAGGTACTTGGCCCGCTTCTCGTCGGAGAGGCCGACGCGCTTCGCCGCGATCCACCAGCGGAAACCCGTGTAGTCGATTATGTCGCCGTGGGGGAAGCATTTCGGCGCGCTCCACCGCACCCCGAGCCGGGCTGTAAGCTCGATGATGTCCATGATGTCGTGCCCGTACTTGTAGACGCCTGGCGCGATCTCCTGGAGTGGGTAGCGCAGATTGGCGAGGTCGTCCACCCACTTGTGGTTCCGGCCCATCCCCACGGCCTCGATGACATCCACGACTGCGTCCATCACTTTCCCTTGCTCGCCTGTGCCTGACGAGACACCGAATGGGACCCCATGGTCGATCTCGTACTTGCCCTTCCGCCCTTGAATGACGATGTACGCTTTGTGGCCAGGGTATACTGGTATGTTTCTGAAAGCCGACTCGATGTCCATCGTCGCCCCCTGAGTCCCCGGCGGTGCCGCGATGATCTAGTCACGTCGTTTGGTTAGCCTTCTGGCTCTCGGGTTTGAATCATGCTCCCGCGCCCGACTTGCGCTCTCGCGCATGGCTCGCGCTCTCGCGCCCGACTCATGCTCTCACGCCTGGTTCTCGCTCTCGCGCTCGCGCTCCTGCCTTGCGCTCCCCGCATCCGCCTCGCGCTCCTCGCATCCGCCTCGCGCTCCTCGCGTCTGCCTCGCGCTCCCCGCGCCTGCCTCGCGCTCCCCGCGCCTGCCTCGCGCTCCCCGCGCCTGCCCCGCGCTCCCCGCGCTCGTCCCGCGCTCCCGCGCTCGACTCGCGCTCCTCGCGCCCGACTCGCGCTCCTCGCGCCCGACCTGCGCTCTCCACGCCTGGCTCGCGCTCTCTGCGCTTCCTGAGCCCCCACCCCGCGCGACTGCGCCATGACCTCGGGCGCGCATCTGCGGAGGCCCCATAAGGAAAGTTGTGCTCACCGAGTCTGCGAGGTGCGCCGCTGAGCCCCAGACCGTGGGGAACAGGTCAGAGTCTATCCTCCCGTTGACCGACAGGCCGTACTCGTCCTCCTTCGAACAGTCTTGGATCAAGCGCAGCTTGCCGTTGGCTTTCGGAACCACGGAAAGCGGGGACGAGATGAACGGTCCCTGCAAGATCTCCTCCACTTCCTCGCGCGTGTACGGGCCGGACATGCGCCCGATTTCGCGCTCCCCCTTGATGTAATTTTCGATAAAGTCTGCGTGTGTCTCGGCCCCCGGGTAGTTGTCATGAACAGTCGTGTGCAGGATGGGGGACATGTCGCCAAGAGGGAAGCCTTCGCGCATCCAGCGCGCCAAGAAAGGGTGCTTGTGTCTGATGCCAAGCTCGTCCAGCGCCGACTCCCAAGCGTCCGGATCGTAGGGCGACGTGACGCGCTCACGCACGGGTGCACACGAATTGCGTTGCGGGATGGTCGGGACTACCACAGAAGGTGCACCGGTGGCAGTCGTGCGTGTTCGGGCACCAAGTCGACTTGCAAGGGAGAATTCCGCCCACGTTCCAGGCGGAACAGATCTCGTGGTTCCCGTCGCGTGTGAACAGTTTGATGCCCTTTCCGTAGATGAAGGCGGGTTTGCCGGCAGCGCTGAATTGCGAGTTGCACTTGCTCGCTCGGTGGCCGTCCCTGTTGCAGTTGAGGCAGAACATCCCGCGGCCGAAAGGCTGCCTGCCTTGCTGAAAGGGCCGCTGCTTGTCCTTCCCGCCTGAGCCCCCAGGGTGTCCGCCCCCCGAGCCGCTCCCGTTGGCGTTCCCACCGGAGCTGCCGCCAGCCTGATTGCCGCCAGAGTTGCCACCAGTGTAACCGCTGCCGGCTTGGCCGCCCGGGTAGCCTCCGCCATTGTAGCCGCTCCCGCCGCCCGAGTACCTGCCCCCGTTCCGCTGTCCGCGCGAGTCCGAAGGGGCTGTGCGTCCTCCGGTTGGGTGTGTGCCGACGCCGAAGCTCGTGTACTGGTGACGTGCGAGCATCATTGCCTTCACGTACGTCTGGCTGCCGACGAAGAAGGCTGATTTCTTCCCGGGGGCCTCTGTGAACCAGGTGTAGCGCAGTTCCATGTCGAATGCCCGAAGCGCGGGGAACGAGACCTTGAAGTCGGCCTCGTTTTTGATGTACTCCACGTGCTCGCGCCAACGCGCGATGACCGCTGGCTTCACGACTCCCTCCATACAGCCGTCGAGCATGTTGCGCCAGGCTTCCTCCCAGTCGGCGCTCAGCATCAGACGCTCGTCCGGGAAGGTCGAGATGTCGAGGATGTGGTGTTTCTTCTCGCCGTGTAGGGCTTCTGACTTGATCAGCTTGCGTGCCGACGCTCCGGTCCGCAGGCCGCGCAACGCGTCATTCGTCATAGCCGACAGCGGGATGTAGTAGCCGTGCCGCAGCATGGTCTTCAGGCGCGGGTCCACGGGTGCGCGGTTCTTCGAGAAGATGTCGTCTTCTTCGTCTCCATCCCCGACCAGGGACTCCGCGTCTTCATCGGCATCGAAAGCCGCATCGGCGCCCCCTTCCGAGCCGCTGCTTGAAGGGGGGGGGCTCCCCCCGGGCGGGCTGGTCGGGCTCGCCAACGCAGCCTTCTGCAGGCGCCGCTGTAAAGTCTTCAGGATGACTTCCGCAGCCTTCGCCACGGCCTTCTTGTTCGTGTTCGACTTTGCCGCCCCGGCGCGCTTTTGACGAGCGGACCTCTCGCGCGCGGCAACTTCGCGTGCGGCCTCTTCGCGTGCGGCCTCGCGCGCGGCCTCTTCGCGCGCGGCATCTTCACGTGCGGCCTCCTCGCGCGCGGCCTCCTTGCGCGCCTGGCGCTCCCGCTCTTCCGCCCTCGCGGCCTTCCTCTTCTTCCGCTCTTGCTCGTCCATCACCGCCTGCTCCCTTTCTGCGATGAGCCTTGCTCGCTCCCTGTCGAGGTACTCTTGTTCGGCCTCGGCCTTCTGGTCAATGTACATCGACACGGCCTGGGGCCGAGAATAGCCTTGCTCCATTAGGAGCGCGATGCTCCACTCCTGCACCTCCACCTCATTCGCGCCCTCCTTGAGAGGGCCTATGGGCTCGGCCATGTCATCGTCCAACTCGTCCTCGCCGTACTCGTCCACTGCCATGTCCGTCTGACCATCGGCGTCTCCCTGGTCATCGACATCCTCTTGGCCAGCGTCCTCGTCGATCATCTCCTCGTCGGCCATCTCCTCGATGTGCGCTCCGCCATCTCCGCGGTCTACCCCTTTCTCGGCGTCGATCCGCTCACCACGTGCGGGGCCGCCTGCGCTGCCGCGCGGCCGGCCAGAACCTTCGCCCTCCGCGGTTGCGGGATCCATGCTGACCCGTGGTACCGTGCCTGTGGTGATAGACGATGCGTGCGTGTGATCACCGAAGAAGCTAAGCGATTGCCCGGCGCCAGGGGGAGCCTTCCAGGCTTTGCCGGTGCCGTAAGCTTGAGCTTCGGGCTTTTTCACGCCTTGCGGGTGGTAAGAACCGCTTGTGTTGGGTTGGTTGACCATTTTTGAGCGTTTTCTCGTATTTCTAGTGACTATATGCGCTTTGAGCTGCGTGGGTGCGATGCGGGAGGAGACGAGAGGCGATAGCCTTTAGCGCGCTAGCGCGCGTCTCCCTCATCCGGCAACCACCGGCAACCCACGCCTAGAAAGCACCCGTTCGGCCGAGGCGCTCGTTCCTCGCGCCTCGTTCGAACCTCACACTCCTCAGCGGTACGTCATGTGGCGTTATACGTGCGTGCGGTTGGCATAACGTGTAACGCGCCGCTCCTACGCAGGTATGCCTCATCTCCAAGCGTACTTACTGTCCGTTCGGACTTGGAGTTAGCATTTGAAGTGGGTCTGCTGAAGCCCTCTTGACAGCGTCTGATATGTCAGTGCAAATTCGGAACTTCTGTGGATCTTCAAGGCGCCAGATGACGCTGATTATAAGTAGGGCAAATGTCGTACTACGGTACGAAGAACATAGACACTTCTACCATATACTCTCTTGCTCAACATGTCTCCGCCCAAGATGCTCTACAGTGCGCATCTGCGTCCTTCCATTGAGCTAGCTGACACGTCTTGCAGCTCGCCTCGGGACCTCTGGTCTCAAAATATCGAGGATCATCCTTGGGTGTATGTCGTACGGCGACCCGAAGTGGCAGAGCTGGGTGCTCCCCGAAGACGAGGCGATCAAGCACATCAAATTCGCGTGAGCCCAGACCCCGCGTCGGCGTACAGTTTGTATACTGACGTCACGACTTTCAGCTACGACCACGGGATACAGACGTTTGACACTGCCAACGTGCGTTCAGATGCGGCGCGCGGTCAATGGACACTGTTCTCACAGGTCGTGATTTGCAGTCATACTCGAACGGTCTTTCTGAGACTATCCTTGGCAATGCCATCAAGACTCTCGGCCTTCCGCGCGACGAACTCGTGATCATGACCAAGGTGAGCTGATTTCAGGCGTTACGAACGTGGATAGTCACCGATTATACCGCTGCCCGGATTAGGTGTCCTCTCCTGTCATGGCGGAGACCGGGATAGACTTCTACGCAACGGGTAAAACCGCCGAAAAATTCGGCAACATCAACCAGCACGGGCTGAGCCGCAAGGTACTTCACGAAGTTTCATTGATATACTTCCTTCTTACTGAATACCGCTCTTGGGAGTAGCATATCTTCGACTCTGTGAAAGCGAGCCTCAAACGCCTACAAGTAGACTACATCGACGTACTTCAATGTGAGTTCCTGCGTACCCAGATATACTGATAATGTCCAACACTTTAAGAACAGGCCATCGCTTCGATTACAGCACCCCAATCGAAGAGACAGTGGGTGTCCTAGGTTTCTGCACCTTCACCCACAGTGCTAACGTGTTATCGAAGATGCATGCACTGCACGATGTCGTTAGCTCGGGACTCGTGCGCTACATCGGGATGAGCTCGTGCTATGCTTATCAGTGTCCGTCCTCCTCCACGCTAACGCACTTCGCTCATGACTAACCTTCATGAGCAGTTCATCAAATGCAGAGTGCGTCCACGCAAGCACACCCTTAGATGAGGCACTGACGCTGATTTCTCACCGCAGACTACAACATCCAGAACGGCTTAACGGCCTTCATCTCCTTGCAAAACCACTACAGCTTGCTCTATCGCGAAGAGGAACGCGAGATGTTCCCGACGCTCAAGGTAAGCTGTCACACCCGGCCCCTCCGTCTTCGCGTCATCCAACCCTCCTGGCACAGATGTTCGGTGTCGGAGCGACCCCCTGGTCTCCGCTCGCCCGCGGCGCACTGGCCCGTCCTTCCAACGTCGAGTCCACACGGGGAGGTTCTGACCGGTCCGTGCCTGCATTCGACGTCCCGACGAACATTTCCTGATCCGCGCGCAGGTTGCTCGCGTGGTACCAGAGCGCAGCCTCGGAGAGTATAGTCTCCCAGTACGTCTCGCCCGATGCGCGTCGAGCTCGAGCTCCTTAGGCGTGTTGAAGCTGATCGCACGACGATGACGTCAGTGTCGAAGAGCTGGCGAAGCGCAAGGGCGTGAGCATGGCGCAGGTTGCGATCGCGTGGATGCTCTCCAAGGAGGGCGTCTCGGCACCGATCGTGGGCTCGACGAGCCTCGAGAACCTTGAAGACATCATCGGTGTGTGTTTCTCGATGTGCCGTATCGAATGAAGTGTCCTGAGTCTTGCGTTAGGGGCTTTGGACGTGAAGCTCGCACCGGATGAGATCGAGTATCTCGAAGAACCATACGCCCCGCAAAAGGTGGTCGGGCACTGGTAACTGAATCACGGCAACGGAAGTAACAAATCAGCGCCTTGTTGATTCCCCGCCACTGTAGTACACCATGCTGTCCAGGCCATAATGATCAGTAAACCTCTGAGAATATATGACATATGTCATTGAAACCTTGCCGCGTGCAAATACGGACACTTTAACTAACAGTGCCCTCTACTTCTCCTCACCAGTGGCCGAGAGTCTTGAGCGGAGTATACGGCTCCTCGAGGTACTTCATCTCCTCCTCGCTGAGCTTCACGTCCAACGCCCCGAGGATGTCCTCGAGGTTCGACAACCGCGTCGTGCCGACGATGGGCGCGGTCACCCCCGGCTTCGCCAGGATCCACGCCATCGAGATCTGCGCCATGCTGACGCCCTTCTTATTCCCGAGCTCCTCGATCCGCCGGGTGAGCTCGGGGAGAAAGGGGATGTCGTACGCGCCTTGGAAGCTGCAGGCCGGGGGTCGGTGGTCAGGCGGCGGTGGGGTGGACGGAAGCGACTCACGCGTCTTCTTTGCTCCGCACGGTCTTGATGCTCACCGAGTGGGTGAGGAGGCCGCGGCCGAGCGGGGACCACGGGATGGACCCGACGCCGAACATCTGCGAGCGATGGCACGAGGCCGTGAGCGAAAGGATGGAACGCGAACCCCCGTAGCGGAGTCGATGCCCACCTTCAGCGTGGGGAACATCTCACGCTCCTCTTCGCGGTACAGCAAGCTGTAGTGGTTCTGCATTGACACGAAGGGCGTGAGGTTGTGCGTGATCGCGTAGTCTGCGGGAGCGTGTCGTCAGTGTATAAAGCATGCCGGATCAGATAGAGACACACTCTGCATGGCGTGGAACTGGTAGGCCCAGCACGAGCTCATGCCGATGTAGCGCACGTAGCCGGCTTTGACGACGTCGTGCAGTGCTTGCATCGTCTCTTCGATAGGAGTGTTGTCGTCGAAGCGGTGGCCTGCAGCCAAAGCTGAGTCAACGCGTCGCTGTCTGCTATGGACATGCTAATCACACTGAAGGAGGTCGATGTGGTCGAGCTGCAGGCGTTTAAGACTAGCCTTCACAGAGTCAAAGATGTGCTGCGGCCAGTCACGAATGTCAACTGCTGGGGAGGGTACGAGTCATAATCGAAGATCGACCGACCTTCCTGTTGAGACCCTGCTGGTTGATGATGCCGTGGTCCAGCGGGTTCACGCCCGGGACCCAGAAGTCGAGGCCAAACTCCTTCGCTATCGGGAAGTATAGCTTGGTCATGATCACGAGCTCATCGCGGGGGAGGTTCAGCTGTTTGATCGCCTTTCCGAGTATGATCTCGGACAATCCGTTTGAGTATGTCTGTGCACCTGGAGTGAGCGGCGCATGTAGACCCTACGGGCACGAACATGGCGTACGTCTGCAGTGTCGAATGTTTGGATGCCGTGGTCGTATCTGTTATGCAATGTCGATGAGCATGCCGGCCCGGGGTGTGTGAACGGATTCCCACAGAACGAGAGAGGTACTCACGCATACTTGATGTGCTTGATCGCCTCCTCCTCGGGCAGCACCCAGCCTTGCCAGTCGGGTGTTCCGTATGACATGCAGCCGAGGATGATCTTGGACACCTTCAGCCCCGAGGAGCCCAGACGAACTGCGGGCGTGGGGTTAGTTTCCGGCGAACTTTACGTGTTGAGATAAGAGCGCACCGTACGGCATCTTGGGAGTCATGATGATTTACAAGTCCAAGGGAGAGTGAGAGCGATCTTGGGCGTAGCGTCCGGCATATATAGCTGCTGTACGGTGCGTGGGCATAACTGCGCTACTATGCTTCTGCGCCATCCGACCGGGGGATTCGACGGTGGGTGCGATGATGTCAGCGTTATCCGACCGGGGGATTCAATGGTGACCGAGGCTTTCTAAATATATAGGAGGTTGTACTAATCAGATTCCGATCGTGGAACATCGTCCATCGAGGTTCTTCGAGTCGATCGAGAAAGGATCAACACTCACTTAGGATGTAAGCACTGGTGAGAAAGGCCATGCCTCAAAGGCTGCGGATTGTGTTTGTGTGTGACGATTTTGCTGCCCGAGCGCACGTCCGAGGAGTCGGAAGAAATGACAAAGAAACGAACTCAACTGCTCATAGACCATAGCTCTTACGGAAATGTAGAAGCCATCCGCGCTATGTCACTCGCACGATCTTCGCTTTGTCTCGTGTTTGGACGATGAAGATGGGAGTTGGAACGTTGAACGTTGACGTCGAGAAACAAACAAGGTACGAGAGCCGCCTGATTAGACGCCCGTGTCGGAAACTGCAGTGCTGACTAAGCGGAGTCTTGCGGACGGGATGTCTCTGGCTTTCCGGCGCGACTCGCGAGTGCTTGAGCTCGTACTTGTCCCTCCCCCTCGCGGATACTTCATTATCGGTCCCATTAGCCTGCAATAGAGCGGGTAAGCAGGCTGCGGTGGAGGTTGTCCTGTCTTCGACCAATCAGTGACCATCGTCGTCACTGGCTCAATCGTGGCCTCCTGAAGATGGCCCGAACGTCCGCTGTGAACGGACATTCTCAAAATACTGCCTGCAAGCCGCACATCCCGCAACATTTTTGTACTGTAGCGCCTTGAGCAATCTCCAAAGGTTTCGTACAGTCACTTCGCGGTGAGTACATATAGCTACCGTGCATACTATGCCAATATCGAGTGCGCTGACTCGAAAAGCCTCAGATCACCTCGCCCCTCGGACATGAACGCCAACTCTCCACCGACAGTGCCGCTCTTGGGCGTCGTTCTTGATTCCGGTCCGCCCGTAGGCAGCACGGACTACACGACTATCGTTGTTGTCCACGGACTGATGTGGCGCGGAGGTGAGATCTTGAGATCCCCGTACTTCGAGTTTGAAATCTCTGACCGCGATTTTCGCGCAGAGGGGTTTCAGAAGCTGCTTCCTATATCGGCACGATACAACGCCTGTACAATCGCGCTCGCTCGGCGTGGATACCCAGGATCCGCGTCATATTCTGAAGAAGAAATCTCCGTATTGAAGCGCCTTTCCACCGCATCCCCTGACTCAGCCGAAACAACTCAGGAAGTCGACGACTTTCTCAAACAGCAAGCGCGCGAGCTGTACGACACCCTCGCGGACTTCGCGAAACGTGAGAACATCCCGCGCGTGCACGAGGACAAGAAGGGCGGGATCGTCGTCGCCGGCTGGTCGTACGGCTCGCGCCTCATGCTCGCGTTCCTCGCACACGCGCACTCCTTCGCGCCGTCCCACGGCGCCGATCTTCTCACTCATCTCCGTCGCGTCATATTCTATGGTACGCTTCCTCGCGCCCAACGTAGCCCCGACTCCATGGAAGGTTGACCTGGACGTGTACGCACAGATAGCTCCTTCATGGCGTTCGGGTACCCCTCCCCGCCTGGGGGCTCGCATCCGCTGCACCAGTCTCTGAACGCGTCAGCAAGCCCCACCGAGCGCCTCGAGCGCTTCCACGCCTGGGTCACCGGGTACTACGCGCACCGCAGGCCCCGCTCTCCCGCCGCCCCATCCACTGAAGAAACGCAGGAGGATGGGGAAGGGGAAGGGGAAGGGGATGAAGGATTCGTGTTCGACGGCGCGGTCGCGGACTCGCCGCTGACCACCGCGGAGCGCGCCGCGCTCGTGTGGGAGCCGCCAGGGCGCGAGCCGGACAGGAGCGACACGCTCGTCGCGCGGATGAGCGCGCGCTCGGGAGCGTACGCGCGGATGAGGCGCGCGGTCATGTTTGGGGGAGGGAGAGAGGGCGGGACGGATGGGAGCGGGCTGGCGCGTGCGAGGGCGGAGTGGTGGACGCGTGTCGAGGTGCGGGTCGTGTGGTGCGAGCGCTCGATCTGGCCCGCGGTGTGGGGCGCGATGTGCGTCGCGCGGGAGGTGGAGGGGGCGAAGGGGGCGGGGAGAGCGGTGCGGCCGGTCGTGATCGTTCGGGTTCGGGATGCGAACCATTTCGTGAGTGGGTCTCTTTCGCGCGCCGGATGGAGACCTGACGCGATTTGCAGGCCCACTGGGACTATCCGGAACGAACAATACAGGCATTCTTGGGCGATGAAGAGGACGTGAAATAGTCCGGCACGAAGAAAGGCAGGCGATACTTCAAACGAGTAGTGATTCAGTGGAAGCAGAGATACGTGTTCGGCGACATTGACATACATGTCTATGGTATAAAGACGGAGCGGCCCGGCGAGGGAGGTACTGTTACAAGAATTTGAACCCGCTCGGATCAGTAGCGAATCAGTTGACAAGCGCAAGGGTCGAGAAAAGCTGGCATACTAGTACATTATATAAACGGTGCCCCGAGTCTACCCATGGTCCTGATTGCGTCGCGGAATGCTTCGCCAGAGATCTATGTCATATGGTCCAATTGAGGGGGTAGGTGCAGAGTGGCTCTCTGCTTTGACTCGTTCGTAAGGCTCGCGCGCGTACCGGAGGTCTCCGAAGTCCGGAAAGTCAACTCCGGGCATCCCGGCGCTCTATAGTTCGATCCCGCGCTATGTCTTTTTGTCTTTTTTCGCCGCTTGCAAGTTCCCCGCAGCTACCGCAGCTACATATACACAATCGTAAGGCTCGCCTAAGCCATGATCAAGGTCCTTTTGAGCGACATGTTTTGCTCCCTGCCGTTGTCATTGGGTTTCAGCACTTCACCTCGCATCGATTGTTCGCCTTGAGCCGCCTTGGCAATCGCCCATATGAGCCGACTTGGTCTCCGCGAAACTATGGCTACTCATGACGCCCACCGCCAAGCGCACTACGTAAGTCATGCTTCTAGAGTTACATTTAGTAACGACGATCGACTCCGTCCCATGCACATGCACGTGTTCCGACAATTACCACCGGCGGATATAGCCTTCTGAGGCGTTAGAGAGGCTTCTCGGTCTCGGACTCAGTTGCATCGTGCCTGAGAACTAACCATCGGCTGTCCTTCCAACGCTGCAACACGAGGTCCATCCGTGGCTGTTGACACTAGCTAGTAGTTCGCTTTCTATCCCCCTCACCATCATGCCCAGTCACGAAACCAAAGCTGCAGTGAGATCAGAAAGGACGAGAACGAGATGGTATTCCGTACTTGCAAGCGACGAGAGCAAGAAGACATAGTGACGATAGCTAGCATTAGTGAGAGATCGTGAAATACGAGGGGCGGGAGGCAAATGTCCTTGATGGCGCTGAGCACATCATTCAACTGCGGGGTGGTCGACGCCGGGTGGAGCGTCGCCTCTCTTGGAAGTCGTGAGAGGCGGCGACGAAGACGAAGACGACGCGGTGGCAAACTCGCAGGGTTGGCGGCGTTGGATGCATTGTCTGCAACATACCAAATCGAGTGATCAGCGTTTCCGTCCGCGCATCCAGAAAAATGTGCCGAAGAGAACGAGACGAGCAGCCTGAACCCCGGAACGCAATCGCGCGCAGCGCATGCCGCTCGCAGCTCCAGTACGTGACACGTACCCTCCCCATTGGCGTGCGCGCGCGCGTCCGCACCGACACCGGACATGACGCGGATGGCGTTCATGGCGCGCACTCTCCGCGCGCGAGCCTGAGACGTAGGCTGCTTCCGTGCGAGCATCCTGATACCGCAAAATTGCGGCGTGGGACGGATCGGCGCGAGATGGCGAGCTCGGGCGGCCGACGGGGCTCGCGCGACCTCTGATTGCCTCGCGGTCGCCTGATAGACTTCTGGAGACCCTCGCGCTCTCAGGTCGCGCGTCACTGGTGATGCAACTGCCGTTCTCCCGGTCCTAGCGCACCCTCTCTAGCCGTCGCTGGGCGCTGAGTGTGGACGCCCGGACAGCGCCCGCGCCCCGTGCCACGATCGACGCCGCGCGCAACAAGCACCGCGAGCGTGATCGAGGTGCACCGCGCCTATGAAACTCGGGCAGACACGGAAATGCAGCAGAACGCGAGTATAAGAGAGCGCGCAAGGCGAGCACAGAGAGGCAGCAACCCTCCCCGACTCTCGCCTCCGGACGACCACGACCACCGACCACGACCACCGACACCTCGCCGACGCCAGAGCACCAAGAGCGGAAGAAGGACCGACACTCACCCGCACCGCCGCGACTCGTCCCCCGCCAAGGGGCCCCCGCACGCGATCTTGCGCTTCCGGCAGAAGGCGCACGCCTTGTTCGTGCTCGCCAGGCGCTTGTGGCGCGTCTTCGCCTCCAAGGGCTCGCGCAGCTCCGAGCTAACCAGTTGCAGGAGGCCCGCGCTGCCAACGGAGACGTTGATGCGCCGCGCGGTCGTCGGCGAGTAGACGAACCGCGCGCGGGGCGTGTCCTCGTTCGGCTCCGTCTTGGGTCCACCGCCTGCCGACGTCCAGTTCGACGTCGGAGGCGCGGCGTGGTGCGGGAGGAGGCGCCGCTGCGTCTTGGGCCTTTCGTGGGGCGGGACGCGCGCCGCGCCGCCGGGGGTGGCAGTGGCGTCGGGCGCGGCCGTGAGGTGAGATGCGGCGTTGTAGAGATGCTGTGGCTCGTTCGGGGAGTGGACGATGTAGTAGGGGGGCGGGAGGAGCGCGGTGGCGAGCTCGGAGAACCCAGAGAGCGGTGTGCTCCACGCGGCCGCCTCGAGGGGCACGTAGTAGCTAGAGTTCGGGGTCGGGGAGCGCGAGTCCGCGTGTGCGCCATCGTCGGTGGGCAGGTGGACCGCCGGGTGAGACTCGTGCATGGGGCTTCCGTGATATGACGGTCCGGCGCGCGGTTGCTGTGAGCGGCCTGGTCAGCTAGTTCTCTCTGGGACACAGAAGGACAAAGACCGACCTCGGAGACGAGCGCCGCAGGCTGCGCCACTTGGCCAGAGCTGCCGCCGGGGTCGTCTTTGTTTCTTCTGTGTTTCGGAAGATCGTGGCTTCCAAGCGGCACAGGAACAGAGCGTTGAGACGCGGGGGATGTTGTGAAAATGGGGACGTGAGTGGTCGTGGTCGGAATGGGTGGGATTAGATGGGGCTGGCCGGCAAGGTCGTTGGGTGGGGGCGCTTCGAGCGTGTAGTACTTGTTGGAGATGGCCGATGGCGGGACGTAGTGCACGCATATGGGTTCGTCGTACACCAGTGACGGTGTGCCGTAGAACGAGTTCTGCTCCTACAGTCAACATAGCGTAGAGAGCGCATGTGGAATGATACGCACGTCATCCTCGACGTTGAACTGAGCCATGCCGGTAGCGACGTTTGACGAATGCGGTCCCGTAGAGCTAGAGCTGAGCTCGGGGCTGTAATACATGGAGTGCGGAGTCGAAAAGTAGTAGGGAGTGAACCAGAAAGGGAACGAGTGCACTCCGCCTGCGCCCCGTCGACATATTTATTTCGTGGGCCGATCGCCACTGAAGACCACGTTGCTTGGTCCCGAACCAAAGTGCGTGCATGTCACCACAGAGAGCGCTACCGGTCCAGAGGAGACTGGGGGAGACTAGACCTCTTTTGAGACGGCGATGTGGTGCTTACCGAGAAGAGGTTCGGCGACCCTGAGCTAGCTATGCATCGCCTATGCGGCTCGAAGGGAGGTAGCTGCCATGCCATTAATTGCTGGGTCACGCTTGGAAGCCTGTGTGTTATGGTGCGCGCGGGGCAAGTCTAATCCTGGATGATGATGATGATGATGATGCATTTGTGCCAGTACTGTAAGTATCTTCGTAATGCTAGGTAAAGTCTAATCCTGGAGGAAGGTTTGATTTTCGGAACGCACCTGTGAGCGATGCTAGGGAGAATTCAAGGACGCGCAGGTTGACGTCGAGATTCCAGGCGTGCGTGCCCACTCAATGGTCGATCGGATGACTATCAAAGCCAAATAGATTCGGCTCTCCGTTGGCACCCGCCGGTGCGGCTCCAGGCATATCGCTAGCCAACGCTATTCACCATGATCCCCAAGACGCGGGCAGTACTCGTTTGTGCACGCCCACCAATGAAGCGCATCCGATATTTCAGTGCTGATATGCAGTAGGGGCGCATTTGAACACATTAGGTATCGCACTGAAATAGCGCAACGCGCGGGGATTTACGTACGAGATATGCCGGTATGTCGGTGCCATCGAGCCCGTCAGAGGGTGGCGAGGGTGAGATCGAATCAAGATTGGGATTAACAGAGGTCCTGGTTAAACTTGAATCTGAGCCTCTCGTGGGAGGATCTTCAGTTCACAAGGGAATGGTGTTCATCGCATGCAGCTGTGATCCTAGACGGCGGGAGACTGTGCTGGCATTGATCTTTCGCAAACGAAGTTGAGATATAGGGAAGCTGCCAGATGATCCGACAGTCAACACATACCCTGGAGAACGAACCTCTTCATCACGAGCCCAAACACCCCGAGTGATAGATCGCTGGCGAGACGGAATGACTTCGAGGAAAGGGAACGAACTTGGCGGTCCAGGCTGCAACTGGCCGAGGTACGGCGTCACTGACAGGCGCCATGAGAGATGTGGGCGTGAGCATGTCACATATCACGTGAAACGTGACAGTCGTGCTTCCGACGAGCTCGGCTTAAGCCAGGAGACGGTCGGAAGAGTCGGTACAAGGTGGATACAAATCTCGCGCTCTTCTGGATATATTCACGCCTCAGTCCTTCTCCATTCCCCAGCGAACGAAAGGGCGAAGAGGAAGTCACAGTGGGATCATGGAGGAGTACTAGTCTAAGTGAGGGGCCACTACTAGTTGCGCAATGCGCATCTCCCCAACGCGCGCGGTCGCGCTCACTGAGAAGCCACCACCGCCGCTCGACGCCATCCGCGCGCGCGCGCGCCTCCTCCGCGACGCGACCTCCCTCCCGCACGGGGCCACGCTCGACTTTGGCTTCGGCGTCCGACACCACGCCCTCCCGCGCTCGTTCGACGCGGGACGCTCGCAATCGCGACCCACGCCGTCTTCGAGGACCCGCACGCCGCGCACGCTCGTCGCGTACCCGCGGGTGGTCGATTTCAGTCTTGGTCGTCCTGTTCTCATAGCCGGGCGTCGTGCCTAGGCTTCTCCTACGGGAGCGTGCGGGCACCATGGCGCCGCGAAAATCCCGTCAGGGCGACATTCACAAAATATCATGCATTCTGTACTCGTCCAGCACGTCCGATCAGGAGTACAGTATTGGAATTTCAGCGTTTCGACACGCACCAGCCTACGCGAGGTTGATACATGTCACCTTGAGAAACATCTCCGGGTCCTTGTCGCCAAAGCTCGCAGTGGGGTAGGCCACGCTCGCGAGATTCCAAACGAACCCCTTTGAGCCGCGTTCGAAGCGGAAAGAAGCGATGAGCGACGACAAGACGACCTCTGCAGGACAAACCTGGTGAGAAGCGGAGATCTCAAGGGAAAGAAAGCGCGGAGACTCACTCATCTCGAGCTGCGAGAACTTGAACCCGCTGGGATCGGTAGCACATCAGTTGTGACGTGCAAAGTTGGAAGAAAAATCGGGCATACATGCACGAGTACCCTCCGCCGCCGAACGAGAATCTGCAAACACACCGTGAGCAGAGTCCTCAGGCAGGGAAACATGCTGTCGACACTAACGAGTTCGCGTAGATCCCGGGAATGCGTGCTTCCTCGACCGCGGTTGGGAGCGGACGGAGCCACCGGTCCGGGTTCCACTCGTACGCGTCGTCACCCCAGAGCGCTTTGTTCGTGTTGCACGCGACGATGTTCGTGAGGACCGTCATGCCCTTCGGCACCGCAATATGGTCGATGCCGTTCACAGGCTCGCTGAGCGGGAGGACGGTGTCTTGCTTGGCTCTGTTGCGCGCCACTGATAAACATGCTTTTGAACTCGAGATAAAGAGCGTTCACTCACTCTCGCAGCGAGAACGAGACCGAAGGGTGCCTATCAGATAGAGAGCCAGTTCAAAATATCGGGAGTTCAAGAGGACACAGGTACTCACACTCGCATTGTCTCACGACAGACCGCGTCCAGGTAGGGCAGCGCGCTCAGCTCGTTATACGGGATCTCCTGCCCGTAGTGCTCGCGAGCCTCGAGCACCTCGCGCCGGAGCCGCTCTTGGGCCTCCGGGCGAACCGACAGAATATCAAGCGCGCGCGCGAGAGCGTTCGATGTTGTGTCCACGCCTGCCACGATGAACGTCCTGCCAGAGTGTCAGCTCGTTTGAACACCCAAAGAGGTAAAGGATGGACGTACGCTATCTGCGCCACCAACTCCTCCTCAGGAAGCCTGTCATCCTCAGAAGCCGCCATGTTCTCGCGCACTACATAGGCCTTAGCCCAGTCGAAAACGCAAAGAGGGTAGAAACAAGCTTACGCAAGACGCTCATGACGTCCTTGCCCTCCCCAATCTGGTGCAAAAGCGCCTCGTCTCCCCGCTCGATCGCCTTCTTCTTCTCCGCAACCAGCCTCTTCGCAAACGCGTAGATGATCTCCACCTTGCGCCGCACGCTTTGCACCGCCGGGTCCGGCCAGAGTCGCACGACAAGCCTGCGCAGCCACGACGGGCCCCGGACGTCCTTGACGAGTGTAAGGAGCGCGAAACCGTACGTGACGTCGGCGGTCGACGGGCTGCATGAGGCCGATGTCCACGTCAGCGAATCGCGAGGATGGAGACGAGTGAACGCGCACAAGAACGACTTGACGTTTTCCGTGAACTCGTCTTTCGAGTCCTCCACGAGCGGGTCGAAGCTGTGCCCGAGCGCACCCTGGCCGACGAGCTCGAGCGCGGCGCGCCCCATCCAGCCCGCGACGTCGAGCTCCTCTTGCCCGGCGCGGACGCGCGTGGCCATCGCGGATTCCAGCTTCGAGCGCGCGCGTGTGAGCATACGGCTCTGCTACGAGCGAGGAGGGTGTGATCCGATGCGCACCTTGCGGACGATCTGGTAGAAGAAGGGCGTGATTTCGCGCATGTACTTCGCGGAGAAGACGGGGTTGAGCATCTTGCGCTGGCGCCGGTGTGTCTCGCCTTGTGTTGAGAGCAGCCCCGGACCGAAGAGGGCCAAACCAGCCCTGGAGGGGTCGATAGAGATGAGCAACGAGGCTGGGGAACTGCAGAAGTGACGAACTCTATCGACACGTCGCTCCTCGACCAGATGTCTTGATTTTTGATGTAAATGGTGTGCATTGCCTTCGGGTCGTACGTCAGGAGTCCCTTTGCCTGTGATATAAAAGGTGGGGTTATAGAATGAAGACGGAGTTCGGGGAAGAATTTACTCCAAAGAGGCTGTGGATGAGGCACGTTGGGCCATATGCCTCCGATAGGCCTCGAACGTAATCCCAGGCGTCGCATTGAAATAGTTTGCCGATGTTACCTGGGGGCTCATGTTAGCTGGATACGAGATGATGCTCGCCCGCGTACCTGTGACCCATGATACAGACTCCGGTCCGGGAAGTTGCTCAAGTTGAGGTCTGGGGATAAAAAGCCCGCGCACGAAACGCAGTCCGATGTATCCTGTGATCGCCGTGAACGCTATGAGTAGCAGCGAAGAGGTCATGGTGGGAGAGATGGATCACGAGAACCCTGCGCGAGCTCGGTATACGTATATATACCCTGTGCCGTCAAGGAAGCAGATCGTAGTCAAAGAAGCAGGTCGCAGTCAAAGAAGCAGAGCATTCGGAGTAAGAGCGGTGATGATTGAATAATAGCACGCTCATGGGCGCGAAGTGCGAACAAGCCCCGCGATACGGGCCGATCTACGAGATGATTATATCATTCCCATGAGGCAGATGCCAGAGGAGGTTCTTATGCGAGGGAGACCTTTAGCACCATCTCGGGTTCCGTGTTCCCAACCTTGGCGGCCGGGTATGTGACGCCGGCAGAGTTCCAAAAGAACGGTTTGTCCGACCGCTCGAAGCGGAAGGACGCAATAAGCGTAGAGAGCACGATCTCTGCGATGAACATAGTTAGCTGTGCGGTGCGCCCACAAGAACGGCAGCACAACGCACTCATCTCGAGCTGAGAGAACTTGAACCCGCTGAATGGGGAGATATAATGAGTCAAATGCACGATGAGGCAGCGCGTTGACGTACATGCAACCATGTCCACCCCCGATGAAGGTCATCCTGGTGAGGATCATCAGCGATGAGACCTTGGGGATGTGTATATTCCGACTTACTGGTTCGAATAGAGGCCCGGGATGCGCGCGTCTTCGAGAGCCTTGGGAAGCGGTTGCAGCCACCTCTCCGGCTTCCACTCAAAAGCGTCTTCTCCCCATAGCGCCTTGTTTGTGTTGCAGGCGCTAACGTTGACTATCACTGTGGTATTCTTCGGTACGATGATCTCCGACATTGGCGACCCGTCCTTGCCGACCACAGGGTCCGAGAGTGCGAGAGCGACGTCCTCCTGAGATCTGATGGCGATTTGTCAAACACAAACCGTACAGAACAGAGATAAGACGCACTCCCGGATGACCATTACAACGGGAGGGAACCTGGGATGTCGTCATCTTTGATAAATCTCCGTGACATATGCGTAGGAGGAGTACGTACAGGCGGAGGGTCTCACGGCAGACAGCGTCGAGGTACGGGAGCGCCATCACCTCGTCGTACGGAATATCGTTGCCGTATTGTTCCTTTGCGTGCCGAACTTCCTCGCGGAGACGCTCTTGCACTTCAGGGTACTGCGACAACTGATCGAGCACGCGAGAAAGAGCGTTGGAAGTAGTATCGACGCCCGCGACGATGAAGACTCTGTGATTCGTCAGGCAAACAAAGAGAGGGAATAGCACGGAGAAAATATTTACGACATTTGAGCCAGAAGCTCAACGTCCGGAAGGCGATCTTCTTCAGATGCGACCATGTTCTCCCGCACTGTAAAGCTGCGTGAGATTTTGGTCGGCGGTGGCAGATGTCGCAGAAACTCACAGAGGATGCTCATCACGTCCTTTCCCTCTGCGATCTGGCTCATGATCTCCCCCTCGCCCTTGTCGATCCGCGTCCTCTTTTCCGCAAGCATCTCTTGCGTGCGTGCGTAAATGAAGTCCACGTAGTAACGCATCCGTTGCACGTTCGGGTCAGGCCACAAGCGAACCGCGAGGCGGCGAAGCCACCGCGGTCCAACACCCTGAACCAGAGGGAGGACGGCGAGCGCGTACAATACGTTGGGGATGGAGGGTCTGATCGAAGTGTTAGTATCGTGATCAAGCGGAAGGGGGCCGCAACGCACACCATAGACTTGACTGCCGCAGTGAACTCGTCCTTCGAGTCCGTGATGAGAGGGTCGAAGCTGTGTCCGAGCAGGCCTTGTCCGACGAGTTCAAGCGCGGCGCGGCCCATCCAGCCGACCATGTCGAGATCGGTGGGTCCGTCGCGAACACGCGTTTCGATGGCGCTCTCCAGCTAGCACAGGGTTTTGTGATTTGGAAGACCGCGATCGAGATACAATACACACCTTGTTCACTATCTCATGGAAGAAGAGCGTGATTCCGCGCATGTACGCAGCGGAAAACACCGGGTTTAGCATTTTGCGCTGCCGGCGGTGCATGGCGCCTTCGGTTGACAGAAGTCCCGGGCCGAGAAGTGTATTTCCGATCCTTAATAAGCTAGTTGAGTTTTAAGCAGCACGGCGGGGGAAACAAGTGACGAACTCCCGACTGAGCGTGCTACGTTGAAACACCTCTTGTTCCTTGATGAATATTGTGTGCAGCGCTTTGACATCATAGGTATGAAGCGCGCGCGTCTTCAGGTGTACAAGGTCAGCGATCTTATTCCCCTTCGAAGAGACACCAAAACACCCACTCCGAAGAAGTCGTGTACGAGGGAGACAGGGCCGTAGTCAACGACGAGCTCCTGCATAAAGCTCCAGTTGTCCATGCTAAATATTTGGAGCATGTTCCCTGTTGCTATCGCTTCAGATGATGTCCTCACGATGCGCAGCAAACGCACCAGTGAAGAACGAGTCCCTAGGGAGTCCACGTATGTTGTCGAGAGGAGAGCGCGAGAGTAGGCGTCGTGCTACCCCCCATGACGTGTACAGTAATGTGGCCGCCAGGCCCACATAGGCCGCTGAGGAAATAGCGGGCATGAGGAGTTTGGTGGACTGGAGTCTGTTATGAAGGGCAATAGTGGTCGAATCTGCCCCCTGCGGATCCCAAGCAAGCCTGTATATACGCACGTACGCGAGAACACCCGACGCGATCCCGAGTTCCGACGGCGCAGCCAGTGACTATGATGAGTTTGAGTTCGAGCTTTGATGCCTCACGAGGCCTCGGTCGAAGATGCCAGCAAAACGATCACGGTTGACAGTTGGAGCGATGGTCGTGCCAGGGCGGTGCGCGGGCGGGTTCCCCCGATGCGCCGCCGCGTTTACCCGACGCTGACCTGACACTCACTCTATGTTAGCATAGTCACTTCCCGACCCGCATAGCACATATCGGAAGGGTGCACGAGGGTATGCTGTGCACGCTGAAGTGGAAGAGGAGGAGACGTTCGACTTGGATCAAACGAGCGAAATGCACACTGGGCCGCAAGGCGCCCGAGATAAGATGTCTTTGGCGCTTGTGCCTCCGATGCTGCGGAGCGCGTGGTCGAGTCACCGGACAACGAATCCGATGACCAATCTCTCTTACGCCGACTCAATGTGCTCGAGTCGCGCCGACGATTCAGGTTCATTGAAAGACACAGCCTGGTAAGTACTAAGCACATCAGGCCTATCATCAACTTCGCGCACTGGCGAACTTGACTCGCGGCCCGCCACCGAGGGACATCAGTAACTTCCAAAATCCCTGAATCCCTGGGTCCCTGGATTTCAGAGATTTCAGGAATCCAGGGGAATCGGGACCATACAGGACGCACAGGGCGGCACAGGGATCCAGGGTGCCCGGTGCGCGCAGGGATTCAGGCGGCGGCGGCGGCGGCGGCCTAGGGATGGGAACACAGATAAGAATAGGTATACAAAGTGTTCTAATGTACACGTCAAGCGCAGAAGGTAGTGTTCGCCGTCACGTTCCCGGCGCGGCCACTGCTCAGTGCTCACGACGCTCAACCAGCGCGACAGCTCCTCTCACGAGGGCGTGGACTGCCCGAAGGAGCGTGAGTTGAGCGAGCGACTGACTGGCGTCATACTGCTTCGTGCGCAGGAACGTGGGGGTGACGTCGAGTGCGTCGATCAGGTCGCGGTGCTGGCAGACCCAGAGTGCGGTCGCGTCGAAGTTGACGAGGCACTACTGCACACACTGTTAGCGGGGGCGGGCAGGCGGGACGGGGCGCACGGCAGACCTTGTGGAAATTGGTGCAGAACGAGTTTGCGTGCTCATTGATGGCAGCGAGCTGGCTCTGCTCGCGGTACTCGGGGCAAACAAAGGATATGCCGGCCCACGCGGCGTCGACGTGCAACCAGATGAAGGGGTAGTCTTTCACTGGACGCGGTCGGCATGATCAGCAACCACGGCGCTCTGAGAACCGTAGGCCCCGCACTCACGGATTTGCCCGATTTCGTTGACGCGGTCCATCGCGCCCGTGTTCGTGGTCCCGACGGTCGCGACTGCGCGATTCAGCAGGATCAATAAGAGGTTATGGGAAAGTGCTCACCGACCAGGAACGGACACTTTCACCAGGCGATGTCCTCCTCCACCGCCTCGCGCACCATCGCACCCCCGGGCAGCGCGAACCCATCCTCCGCGCGCACCTACAGGTCGTGCACCTTGAGGCCGAGGACGAGCGCCTCCTTCACGCCGAGCCATGCCAGTCGCCTCATAGTACAGCCAGAAGCGAGCAAGGTCGGCGAGCGAGATGAGCACGGGGCGGCCGTGGATCATGAGCACATCGGGGGAGCGGGCGAGGTGCTCGACGGTCGCGCGGAAGAGAAGTTTGCATTGAAGGGCGAAGATTGTAGGAAGGCGGAGACGTGCGCGCACGCCCAAATCGGGCGTGCGGTGGTGAACTCCCAGTTGACGATGCACGTCTTCAGGGCGGCCAGTGAGTATGACAAGATTGAAGAGAACGGGAGCGACAACACGTACGATCTTCGAGTTGTCATTCTCGAGGTTCAGATCGTAACAGTCGATACCTGCGCGACCCTCACCGGCACCCGTGACCTGCGCGGGTTGGGCATACCTGTGACGATCCCTAGAGGAGGGCTACATCTGCGTGGCTCAAATGGACAACTACAGCGAGGACTTACCTGGCCATACGGAGAGCGTAGCCTTCGCTTGAGGGATGTCGCCTGCAGCAGCCTGCGTGGTAAGCTCGCGGAACAGAGCGTCTTCCAAGTTCCACCTGCTTATCGGAGGCAGCATTAGGTCGGTGTTGCGCGGAGCTGATACTGGAGAAGAGAAGCCTGCCAGCCCTAGGGCGCACAACGGGGAAAAACGCGGGAGTGAAGGAAAGCAGAGTGAGATTGGGTCAAGAAGAAAGATGAGAAAGCCGCGTGCGGTGGGCACCGAAGACGCGAAGGAATAGGGCGCCTAACATGAGTCGCCTCTCACCCTCCTCCCATCTCCACCACTTGACACACCGCCTGAGGACAAGTCATAGCGCTATCAGCGTGCTCACAAACGCGAAACAAGCCACACCAAGCCCATATGAAGGCTTCATGCTATGGATAAGGTGGGTACTATGGATGCCCATATCCAACATATCTCTGATCATCTTTCGACGCTTCGACAGACCTATTACACCCTTCTTTCGGCTGTGTGGGACAGAAAGTGTCAGGTGGATGGGCGTACGATCAATACTGGGTGAGTTGTTTATCTGAAGCGTCCAGTATCCCGCTGTACGTCAGGCTCGAGCATCTCCGCCAGCACTTGTACGCCAAGACCGGACTTCTGTGCAACACCAGGTACGACACCAACCTCCTTGATGAGCTCGCGCCCACCTCCCTCCGCAACCATATAATGGTGTGTCCGCTCCGATATCATACTCGTTTCTCACAACATATCCATAAAACCGTCGTCCAGATCCTCATCTTTGTCAGCCAAGATGTTCCCGCGGCCGAGCGGCCGAGCGACGCACATGAACTTGCAATCGGGCGCAAACCGCGCGCGGTCGCGTGTGGGCTTGCGTCGGTTTCCGTGCTGACTCAAATTCTGTTTTTGTTGACTGCAGCGTTCAAGTCCCCCGCGGTCTGGTTGAACTCGAAGCAGCACCTACACACGCACGGGATCTTCCCCTCGGCGGAGCACGGCTCGAGCTCGCCCCCGCAGTTCACCGTCGGGTTCGAGACCCCGCTCGTGTCTGGGGTGCACGATCCCCCGCTCTCGACCCGGACGAACGCAGGGGTGCTTCCGTGCACGGCCTCCCCAAATCGCTCCCCGCGTACGCCGCCCTTTCCGTCCTCCGCGCACTCGCACTCACGTGTGGCCACCGGGGAGAGCGGGTCCGGATCCGGGAGCGCAGGCGACGGCTCGGACTCGGAGGACAAGTACTTCGTGGTGTCGTGCCTGCTGCTGCCCGTGCCGCTCCCCGCGGTCGCGTCGGCGAAGTGGGACCTGGACCCAGACGCGTATGAGGAGCGGAACTCGGACGTGCAGGCCTGAGCTGCTACGTGCCAGGTGTGCTTCTCACCGCCCCGATGGTACGCTGTTACATCGTCGACTACACCCACGCGTCCGACTACTCCGTCGCACGCGGTCTCGTGCGCGCGCGATCATGGGCAAGCGGCTTTGCTTCGGCGCGTGCACCTTACGTTGACGCCTGCTCGACGTACGCGATCTGTATCTTGATGTACTCCGTGAGGAGAACCCTCGCGGGGCGGGGCGGCGCTCGTCAGTTGTACCTCGTCTGTATGCCTAAATGTACGATAGTGTGTCGGCGAAAATGAATGCAATTATATGCCTCCCACCTTCCGGATCCCTGAATCCCTGACTGAACTGGCCGACCTGGCACCCTAAACGCCCGGAAACGGCCTGGGCGCAAGGACGCCCGGAACGAAATCCCTGGATTCCTGGGAACCCTGGTCAGGCCCCCCAGGACCCCACAGGAGTTTTGGAAATTACTGACGGATTTCTCAACGAACTCGCAAGATCCCTACACGTAGTCGGACCTAGTCGCAATTGAATCCTATGAACGGAAATGCCGACGTCTGACTGACCAGCTGACGAATCCCCTCCAGCTCCGTCATGAAAGGTATAAAAGGGTTGAATTAAACTCCTCACACCCTCCCATCTGCCCCTCGCTTCGCTCGGAATGTCTTTTGCGATCGCCGACCACACCAAGCTCACGACCAACGCAGACGGTTCCTGGACGAGGAAGCCGTCCAGCTTCAGAAACACCATAGAGAAAGGTGGCCAGTTCGAGCCCGAGAAAGGTCAACTTGATGTTTTTATTAGTCTTTCTTACGTTGTGAGCTCACACTTCGCTGTAGGCCGTTATCTGCTCTACGCTGGCTATGGCTGCCGTGAGCCATCTGCTTCACACTCGTGCTGCTTTGATAGGCTGTAACTCACCAGCCTCCTTGCAGCTTGGGCGACCCGCACGCTCATCACTCGCAAGCTGAAGGGGCTCGAGGACATTATCGGTAAGCTATTCGAGGCGGCCTTTCGGATAATACTGCGAACTAACAACATACGTCGTCTAGATGTCGTCATCGTGTCGCCACGGATGACTGAGATGGGCTGGCCATTCGCCAAGGTTGACCCATTCCCGGGTACAAACGATGACCCCCTCTTTGGCGCTTCCCATCTGCGCGAGATATACCTCAAGGCGGAGCCCGACTATGACGGCAGGTGCGTCTCGATGTAACAGGATGAAGAGGATATTCCCAACCATTGTCTGCAGGTACACTATTCCCGCACTATGGGACAGAAAGACGGAGACTATCGTGAACAACGAGAGCTCAGAGCTCATCCGCATCTTCAACTCGGCGTTCAACCATCTCTTGCCTGCCGACAAGGCCGCCATCGATCTGTATCCTGAGCATCTGAGGAAGGAGATCGACGAACTCAATGAGTGGGTATATACCACTGTTAACAGTACGTTCGGACAACACTGGTGGCATGCCGTTTCTCATCGCTCAACTGTTTTTGCAGACGGCGTATACCGTTGCGGCTTCGCTTCCTCCCAAAAGGCTTACGAGGACGCGATGATCCCTCTGTTCGAGTCTTTGGACAGGCTCGAGAAGATTCTCACTGGCAAAGAGTACCTGGTCGGAGACCAGCTGACCGAAGCAGACATCAGGCTGTTCGTCACCATTGTATGTATACGGTTCGCTTATGATCTCCCGGAGGACGACGCTCAACTACTCCTCCAGAACCGCTTCGACGTTGCCTACTACACGCTCTTCAAATGCAACCTTCGCTCCATTCGCCACGATTACCCTGCCATCCACCTGTACGCTGTGTCGTTCCGCGTCTCGCATCGAGTTTCCTAACGCCCATGGTCTCGTCAGGTGGTTGCGTAAGCTCTACTGGGGCGACAAACCCGCGTTCAGAGAGACATCGAATTACGACCACATCAAGGCCGGGTACTCGCACACAAAGGTATGCGCTCTCTTCGACGTTACGAGCGCTGGTCTAATCTATCCGGTACGTCATACAGAACGGTTCAGCTGCGATCGTGCCTATGGGCCCGCTTCCCCACATTCTCCCTCTTTGAGCTCGACGGTCCCATGCGCTCTCTCCGATCCCTTGTACAGTACCAGTCTTCTTGAACCCATATGGTTGTCGGAACGTCACCGCGTTGCGACTCCCCCACTCCCTTCGAGCGTTCATGTCTCTGGTGGTGCTTGAGTCTCAGAGTCGCTGTGTGATTCTCATCTCTCTAGGTGAAAGATACAACGTAAAGTTCATATTCAGCTACGCAGTGAGGGGTCGTTACAGTGTCGTGTCTACCGAAAGACATTATGATATGCAGGTCGTAGAGATAGTTCGTGAAACAAGAAACAACGTGGAGAAGATCGCTGGGACGGGAGTGGAAGCCACCGGACGCTCACAAAGGCTTCCTTACGCCTCCGAAACGCTCAGCCCAAGGAGGTTCAGATCGCTGTACGAAGGCGGTGGCTTCCTGTCCTGTCTCGGGGGCGCATGGTACCGAATCCACTTTCTGGGGTCGTCATCTCGCATCTCGTTGTGTGCGTTCTCGTTGGCGATCACCTGAAGCCGCGGCGTCTGTCCGGCGTTCTGGATGGGTACGAACACAGCGTCCGCGCCATACCCGAAGCCCGCGACGTCCTCGCCGCGGTGCCACTTCTCGAAACCGAGATCGCGGTAGTCCGGCTCCGTTCTAAGTCTTTGGAGAGGAGGAAGGATCCCTCGGATCTGAAGCTTGCCTGAGAAATATGAGCGCGAAATATGGTACGGATACGGCGAAAAGAGCACGTACATCGTCGAGGAGGCTCGGATGGGTAGCACGCGTCGTGGTGCACGTCTCTAAGGTATTCCTCCGAGAAGTACGGATCCAATCTCAGATCGAGTCCGCTCGGCCTTCGCTCGAGATCCGGGTGCAGCATCTGCGAAAGCGCGATCAGACCAGCGATCGCACGTACCCGCACCGCGCCTGGGTCACGCACCTTCATGCACAACCTCCACTCGTCGCCGTCGCGCGCCATGTGATCTTCATTTATCATACGGAGCTCCTGAACCCGAGGCTGGGCCCGCACGAATCGCATCCGTCGACGAGGGCTTAGATCTTCCCATCTGTTCGAAGGAGATTCCTGCCATTCCTCCGGCGGTGGACCACTGCGTCTGCCGAACATGTGAAAGACGTCCACTCCTGAGAACAGCTCGAGACAAGCCAGTCCGAGCGAGTAGACGTCCGATTTATGGCAGTAGAACTCATCTTCGTCCTTGAGTTCTTCAGGAGAGAGGTACTCCGCAGTCCCGTCGACGCCAATGATGTATCTCTCAAAGTCGGACGCGGACATGTTCGAGTCAACACGCTTGGCACAGTCGAAGTCGGAGAGCACGATGTGGCCGTAGGGAGAGGTGATGAGGAAGTTTTCCGGCTTGATGTCTCGGTGAAGTATGCGGTGTTTCTCCAGGTACCCCACCGCGAGGACCTGCAAGGGCGATATCAGATGCGTAGCATAACTGAGATATTGAAATGCGCATACCATCTCGGCGCAGATCTGTCGCTTTAGTTCCCCGTCAATCGGTCCAGCATCCATCAGGTGCCGGAGGTCCCCGTAGCACAAGTCCTGAGAAACGCATGAGAGAGGGTGGCATGGACAAGAACATCAAAGGCCAACGCACCATAACAATGTAATGGTTATTAGGATCATCTCCGCCTGAGAGGATGTGGGCGAAGAATGGAATGTTCTCGCTCGTTGCGTACGCCATGATGTCGAGCTCCCTGACCAGCCGTTGACGGTCATAGTGGCGGTAATAGTGCCACTTGTGCACAACCTTGATCGCGACAACCCGGTTCAAGTCTTGGCATGCTGCGAAAACGCGAGCGAGCCCGCCTTGCGCCAGCGTCCCGAGGATGGTGTACAGGTGCCCACCATATGATATGACGTCATTGGTCTCATTACGGCGGTTGTTGTACGGGTCGCGAGGACTCTTGTGGGCGATCCCAGGCTGGATACAACGCACGAAGGCATCATGAGACGTGTCGTCAGGAATTGGTGGAAGCGGTTTGCTGGAGAGATCAACTCGAGGCCGCGAAGATCGGGGGGTGAGCGCAAGCGGCGAAAAGGAAGGGAGGGGCGGAATTTGCTCGATTTCTGTACGCGTGGCGGGGCTGAGAGGTGTGGTGGGATCGTCCGCATCTACTTCACGAGTGGAAGACGGAGAATCTATGAAAATGCGATCAGTGTTTCGTATACGTTGTAACTGTTTCCGAGCCTACATGTCGCATGGCTAGTACGAGCGTCGGCGCTCTCAGTGGGCACATCCGATGCTTGGACCTCGATGACTTCTTTTCCCTCTATCGCATTTCCCTGCGGCGCAGTAGTGCCTTGTGAAGATGAGATGAGGAAAGCGTGCTTCCGGTGAGCGGACTTGTCACGATGGTTCGAAGGCAATCTCGGAGAACCGAATCGTATGCCTCGCTTCATAGGAGAGGGCGTGATGGGTCCTAGTGAGGATGGGCATGTGTCGGGCGTGAATTGAGCTGGTGTGTCGTGCCTTCTGCGTGCAAACCTTTTATTCCACTGAAGACTGAGATAAACGGAATTTAAACGTACGTGGACAGCGATGATGCATTCCTGTCCCGACTGGGAGAGTCTGGTCGTGAAGCCTTGCGCCACCGAGGCGGCGACAGCTTCTTCCAGAACGTGAACCCTATCGCCATTTGAACCGAGGGAAGGGCGTGAGGTGACGGCGCACGACAAACGAAAAGGGGAGCACATACATAAAGTCCGCGAGTGGCACTATGCTGGAGCAGTCAGCAAATCGCAACGAAAAGGTTGTACAAGGCGTGCTCACCTGATTGGTTTTCGTTGTGCCGTGCAAAACTCCAGATAAGCATAAGAAGCAGCTCGTAGTCAGGACCTATGCGGACATGGATACTGGAACAGGGAGCAAGTACAAGTGATGTATTGTTTTCGAACGCTACCTTGACGCCGCCCGCGCATCATCATCACGAAACGCGCACGAGATAGAACGGCACCGATCTCTAAAGCGCCTGTTGATCACGGCATGAACTGTTTTCGTCATCGATTTTAAGTATGATCATGGTTCGTCTAGTAGACGAAATGTGATCACCTATCGTCTTGAGCTGAATTTGTACGATCATTTTGCAATCTGTCTGACGATTATAAGATCTGTTAATGTGCAAATGATCGCGGGTACACTGAGTACAGACACGACGGGCAGCCCAGGGGCGTGTGAGAGCGGGAAATGTTTCCAGACATGTTATTGTATCGACGCCTGGGCGAGACTCGGAAATTTTGACGGATACTTTGTGGATACTAAAACCGTTTGTCAACATGCGCCCAACATTTCCGGGTCTTTGTCAGGTAATCCGGCTGACAACATGTGCAAGTCTCGGAAATGTTGAAGATCAGATCACGTGCACGCTGCCGATGTCCAGGTTCCCGCACTTGCGAGCACTGGGATTTATGTTTCAGACAACTCAGGGGATGCTAGGATCGATTTCGTGTACCACGGCGGACACGAGGCCGCGATATGACGGTAGTCATGTGATCTGAACGTCAACATTTCCGAGACTCGCAAATGTTGTCAGCCGGATTACCTGACAAAGATGCGGAAATGTTAGGCGTATGTTGACAAACGGTTTGAGTACCCTTCATCATTTCCGAGTTACTGGCGGAGTCTCGCCCAGGCGTCCATATAATAACATGGTAATGAACATTTCCCGATATCCGGCGCCCCTCGGCTGTCCGTCGTGAGAGCATTAGATTACCAGTGAACGAGCATTTGACGATCGGCTGCTGATCAAGCCCCGGTGGCCGGGAAGTACCAGATACCACGTGATCCGGCGTGCGCGCAGGCCCTTTGGGCTGCCTGCCTGCTGCTTCACGACAGATTCCTCTTCTCTGTGCCTGCGTCTTCGCTCTTCAGCTCCAGAATGGCCCCCGATCCTTTCGCCAATGGATGCGGCATCTCTTAGAGCGGCCAAAACTTAGTCAATGTCGTACTTGCAATCACTACAGTTTATAATTGCAAGTGCTACTACAGGCAGCATGCTCGCGCGCAGATTCATCTATGAGATGCAGAAGAGGCTTTGATAAGCGGAGGTTGACCAAGACAAGGACTGAAGCACAGATAAAATTGGCAGAACAGGGGGAGAGAACATGCGTGAATGAATACAGGGTATTACGAGAGACAGAGGGCGTGGAACGGCGGAAGACCTGAATCACTGGCAGGAAAGGGCCCAGCCAGCGCTCTACCACGGGCTGACGAGCTCGTCGATGTGCTCCTGCTGCCGCTGCGGCGCCTGTGTGAGCGCAGCGGTTCGGCGTGTAGCCAGCCCTTGAGCGTACGCGCATCATAGAACACCTCAAACGGCGTGAGGAACGCTGGCCTCTGGCTCGCGTGCTGCGGCCGCGCGAGCGACGGCATGCGCGGCACCTGCGGTCCATGTTCGCACCGTGGGGGCTGATAATGATGATCACAGGCTTGCAGAGGCTTGCCCTTCCCGCACGCCTGGGGGTGGATCGCTGGCCGGCGCGGCCGGCGCGTGCGCGTGCGCGGGGACGTGTAAACCCGGGCCCTGCAATGATGTCGGTGAGCTGGGGTCACGGCGAGAGGAGAGCACACAGGGGACTCAACGTAGCGGAACTGTGGGCCATACCGCGCCACAGCCTTCACACTCGCGGAGGAAGTGGCAGCGACCGCGAACCTGTTGAGAACCCACATGGTGCGCTGGGCCCGACCACGATTTGGGGCCGTGATGAACCACCATCCCGCATATTGTTGTGGATACGTGAAAGGCACGGTGTCGGACATGGGAGACCACGCACTATTTGAAGCACCGAGTTCAAGATTAGAGGGGGATAGCGAGCCGCGAGCGGTGGGAAGACGCACCAATAACTCCTTGCCTCCTTCTCAAAACGGCCCAGGACTTGTTCAAGCTGTGGGCGCATAATCGCCGGCGACGGCGAGGCCACCTTGCAAGGGCATACACACACGAGACGTCTCCAAAAACGCAAGACTCACCGGCCAATCATCCTCTTCTGTGTATGCAGATCGTCCGCGGGGTCTACATAACGCTTCCCGTGTAACGCACACGATCTGGCGCACCCGCTTCGGCTTCGGATGCAGCGGTGTGGAGGGTGAGAGTGCGAGTCGGAGAAGAGCCGTTCAGCAGAATTAGCGCCTGCCCGCGCGCGCAACGCAGACGGGCGTGTGCGCTTAGACGGCCCCTCTTTCTCGTTCCTCTCATGTCAATATTTGCCTGCTTATTCGTTCGTTCTATACGTCAATAGCTTCTATACCCGTCCCCAACGAAATGCCTCTGGGGGAGTTTCAACCTTAAATCCGCCACTGTACAGTACCTCAGCCTCACGATACTCTCCGCCACGGAAAGTGCTGATGCCCTCAGCTCCTCAGCTTTGAATTGATTCCTCTCCATCCCAATCCTCCCTCTTGCCTCCCTCTATATCACCACCATGGCCAGCACCTCACGCAAGAAACCTCGACTTGCACAGCGCACCACTGATGGGCCAGCTTTGGGCTACGCGCCCAAACGGACTCATCCCAACGGCAACACTCCTCCTAGCTTGTCGGTTTCTTCGAGTACGCCCGTCATTCTTTATCTGGCGTTTTCTCCCTCTTCTCCCCTTCCTATCGCGTCCATCCAACCACGTCCGCGTACACACTATGTGAAGTTGCGCACAACTCAGGGGAGGGGAGGTAGACCGTGCGCGTCGTCGAGCGAGGGCTGGGGACTAACTGCGGCGAGGGATAGGTCAATCAACAATGTGCTCGGCTCACGGCTCACGCTCCTCCTCGGCACGACTAGGTAAGCGCTCTACATTGGCTCCTACCTGTGCGTCTCCTCCTCCGCCCCGCTCACCACGCGCAGGGCATACAACATTCACCATGGTGTCGGCGGGTTCGTTATCGCGGCAGGCGCGTACCTCGGCATCAGTGCCGGCTTCCTCTGGACCGCCCTGGGCTCCCTGCTGCTCGCCTACCCCGCCGAGCAGCAGAAGGGCACGTTCATCGCCATCTTCTGGTTCATCTTCAACCTCAGAGGTGTCATTAGCGCTGCCACGGTCTCCCTCGGCGAAAACTTCGACAACACCGTGCGTCTCCCCGTTCTCTATCCCGCCCCAGTCACCCACCCCAACTCACCCTGCGTTTGACGCTAGTCTAACAGCGGTGAGCATTCGGCCCGTGGGCCCTTCCCGTTATTCCAACGCTGCTGACCCGTTTCCCTGAATCTAGTCGCCAATGGGACATCGCTCCTGCTCGCCCAGCCGCCGCGCACCCTCCGGGAAGTGCGCGCGCGCACCACCGTGTACCCTCCGGGGCGCGCGCGCACACCATGACGTGCTCCCCGTGTCCCGACGCGTCTCCGCCGCGCTACAGCCTGGGACCACGACCCCTGAGGCCTGACGGTCACCCGATGAGCCTGCGGCACGCGCCACACGAGCCCCTCTCACCGGGCAGGACGTCGAAAGGCGCGCGGCGGCTCCGTGCTAGCCCAACCTTTCCGTGCTGCTGCCATGTGAGCAGGCCGGGCTCCCCCTCGCGCTTGTCCAGTCTTGCTGACACCTTTCCGTGCTGCTGCCAGATGCGAGTCGAGTATTTTTTCGAGCTACTGACGAGCACGCCCCTGCCCCCACGCACCTACCGGCTCCGACTCAGCAACACCGGCGTCAGCGTCCCGATCAGCTGGCTTATCCTCGTCCTCGTCGCTCTGCGTGGCCGGCTTCCACAAGCGCAGCACCGCCGCGTGCTGCGTGTGTCGTGCGACTCATGGTGTCGTTCCACTAGCGTGTCGCGCGTGCGACGAACTCTGCCGTCGGCTCAAGTTCGTTGGGGCGTCGTCGCGCTCTGAGATGAACTCGCCCTGCCACTGGTCGCCCCATGAACTACACGGCGATGCGCATGGCACCATCCGGAGCAGGTGTGGGTGAGTCGCGGGCGAGGCGCGGGCGAGGCGCAGGTGCTCACCCGTTGATTACAACTCCGCCGTTATCGTTTCTCATCCATACTGTACCTACCATACTGTATAGACGTGAATAATACTGGATTTCACGCATTTATGGGCGTTTGCAGTCGATCTGCAACAGCGAAACATTTCAGTGCATCTGAATTGGTCTTTTCGTGGCATTGCACCACCAGGAAATGGTCGTTTCGAAGTGCGCTCACGGTCATCTCATCCCTGCGCCACGAACCGGCCATGATCATACTGTACCTCAGCAATGATCACTGTGCACCCCATCTCAGATCATCTGTACGCTCAGGCTAGATCACCACTCTCAGAAAACATGTTCATCATCGAACATGGTGTCCCCAGCAGATGATCGGCACTGTTCATCTCGGCCCGAGGCAATGACCGGCCCTGCTCAGCCCGACCCGGGTAGGCGACCGGGACCGTTCTATCTCTCACGTACAAATGATAACTCTGGATCAAGCTACGCCTAGGTGGTGACCATGCTCTGAACTGTGCGAAGCCCAGCCATGATAACGTCCTATCATTCATCCCCTTACGAATGTTCGTATCTGTTCATCACCCCTGCCTGGGATGCTCGGTCCCGTTCTACCATGACGATTTTCTGTCATAAATTGACACTGTCCGTTCGACAAAGAATGGGATGATCTCCACAGACTGCACATGACCTGCCGCGACCATCTGTAGTTCTGGTCCGGGCGCGTTTCGTGATAAGGCTGTTTGCAGCTCCGGCTCACTTCGCGGGTAAACCCGCAATGATCCGGAGCCGTGAGCCGGGGATCATGAGCCGGACGGCTCCAGCTCTTTCCGGCTCCGGCTCCCTGCAGCTCCGGATCAAGGGGGCTGAAAATTGGCGGATCTGCGGGTCGATCCACGGATTATCCGCAGACTCTCAATAAATATGCGTATTTATACTATGTGAGATATGTCATTCGAAAGCCATTTGAAGCAGCTTTCTAGCGATATAACATGTGTGTGATTTGGTGCAAAAGCGACTGAGATATTAATACAATACTATTTTCTGTCATTTCGAGTGCTTTTGGCGCCTGCATCCGGCGTCTGCACGCGGGAATTCGTCCCGATCGGGCAGTGTTCGGATTCGAATGCGGGCCTCGCGCGTCACTTGCTCGCCGTCATCCCGCCCCCTCTTCTCACTCCTCCTCCGCTTGCCTTCCACCCTCCGTCCGCACGGCATCGTCGCGTGTGCGCGCGCCGCCGTCCTCAAGGCCTCAAGCCCAGGAGCTGTGCCGTGGGGTCGCGGTGAGCTCCCGCGGCCCCGATCTCCTCTGGTGAGTTTTCCCGCGTCCTTCCCCATCTCGCGCTCACACTCTCGCGATCCCCCGCCTTGCCCCCGCCTTGCCTTCGTCCTCCTCGTCCCGCGCTTTGCCCTCTGTCTCCTCCGCCTGCGCTACCCTCTGCCTCTTCCCCCACGTCCCTGCCCTCCTCCTCGGATTCGCCTCGCGTCGCTCACCACCAGGTACCTCCGCGTCGTCTTCAGCGCCACGCGTCTCGCGCGCACCTCCCGTCTCGCGCGCACCTCCCGTCTCGCGCGCACCTCCCGTCTCGCGCGCACCTCCCGTCTCGCGCGCACCTCCCGTCTCGCGCGCACCTCCCGTCTCGCCCGTGTCTCGCGTCTCGCCCGCGTCGCCCACATCTGCCCCGCGTGGCCGGATCCTCCGCCCACACGGCGTCATCCCGCACGCGTGCGTGGCCGTTCTCTGGGGTCGCGGTGAGCTCCCGCGGCCCCGATCTTCCTTGGTGAGTCCTCACCGCCCACACTGCTCCCCGCGTCGCCTCCCCCTCCCCCGCGCTGGCAATGCCTCCAACCCGCTCCCTGGACGGCCCTCGTCCTCGTCTGCCCGCGGGAATTCGACCCAATCGGGCGATGTTCGGACTCGAACGCTGCGTTACGCGCGGCTTGCCCGTCCTACCTGCAGCCCCTCAGGCCTCCTCCTCTCCCCGTCCACAGGCGTCATCTCGCGCGGCCGTTCCCAAGCCTGGGAGTTGAGTCATGAGATCGCGGTGAGCTCCCGCGGCCTCCTTTGGTGAGTGCTTGACTTCTTCCCGCCTCCTCTCTTCCCCTCGTCGTCTCCCCCTTCCAGGTTCCGGCCACGCTCAGGCCAACGGGCGCGCCCGTCTCGCGCTCGCGCTCGCCCGCGCTGCGCTAGTCCACTCCGCCTCGCCTACTCCGCCTCTCAACCGCCCCCGCGTTGCCAAATCCGCGTCACGTCGTCCGCGTCACCGACGTCGCTCGCGTCGCCCGCATCGCCCAACCTCTGTCATCGCATTCGTGCGCGCCCTGGTGAGTTCCCCGCTGTCCCCGCATTGCCTTCCGCTCTCCCGCGCTGGGAGCACCCGCAACTTGCTCCCTGGACCGCCCTCGCCCTAGCTCTTGCGCCTCACGCCCACGTCAGCCACTCCACCCGTCTTGCCCTGCCTCGCCGAGTCGCTGCCGCCGTCTCGTCCACCTCGCGCTCGCCGGCCTTGCCCACGTCGTTGCCACTTTGCCCATACCGCCTACGTCTCCCTCGTCACCCACCTCGAGCAAGTCTCCCACCTCGCCGGTCTTGCTCCCCCATCGCCGACCTCGCCCGCACCCGCTGCCCCGTCCCCCGCCTGCCCTGTCCCCTGCCTGCCCCGCATCATCCGTGCCACCGACCCCGTCCGTGTCGCCCTCAGCCGCAAGCATCACCCACCTTGTCCTCACCCACCTCCCCCTAACCCACCATCGCCCACCTCACCCACTTCGCCTGCGTCTCGCCCGCGTCGTCATCTGCTTTGCACCCGCGTCGTGCCCGTGTCACCCGTCGCGCGCTCGCCTTGCCCCCGCCTTGGCCCCGCATCGCCCGTCTCGTCCGCATCGCCCGCGCCGCCCACCTGTTCCGGCACCGCTCGCGTCACCCTCGCCACACCCCATCGTCCTTTCCGCATCGCCCTCTCCACCTCGCCCACCTCGCCCATACCCGCGGGTCGCGGCCCTGCTCGCCGCCTATCCCTTGTCCTCCGCGTTGTCCTCAGCGCCACATGTCGCCCATGTCGCCCGCCTGCCTTGCATCGCCCATGTCACCCGTGTATCGTGCCCGCTTTTCCCGCCTCGCGCATGCCTCGGGTTGCCCACCTCGCTCGTTTCGTCCAATTGTAGTTGTAGTATCTTACTGTATGCTTGTAAAGTAGTAATTCTGTCAATGAAATACCTTTCCACTGGCTTTGAATGATCATGAATGACCTGAAATTAAACAACTCAGTGAGAATGATCCGTATGAGCCTATGATCCGCACTGACCCACAATCTGCAGCTCAGTTTGTGGCTCGACCCGTGGATCACGGCTCCGGGTCGCGCGGCTCCGGCTCTTCCAGCGGCTCTGAGCTGTGCGGATCTGGATCAAGGCCGAAAATGTCACATGATCCGTGGGTTCGGATCCGGATCATCCGCGGATCGAGCCGCAAACAGCCTTATTTCGTGATGATGAACATGGGATACAAAAGCGCGCCACTTACGAGGGTCGTCTGGGTTCTTCTACACGCACTAGGATCGCTTTGTACCAAAAGGCGCTCATAAAAAAGGATGAGGGACGGTGGTCAGGGGCCTGAGCAACATGGCAAAGGCCCAGGGCGCAATTCATGTGCCCAGTCGCGGGGTGACATGATAGCATTGGCGGCTGTCACGTTTTCGGTGCTTCTAAGCGTGACCAGTGATCACGCCGTGACTCTGTACTTACGAGGCCTCGTGACTCGTCCACTGCCTCTTCCTCCTCGTTTCATCCCACTCTGAATCAGCTCTTCGCGCAAATTCATGGACGTGAGAGCCTTTGAGTCGTGGATGGAGCAGTGTGGCATCCGCAATGAGGGCACCATGGTGATCCATTCCAGCGGCAACGGGGTGTCCGTCATCAGCTCTTCTTTCATCGCTCACCCATCGCGAGGCGCGTACTACACTTCACACCACCGGTCATCTCTCTGAAACTATAAAACAGTTGCAACAATTCCCAAGGCTGCCATTCTGTCGGTCCGCACATGCTCGCTGACCTCGCTCATCCCGTGGGTCCCCTACGGCCACGCCGCAACATTGGCCCTCTCTTTCGCACTTTACTCAGAAATGTAAGTCATACACGGGGCCTCCATGTATTCCTGTATACTCACATGCGCAGCGGCTGCACAGGATCATAGGTGATCAGTCGCGATGGCACGGGTATCTGCAATCTTTGCCCTCGGATATCGTCCCCATTGCCCGACTCTGGGCCCATCGAGAAGCGTTCCCGGACGACGACACACAGCAAGCCCTGCGATGGCTGGAGGGAACAGAAGTACATCGCGAGCTGAGTGACGCAGAGGGCGTTTCTCTCACTGTAAGCGTCTCTACTTCTACACACCAGACGGTACACTGACGAGTACGTTGACTCAGGACGAGATCGATCAATACTACATCTCTGACGTGGCCCCGATTTTGAGAAAACTTGGATATGAGCCACATTTACGCGGCTTCCTCCACGCATACTCCCTCGTCTCATCTCGCGCATTCTTGGTTGACGCTTACCATGGCCTGTCTATGGTACCCCTCGCCGACGCGTAAGCTTTGGCGTCTCTCGAGGGTTTTTAGCGGCTTCTCACCATTCTTGCGCAGATTTAACCATACTCACGACAATCACGTACAACTAGCCGTACGTAATCACTCACGCTTTTCTTTCGTCTCACGTTCTAACCATCCGTACCCAGAGCGAATACGACGTCTGCCCTCACTGTGGATCGCTTTCTGAGTGTGCGCACGACGATGACTCTTCGAATGATCATCGCTCCACCGCTGTTCACAACGTTCCTACCGAGGCCGACACCGTCGACATGGTCACCGTACGCTCCATCGGAGCGGGGGAAGAGGTCTTCAACACCTACGGAGCGTCTCTGGGAAACGCCGCGCTGCTAGCTCGATACGGCTTTATCCTCGACGGCGGGGAGACGGATGTGGTGACCTTTGGCTGGCCAGGCTCGGACTTTTTCGATGTCGCCGATGAAGAAAGACGGTGGAGGGACGCGTGCGACGCAGCGAGAGAAGACGCGAAGCGCATCCTCGAAGATTCCGACCTCGTGTACTTCCCGGACGAACAGCGCGGAGCTCGTCCTTCTCTCAGCATCGACAGCGACGCGCAGGTTTCTATCGGGCTTCTCATCTGGGCTGTGAACGAGGTCCTCGCTCCTTCCAGCGTAGATGTGGATATCCACAAGCGGATATTGGCGCTATGCTCTGCGCTTCAGGACGGTGAAGAGGAACCGTCTCGTGATGACGACGAGATTCTCGGAAGCGAGCGTCATGCTGGGGGCGGCACGGTGGGTTCATTAAGCGCTTCTTCAAGGACTGTAGAGGTTGACGAGCTGGTGTATTTCCAGATCATTCAAGATCTAGTCGCAATGGCACATACTCTACTGGACCTGTTTAAATCCCGTCTAGGCGTAATTGGACAGGGTCGCAGCGCAGAAGATCTGGGGCTTGAGCTTGACGTGCGTATACTTATCCTACACTTCCACGTAGATCTTTATGAGCTCACCGTGCCTGACAGGCGCTTCCGCCACATCGTACGAAGACGAGACTGGCACTACACTATGTGCTAGGGGAGCGCGCGATCATCGAAACGTGTACAGCGCAATGGCAAGACATCCACGCAATGCTCCTCGGTCGACTCTGAAGGTCCGATTCTGCCGCCGATGCGGACGTAACCCTATAACGACGACCGAGCTACACACTCCGCCTTTCTGGAAGCACTCCCCTCGCCCCGCCTTCCGCTGAACATCCTCCAGATCCAAATACTTCGCCAACTTCCCCGACTTCTCAGTCTCTCTCCCCGGGCCTCATCCATCTACTTGACCCACAACCGCTGCAGTCGCTGCAGCTGGGACTATTCTCGTTCAATACCCTCACAACGCTCAGCAGCCGCATCGCCCGTTCCGGGAACGCGTGCTTCGCCGTGCCACGCGCGGTTCGCCGCGCCGCCGCGCGTGGCACGCGTCCCGCTGGACCAACGCGCGGCGCGAACGAGGTTACGGAAGAGAGCGGGTCGGAGACGTCGTGGCGGGGGAAGCAGGCTGCAGGAGTTGATGTCCACCCCTGGGAGAGGTCGAGCGCGCATAGGGCGTCACGCTTCTGCTTCGCGGGATCCGTGCGGGCGAAGAGCGAAGAGCGATGCGTGTGAGGCAGGGGCGTCTTTATTCGGGGGAGGGTCAAGCATTTATATCCTACGTACGTACGGAGTACAGGTGCGGCATTTCTAGCCGCGCGCATTCTCTGACATCAAGGTTCGTGTTCGGTTACGTGGAGATCATTACAGCGTCGTCTACTCGCTGCGTGCATACCAATCACACTTTGCTTGTGCGAGCGTCTTCGTGCCCTTAGAGCGTGCCATGGCCTCGCCGTTATCTACCACCTCCGTGTCTGAGTCCACCGAAGCCGGTCCACGGGGCCCAACGATATGCGCTCCGACGAGCGTCGGAAGCATTGCAAACACGCTCGACCTGCGTTCCCAGCCACACATCAGCCACACGACCCTCGACGCAGCCAGAAACGAAAAAAGAAGAAAAAACTCACACCACGCCCTTTGACGACCCACGGCGATGCAAGCGGCCCCCACGCAGCGCCCGGAACGCCCCAAGCCGGCTCGTCAGCTGGTCGTGCGCGAAGTCGAGGCTGGGCTGGTTGGTCGGCAACAACGTGGGCTCGCGGTACAGCCCGAGCGTCTTGAAAGCGCGTTCGCAAGGGGCGTTGGGGACCGTGCGGATGAGCGCGCCGAGCGGGATCGAGACGATGCCGAGCGCGAGGGAGATACCCCACTCGCGAGCGTTGAGGCGCGTGACGGCGAAGACGTCGCCGCCGACGAAGATGATCAGAATCTGGACGACGATTTCTGGCGGGGCACCGTGAGCGTGGACGGCGGGCGAGGACGGTGAGGCGGGCAGACGTACCGACGAAAGTGATGCCCATGAACCACGGGTTCCTGAGCACGCCTTCGAATATGTTGTACCGGCGGTCGAGCCGGCGGCAGTTGAACGAGTTGAAGATCTGCGCGAACACGAACGCGTTGAACACGAGCGTGTCGTTGCGGAGGTCGTGCGGCGGGAACCCGAGCAGCGCGTCCCCGCGGAAGTGGAACACGAGGATCGCTGCGACCTGGTACGCGCTCTGCCCGAGGATCTGCTTGAGCATGTTCACCGTGAACAGCGGCGCGTCCTGCCGCTCCGGCTTGCGGTCCAGCATGTCCGGCGTCGCCGGGTCCGTCGAGAGCGCGAGCGCGGCGAAGGTGTCGATGACGATCGCGACCCACAGCAGCTGCACCGCGCTCAGTACGCTCTCCTCGAAGTCCGTCCCCGCGAGCGCCGAGACGAGGGTGACGACGACGGCGGTGAACGTGGGGGTGACCTGGAACTGCAGGAACTTGCGCACCGCGTCGTTGACCGCGCGGCCCCAGACGATGGCCTTGACGATCGACGCAAAGTTGTCGTCCATGAGGACGATGTCGGACGCTTCCTTCGCGACCTCGGTGCCCGTGACGCCCATCGAGAAGCCGACGTGCGCGGCCTTGAGCGCGGGGCCGTCGTTGGTGCCGTCGCCGGTAACCGCGACGATCTCGCCGAGCTCCTTGAGGGTGTTGACGAGGATGCGCTTGTCCTCGGGCGACGAGCGCGCGAGCACCTGGAGACGCTGCACGGTCGCGCGGCGCTCGGTGTCTGACAGCGCGCGGAAGCGCGGGCCCTCCATGACGATACCGCCGGGGGTGAAGATGCCGCACTGGGTAGCGATGGAGCGCGCGGTGAGGATGTTGTCGCCGGTGCACATCTTGACCTGGACGCCTGCGCGGGCACAGTCTGCCACCGCTTCGCGAACGCCGGGGCGAAGAGGGTCCTCAAGAGCGAAGACGCCAGCGAGCGTGAGATCGCGTGCGAGATCCGTCCACGACACCTAAAACAATGGTCAGAGAGGGCGTTCAACAAGGATGGGGTGACATACTTCGTCGGCCCTGGGTGACCAGTTTTCCAAGTCTCGATAGCATACAGCGATGGTGCGAAGCGTCTGCGACGCGTACGACGTGATGCTCTCCAAGATCTGTGCCCGATCGTCTTCGTCGGTGATCTTCGTGACCACATTCTCGCCTTCCGTGACAACAACCGGCGTGCGCACACCGCGACGAGGACTTCGCTTGCCCTTGACGTACAGTCGCGCGCGACCTCCCGGAAGACGCACCACGACACCCATCGCCTTACGCTCGCTTGGAGAACGGGAACACCTGCAGCGTCTCCACCGCCTCCCGAACGCCTTGTAGCGGGCCATCCCAAGTCGCGCGCCATCGCCAGCAGTGCGGTCTCCGTCTTGCTGCCCACGAACACGGGAGTCCGCTGGTTGCGTCCGCATCTTCGAACGCGGTGGAGTTGATCGCAATGGCGTCGTTGAGGAGGGCGCGAAGCGGAGGAGGAAGCGCGCCGCTGAGGATGGAGCTCGACGGGGCGCGAGGGTGGTGGCGTCGGCTTGGCGCGCTCGGGATTCTGGGCCAGATCGCGGACGAAGACGAGGTCGCCGCCGACGGTGCCCGCCACGACGGTCATGGCGTTCTGCGTGAGGCGTGCCGGTCTTGTCGGTTGCAGATGACGCTGGCGTTCCCATGGTCTCGCAGGAGTTAGGACGCGGACGAGAAGGTTCTCGCGTGTCATCGCTTGGTGGCGAACGCCAGGGCGAGCGCGATGGCTAGGGTAAACCTAACGATGGATTAGAACGCATGCTTCGAGACAGCGCGACCGATGGGCGTACCTTCGGAACCGAGGCGACGACGAGGGTGAAGGACAAGATGAGAATGTCCACGAAAGCCAACCCTTTTTGGCTGGGGCTCCTACAAGGGACGTCAGCGATACACCGTCAGAGACGATAGCGAAAATCCGCACATGTGGGGTGTGTCAGTGCCGATCTTGACGAAGTATCGAATGAGCAGCCCGATGAAGAGCATCAAACCGCCAAGTGAGCCGCGACGGCGATCTTGTTGGCCAGATGCTCAGCTTGCGCTGAAGGGCCGTATCCTCAGTGCTGTCGCGGAGCGCTGGCAATGTCCCGTCAGAGCCAGGTGCATACGGAGTGACAAGCATACGTACAGGTCATGATGCGCCCATGGAACGAACGAGGCCCGACGGCGATGACAACATACGAACCTACGCCCTCGAGGATCTTGCTACCACTGATGAGGAAGCAGTCGGTATGCGGAGAGGCGTCCTTCTCGTCGTGGTCGAGCGTCTTGCGCAGCTCCAAACAATCCTCGTACTTCATCTTCTTGATGACGTCACTCTCCCCCGTCGCGCCCGACTCGTCGCAGCGCACGTTGTGGCCGGAGAGGAACACGCCGTCGCACGGCATGATCTCGCCGGGCTCGATCAGGGCCACGTCGCGACGAGGACGTCATGCACGTCGATGAGGCGCTCCACGCCCTCACGGACGACCTTGACGGTGCGCTCGTCCTTCTTCGCGTTGAGCACGCGGAACTGGCGCTCCTTCTGCCAGTCCGTGAGCGAGCCGACGAGCACGACGACGACGATCGCGACCATGATCGCGACGCCCTCGACCCACTCCACCGCGGGCTCGTCCGGGTCGCGCCCAGGCCCAAAGTCCTGGAAGAGGCCGAGCGCGAGAGAGATGACGGCGGCGACGGAGAGCAGGATCTGGACGGTGGGTCGTGGGTTGGAATGTGACGCAGAGCGGGGGATATGAGGTACTCACGAGGACTTTCTCATTGTATGCGTCCCACATCAGCTTCCAGATGCTCTTGGCCGGGCGGGGAGGGAGCGCGTTTACGCCGTAGACCCTGGCTCGGTCCGCGAGAGACGCCACCGTGGCGCCTCCGGTGGTAGGGTGGGGAGCACCGTTGTCAAATTTGGCGGTAGAAGGGAGTGAAAGAGGCCCCGGTTCGACGGGGACTGCTAGCGGGTTATCAGGGCTCCCGATGAGACCACGCACGCCGTCGGTGCCGAGTCCGAGAAGGAGGGCCTTGACGCCACCCATGGCGCAGAGATTGTCGATGTCCTTGGTGTCGATGAGCTGAGCGAGCTGAGAGGGCAGAAAGGAGAACGGCTCCGGGTCGACGTCGACGTCGGGAGTGACCCCCGAGGCAGGACTAGCGCTCTGGAAGTTGGAAGTGGGGCGAAGGCCGAAGCAGGAGAGCAGCCCCCCACGGCGTCGCCGGTTTGCGGGAAGAGGATCTTCGGGACATTTACATGCGTTTGCACAGGGGACGTGATGGTGGTCTGGCGGGAGCCAGAGAGTGAGAGAGATGAGGTCGCCAAGTCTGTCGATGGAGGTACGGCAGGGACGGTGAGGTCTTCAGACGTGGTTTCTGAGGGTACAGTCGAGACGCTACCGGCAGGGGGATGAACCATAGATGGGTCGACGGCTTGGGGCAGCGACCTGGGCTTATATCCCTGTGTGGGGTCCCAAGACGTGAGCCAAGACTTGGAAGTTCCGCAGCTAAGAGAATCCCCTCACCTTGTGTAGGCGCCTTTGCGTTATCACTCGTCCGTTCTCCCGTGCAGATTCTACTGCTCGAGTGTCGCCAGACCAGCTGAAGCAGGATATATGCGTACCTGAAGCCAGAAGCATGAGATCTAAGGGACCTCACGCAGGCTGGGGCCTAATGCATGTTCATGCTTGGCGGCTTAGGATGTTGCCTTGGCTGCACAGCTTCTCGTTACGGTACGCCGCTGCGAGGGGCCGAGGCACACGGGGAATTCTTTGGGAAATGGTATACAGATGACGCGTTGAAAGCTTCAGCGAACCCAGAACTCACCGTGTTATCGCATGCCGACTACTGGCCAAGTCACAAGGGGGAAAACAGCACATCTCCAGCTGCGCCTCACGACCCGAGCGGATTTGCATGCCGTTGAAGTGCACATAGTGGTAGGATGATGAAGGTGGGATTCAAGATTGAGACATGAGGCAAGACCTCGAAGTTGGGTATCATCGGCGCCGGGGTCGTTTTTGTCTCTATAGCCGCCAGGTCCACGGCCGTCGGCATTGGCCGGCCTTACATGTGGGTCGATGGTCACGTGTGACATCCCCGGCGCTTCACGCTCCTCGGCAAAGCGCCTGCCATCCGGACTTAGTTGTCTAGATCTGATTCTACCATCCGATGTCTTCAATATATACAGGTCGTAGAGCGGTACAGCGAATTGCCTATGAATCGAGCAAACAGCGAGTACGAGACCGCCGGGATGAAAGCGGGAGCCAGGACCGTCCTCGCGTCCACCGACGGCGAGTTGCCCATCTCATGCCGAGTGGGAGCGGAAAAGCACGGGCCGGGAACCTTCAACGTCCGCTGTCGGATGGCTGTACGCGGGGGCGGGTCTCGCTCCCCCCGCGGAGGGGCCGCATACGTCAGGTTGTGCTTGGTGTCCTGCATCCTGTCGCGCACAACTTTGGTGGCGAGCAGCCGAAGCCGGGGCGTCTCGCCGGCCTCGCGGACGGGGACGAACTCGGCGTCGGCGTCGTACCCGAACCCCTTGAGGTCCTCGCCGCGGTGCCACTTTTCGAAGCCGAGGTCGCGGTACTCGACCCCCGTCTTGAGCCGGCGGAGAGGAGGCGGAAGCCGTATCGGGGGGACTGCGCCTGCGAGGGGTCAGCGGAAAGCACGGGAGGACGGTATGGAGAAGGATGGTACCGACATCGTCGAGGCCTCTGATGAGGGAAACACGCGTCGTGGTGCACATCGCGGAGGTATTGCTCCAAGAAGTACGGATCCAACCTGAGATCCAGTCCGTCTGGTCTCTTCCTGAGATCCGGGTGGAGCATCTGTGCAAGCAGGGTCAGAGCGAACGGCTCGAGCACGGTCACCGAACTTGTGATGAAACACATACCTTCATGCACAGTTTCCACTCGCCGCCGTTGCGCGGCATGACGTCTTCCCCTATCATGCGGAACTCCCGGATCCGAGGTTGCGATCGCAGGAACCGCAGCCGGTCGAGATCGCCTAGATCTTCCCGCCAAATCGAAGGACCTTCTTTCCATTCTTCCGGCGGAGGGCCATGGCGAAGGTTGTACATGCCGGGAGAGGTCCCCATTCCTGAGAAGAGCCCGATACACACCAGACCTAGTGAGTATATGTCCGATCTGTGGCAGTGGACCGAGTGCATTGGATTCGTGTCCTCGAATCGTTCGGGAGCGAGATACTCTAGAGTCCAAGAGCTGGCAGGTGGGAGGTAGGCTTCTTCGAACCGGAAGCCTGGAGGGAGTTGAAGACGTTCCGCACAACCGAAATCAGTGAGAACGATGTCTCCGAGCTCAGAGGTGACGAGGAAGTTCTCCGGCTTGATGTCCCCGTGTAAGATGTGGTGTTTCTGCAAGTATCCCATCGCGAGAACCTGCGGCGAAGATGAGTCTGGGTCCACGACAAAGGGGCGAACGCACGTTCCATCTCGGCACATATGTGACGCTGCAGCTCCTTTTCGAGTTTTGTAGCCATAAGCTGCCGAAGGTCTCCGAAGCACATGTCCTGGGAAACGCGTCAGAGATGCACAAAGACGGGGACGTCAAAGCACACCATGACGAAGTACACGTTGTGCCGATCCTCCCAGGCAGCATGCACCTTCGCAAGGAAAGGGATACTGTGCTTCGTCGCGTAGGCCATGATCTGCAGCTCCTTGCCAAGTTGAAGACGATCGTGGTCGCGAAAGTAGTGCCACTTGTGCGTAACCTTCATCGCGACCACCCGGTTGAAATCCTGGCAGGCGGCGAAGACTCGAGCGCAGCCGCCCTCGGCAAGCGTTCCGAAGACGGCATACCTGTGCGGGGGTTGAACCAGGAGGTCGTTGCAGTCGTTGCGGTTGCTGTTGTACGGTTCGCTTAGACACCGGTAGTCGACGTCAGGCTGGCGACCACGTGCTTGAGCATCCAGAGACGGGTCGCCGGGAAGCGTGCGCTCACGCGCGGCTGGGGTCAACGGAAGAGGTTTGGAAGCGAGACTGGGGGATGGCAACCGAGGAGATTGGGAAGTGAGGTGCAGAGGCGAAAGCGATGGAAGAGGTGGCACTTGCTCAGTTGTCGGGTGAGTGGCGTGACCGCCCCCTTCGTCGTCGCCATCCGAAGACGAGTAATCTATGCGAATGTGGTCAGTATTTCACGCGTGGTACGAAGGATACGCAACGTACATGTTACCTGACTGCCGGCGCGAGAGCTATCAGTCAAAACGCCCGGTTCGGCGACGTCGACGGAAACGTGAGTTCCATCCTGTGTTTGGACGGGAAGCGTGTTGATCGTCTGCGGTGGCGCAGTCGGAGGAGACATGGAGCGTTTATGGGCGGACTTGTGACGGTGGTTCCAGCGCAGCATTCGAGGACGCATCGAACCGAAGCCCAAACCTCTTCTCGTAGGAGAGGGAGCGGTAGGTTCCATCAAAGGTGAGCGCGTAGACTGAGAAGGATCATCGTTTCCTCTGCAAAAAATGTTACAGGCGAGCCGAAGGAGTCAAAGAGTGTATCAGCACGTACATGAGCACATTGGGGGCATCTGAAGAACCGGACAAAGGGGACCCCTTGCGCCAGGACGAAGAGACCTTCTTCCAAAACGGTATTCCTATCGCCATCAGAGCCGATGAGAGGAGAGCGGTGAAGCGAAGGTGCAGAACAGAGGACAAGTGGCTCAAATATAGATCGCCCGGGAGTGACTCCACTGCTATGTTACGCAACACAACGAAAAGCGTGATGAACGTGACAATACTGTGCGATGTCCTACTTGAACAAACGAAGAGGTCATATCATCGCAAAATCAGCGCTCTACAACGCGTGCTCACCTTATTGGTATCAGTTTGCCGCATGCAACACAAGTGCGGGTGGCGGGTTGATGCAAAACGCCAGGGCCTGGGGACACAGGCGCGCCACCTCTGAGGCATCCTTCTGACGCACTGGGGTTGCTTTGTCTCGGAAGACGCGCTAAGAACAAAAGAAACCAGACCAAGCCAGTTCAACACGCAAACGTGGATCAGTGGCACAGTGCGCGCGCGAAGACCGATAGCGCCCATGAGAGCCGCCGGCCCAAGTGACACACGCGACTGTCACACCAAGACGTGTCTGTGAGACTGTGACTCGCGATTACGCGGTGACACCGCCGTGCATCGGGCCGGTCTGTCGAGCCTCGGCGCCTCCTCGTCCTCGTCCTCACATCTTCAAATTTTATTTCAGCCTATATTCGAATAGCGGTTTGGATGTGTGAGCATTAAAAATCTGGATGGGAACGTGACATATACCATGAAATTATGTATCGCGGTGACCCTTTCTAGCGACAAGGGTATGTCCATCCGAGTCAGTCCTTCTATGTATTGCTCACCCAGCCCAGGTGTGTACGCACCCACTTCGTCAGTAAAATTTCAATGATCTGGTGCGGACCACCCTTCGGACTGGACATGCTGGATAACCTCGCCCATCGTGTTCGTACGTTGAAGTTGAGACAGCCCCTGCACACCGCGTACGTGTCAGCTCTAAAGGAGCAGGAGATAATCGAAGCCTGCACAGCGTAACAATAATACATCCACGATGACACGAAGCTGCACTCATACTACTTTCGTCTCCAGGAACGGTCTCCTCCTCGCTCTCCCTCCCTCCGAACATCACCTACAAGCCCCCCAGATTCGTATAGTTCCACAGCCGCTCCATCCCAACCCAGCCGCGGCAGCTCACAACACACACCAACGCACGCCCGCGATCTTGATAACGTTGAGGTGTACCCCGTCGCGCGCGCGAGCGGTCGCGTGCCAGCTGAAGTCGGGACCGAGGTCGCCGTCGCGGTCCCCGAGCCTCAAAGCGCCCGCGCGGTAGGAACCATCGCGGGAGCGGCCGTCTCGGGGTCGGGGGTGCAAATGATGACTTCAGTCGTGCCCGAGTTGAAGACGGTGAAGGTGGTGGCGTGCGCGAAGTCGGAGGTGACGGCGAGGCAGCTGGAAGGCACGAACGCGTCGGCGGCGAGCGTCGGAGCGGAGGCACGACGGGTGATGCTGGGGGTTCCGGAGGAGACGGTGGAGGTCGGCTCGGAGGCGACGCGGGGCGTTAACGTGGACGTAGTGATGATGGGCTCTGAGGTTGGAACGGCGATGATGGTCGTGTCTCCTGTGGGAGTGCCGCTCGCTGGAGGGAAGGGCTCCGACGTGACCACGGTGAGGGTGGATACGGGACCGGTGGGAGTGCATTCGTCCGGGGGAAAGGGCTCTGAGGTGAACGCCCCAAAGGTGGTAACTGGGCCAGTGGGAGTGCATGTGTTCGGTGGGAAGGGCTCCGAGGTGGCTGGGTGAACGGCGTCAGCCGTGACATCTTGGGGAGCCGGAGCAGCAGAAACTGCAGAGAAACTGTAAGCACGAGGTCAAAATATGACGACAGACGAGGAAACGAACGTCGTGCCACCAAGAGGGCGAGAGACATGAGGGAAAGAGGAGCCATGTCGCTTCGTAGAGCTCTGGGGAGGCGCGTCTTCGCGGCACCCTTTTAAAGCAGGCAGAATTTGTCAGTCCGGGTACAGTAGGCAGAGAATGTGCACTTGCAAACGCGGCTCGAGCGGAGAGGTTTGGCAGGACTCACACCAAAAGTTGCCCGCCTATGATGGCAGGTGGACGGTGAGCATCATGACGGCGATACTGTTTCCCAGATGACTGCGCCAAGAGGAGGTGTATTTCATGCACCCGCCCTCGTCTTCAATGCCAGCTCGCGACCGTATGTGACCGCCGGGGACGCGTACCTGAGATATCTCCGGAGAAGAGGAGGCAGAGGTGTCAGGAGTCCGACCTCGCGCACGGGCCACAGCGTCACCCGGCTCGGCCCGAGCCCGAGCCACTCACCTCTCAGAGGCTGCTGCCCGTATTTACTCTCAATGCTTCTGACACTATTAACACCCATCACCAGACTCACATCCCCCTTCGCTGGGCCCGGGCAGTCTCGGTGAATGCAGGCCGACAACGGGAAAGATAGAAGAGCGAATCCGAGCTGAAAACCCCTCTATCACGGACTCTGGAAAAGGTGAGTCTCATTGGACCATTTGCCATCCTGCGCGTTTGAGGCGTTAGAAGTGCCTCGCCGGTGTTGTCTACCCCAGTGGAGACCACGACCAGGGAAGATAATGCCGGAGCATCCCACGACCTTCTCCGTATCGACGATCAAGACCGTCGCGCGAGACGTCGCTCTCGCGCTCAGCGACCAGCAGACCTATGCCGTCGTCGGCAGCGCCGCGTGCATCCTCCTCGGCCGCGAAGCATCCACCTCCGACTTCTCCATCGTCGTCCCGCGCGGCGGCACTCTCGACGCACGCAGCCTCCTCAAAGCCGCGCCACCCTTTGCCGTCGCCCCGCTAACGCGCCACACCGCCCACGCGCAGACGGGTCTCGCCGTCGACATCCTCGCGCCCCCGATGATGTTCCCCGGCGCGTTCAATGCGGAGACCACTGTCGTCGAGCTCGACTTCGAGGAGCGGGCGCGTGGGACGGTGCGCGTGCTCCACCCGCTCCTGCTCCTGAACGCGACCTGCTCGATGTTGCCGCGGCGCGCGGCGCAAGAGCAGATGGCGCGCGACGCGGAGGACGTCGCGTTTCTGCTCGAGTGGTGCGTCCGGCGGCGGGTGGAGGTGAATCCGGCGTGGGTGCCGGAGGTCACGCCGGAGTTGGCGGAGTACACGGTCGCGCAGGGGTGGATCGAGCAGGAGCTGTGGTTGGAAGCCGCGGCCGCCGCGGGGTTTGTGCTGGGCCGTGAGTCTGCGCGACCTCCTCTTGCGTGCTTGTTTCTCACCTCGTACAGGGGGGTGGCCGTCACGAGAGATCCATTGACTATGTTTACAGCGCTATAATGTACGTTCTTATCCCGCATCTGACCCGGTAATATGTGTCTTTATTCTGCCCTACCGTCGCGGGTTTGTGTGCGGTGACGTCACGGAGAACACGGCAAATCGGGTGACAACGGAGGACCCGTCGTCCTGTCCTCCTTCCGTCCGTCCTCAATAACAAGGATATCTTCAAGGGCGTCGGTAAGTCGGCTTCTTATCCGCGTTCTTACTACGCACAACGTATCTCCAGGCTCTTTCAGCCCCTCCATACCGCCTCACGTCAGACAAGCGACGCGCATACATCCAGCGAAGCCGACAGAGGCCGACCATTATGACGATCTTCAGCAACGTCCTGTTCGTCTTTCTCACGTCGCGGAGATCCATGGTCCAATTGAAGTGGACGTTGCAGATCGAGAGCAACGTTCGTGGTGCTCGCTTATCGGAGTCCGGGCATCCCGGCGCTCCCGTTTCGAGCCCGCTCTATGCCACTTCATATTCTCCCGCCTTCTTGCGGGTTCCCCGCAACTACCGCAGCCACATATGATCGTGAGGCTTCCCCGGGCTATTATTGGAGTACTCTGTTGCGATATACATTGATTCTCAGGACGATATACTCTGCCCTCTGCCCTTGTCATTGATTCTCAGCACTTCCTCGCATCACCGTGTGCCGCGGAGTCAACCGCCCATACATACCGCAACAGCGTCTTGCGGCAAGGCTCACAGCATACCACATGCCCTGTCAAGGTTCCGGCTGCGGAACTCTGTCTCCGCTAATATGCCTCTCATGACGCCCACTGCCACCGAGCGCCCTACGTAAGTCGTTTTTAGTTAAACCGCGATCGAGTCTGTTCCATGCAAATGCACGTGTTCCGACAATTGACACCGGCGGATATTGCCTTCTGCGGCGATAGAGGGGTTTCGCGGACTCGGACTCAGTTGCATCGTGCCTGAGAACTAACCATCCGCCGTCCTTCCAACGCATTCGTGTTATTCTGACCTATACCAAAGTTTGACACTGGTGGCTCGCGTTCTATCCCTCTCACCGTCATGCCCAGTCACGAAACAACAACTGCAGTAAGATCGGAAAGGACGACAACGAGATGGTATTCCGTACTTGTAAGCGACGAGAGCGAGAAAACAGAGCAACGATAGCTAGCATTAGCGAGAGATCATGAAATACAAGGGGCAAGGGATAAATGTCCGTGATGGCCCCGCGCTGAGCACATCATTCAACTCCGGGCTGGTCGACGCTGGGTGGAGCGTCGCCTCTCTTGGAAGTCGTGAGAGGCGGCGACGACGACGAAACCGACGTGGTGGCGAACTCGCAGGGCTGGCGGCGTTGGATGCATTGCCTGCGACATACCAAATAGAGTGATCAGCGTTCCCGTCCGCGCATCCAGAAAAATGTGCCGAAGAGAACGAGACGAGCAGCCTGAAGGCCTGAACCCCGGAACGCAATCGCACGCAGCACATGCCGCTCGCAGCTCCAGTACGTGACACGCACTCTTCCTATTGGTGTGCGCGCGTCCGTACCGACACCGGACATGACGCGGGGGGCGTTCATAGAATGCACTCTCCGCGCGCGAGCCTGAGACATAGGCTGCTTCCGTGCGAGCACCCTCATGCCACAGAATCGCAGCGTGGGACGAGTGAGCGCGAAACGGAGACCTTGGGCGGCCGACCGGTCGCGCGAAACCTCCGATTGCCTCACGATCGCCTGATAGACTTCTGGAGACATCGCACCCCCTGGACGCGCGCAAGTGATGATGCGCCAGGCCGCTGTCCCGGTCCTAGAGTGCCCTCTCTAGCCGTGGCTGGGCGCTGAAGTGTGGACGCCGCGGCAGCGCCCGCGCCCCCGTGCCACGATCTGCGCCGCGCGCAACAAGCACCGCGAGCGCGATGGAGGCGCACCGTACCTCTGAAACCAGGGAATTCGCGGAAATGCAGCAGAACGCGGGTATAAAAGAGCGCGCGAGGCGAGCGGAGAGAGGCAGCATCTCACCCCGACTCTCGCCTCCTGACGCACACCACGACCACCACGACCACCACTACGACCACCTCGCCGACGCCAGAGACCTAAGAGCGGAAGAAGGACCGACACTCACCCGCACCGCCGCGACTCGTCCCCCGCCAACGGGCCCCCACACGCGATCTTGCGCTTCCGACAGAAGACGCACGCCTTGCTCGTGCTCGACAGGCGCTTGTGGCGCGTCTTCGCCTCCACGGGCTCGCGCTGCTCCGAGCTACTAGCCAGTTGCAGGAGGCCGGCGCTGCCAACGGAGACGTTGATGCGCCGCGCGGTCGTCGGTGAGTAGACGAACCGCGCGCGGGGCGTGTCCTCGTTCGGCTCCGGCTTGGGTCCACCACCAGCTGCTGACGTCCAGTTCGACGTCGAAGGCGCGTCTTCGTGCGGAAGGAGGCGCCGTTGTGTCTTGGGCGTCCTCGGCCTTTCGTGGGGCGCGACGCGCGTCCCGACGCGAGTGGCGGCGGCGGCGTCGGGCGCGGCGGCGAAGCGGGGTCCGGCGTTGTAGAGGTGCGGTGGTTCGGTCGGGGGGTGGACGATGTAGTCGGGGGGCGGGAGGAGCGCGGCGGTGAGCTCGGAGAACCCAGAGAGCGGGGCGCTCCACGCGGCCGCCTCGAGGGGCACGTAGTAGCTAGAGTTCGGGGTCGAGGAGCGCGAGTCCGCGTGCACACCGTCGTCGGTGGGCAGGTGCGCCCCCGGGCGAGACTCGCGCATGGGGCTTCCGCGATAAGACGGTCCGGCGCGCGGTTGCTGTGAGGCGCCTGGTCAGCTAGGTCTCTCTGGGACACAGAAGGACAAAGACCGACCTCGGAGACGAGCGCCGCAGGCTGCGCCATTTGGCCAGAGCTGCCGCCGGGGTCGTCTTTGTTTCTTCTGTGTTTCGGAAGATCGTGGCTTCCGAGCGACACAGGAGCGGTGCGTTGAGACGTGGGGGCTGGTGGGAGAATGGGAGTGTGGGTAGTGGCCGTGGTCGGAATGGGTGGGATCGGATGGGGCTGTCCGGCAAGGTCGTTGGATGGGGGCGCTTCGAGCGTGTAGTACTTGTTCGAGATCGCCGAGGGCGGGACGTAGTGCACGCATATGGGTTCGTCGTACTCCAGTGGCGGTGTGCCGTAGAACGAGTTCTGCTCCTACGGTCAGCATAGCGTAGAGAACGGATGTGGAATGATACGTACGTCATCCGCGACGTTGAGCTGAGCCATGCCGGTAGCGACGTTTGACGAATGCGGTTCTGGAGAGCTAGAGCTGGGCTTGTGGCTGTAAGACATGGTGTGCGGAGTCGAAAAGCAGTAGGGAGCGGTCCAGAAAGGGAACGAGTGCACTCCGCCTGCGCCCCGTCGACATATTTATTTCATGGCCCAATCGTCACTGAAGACCATGTGCGTGCATGTCACCACAGAGAGCGCTACTGGTCCAGAGGAGACTAAACCTCTTTCGAGACGGCGATGAGGTGTCTACTGTCCGCTGCATACAGATCTAGCGACCCTGAGCTAGTTACACATCGCCTGTGCGGCCCGGAGAGGAGCAGCTGCCACGCCATTGACTACTGGCTCATGCGAGGAAGCATGTGTGGTACATATGGTGCGTGCGGGGCAAGGCTAATCCCGGAGGATGATTTGATTTTTGGAACGCACCTGTGAGCGACATTACGGAGAATTCAAGGACGCGCAGGTTGACGTCGAGATTCCAGGCGTGCGTACCTACTCAATGGTCGATCGGATGACTATTAAAGCTAAATAGATTCGGCTCTGCGTTGGCACCCGCCGGTGCGGCTCCGGGTAGGTCGCTAGCCAACGCTTTTCACCATGATGCCCAAGACGCGGCCCGCACTCGAATATTTCAGTGCCGCTGCGCAGCAAAGGGAGCTCATTTGAACACATTAGGTATAACACTGGAAGAGCGCAACGCGTGGGTATTTACGTACAAGACATGCCGGTATGTGGGTCACCGCGTCAGCGGGTGCTGAGATACTAGATGCGAGATTGGGATTAACAAAGGTCTTGTTTAAACTTGTATCTGAGCCCCCCGTGGGAGGATCTACCCTTCAGAAGGGGGATTTGCCCACGTCCAGCTGTGAGCCTAGACGCAATCTTTCGTAAAAGAAGGTCAGACATGGGGTAGCTGGGAGATCTGGCAGTCAACACATGCCCTGGTGAGAAGAACGAACCTGTTGATCAACAATCTAACCGAGCGCCATGGGGGAGAGATCGAGCGCTGGTGAGCCGGGGTGACGTCGAGGACAGGGAACGAAGGCCCGGGTCCAGACGGCAACCGAGCGTGTGTAAGTCACATATCACGTGACCCGTGACCCTGGTGCTTCCTAGGGAACGTCCATCGTCCCATGACTTGCTCCCAACCCCTTCGTTCACTCAGACCCGGCGAAGAACCGAGACCCACAAGCTTTGAGGTCGGTGTATGCATTTTTAAAACACCTCTTTGGCCATGTCGCGTGGACATGCATGGTCGACTCTGCATTACGGCTCTTGCAGTGAGTGACGTGTTCCGATCCTTACTTCTAACGGGTGTGCGGCTAGGATGCTACGCTCTCTTGTCGCCTTAAACCATCGCTCTGACTCGGTGTGCGAATGTTAGTCGCGCTCTGCTCCCCATTTTCGGCCAGGGGAACGGTACAACACCAAACATTGTCCAAGGTCGAGGGTCAAAAGTGAGTGGTACTCCCTCGACTTTCAGCTATGACTCGTGCCCCCCTCCAGCATGCTGACTGACTCAGACTCTTACTCGTCCGGGGAACCGCAGGCAGGCAACCCAGGCCTTGAGCCCACCGACCGCGCGTGGGCAACGGAGCTCCGTGCGGCCCTGAGCGAGCTCCGCGATGCTGTCAGAGAAAAGCTGCGTGATCTACCACTGTGTCGACAGCATGCGTGTGCGGCGAGTTGCGACCTACTTTAGCTTGATCAAGCACTCACCCTTTTCTAGACTTATGGATGTGCCGTGAGCCACCCTGCCTGACTTCGCCGCTCTCAAGCCTCGAGGCCGCGTGCGACCTGGCGTCCCGTGGCGGAGGCGGGCCTCGCGGCACCGGCCGAACAGCCGGACACGTCCAAGTTGCGCCCTCGACCTCGACGTCGAAGCTTGCGGGCTGTCGGAATCCGTCCAGATCGGACTCTTCTTCGGGAGAGACGAGGCCACCCCATCCGCGCGCAGCTGCAGAAGCTCAACGTATCTACGGTCCGCACCCGCTCCGCCGCGCTCGCCACTGACGACGCGGCACGCAGGCAGGCCCCTCGATCCGCAGCCACGCGGACGCCTCGCGCGACCAAGCCGTCTTTTGCTCCTTCGTGCTCATCTTGCCCGCCGCATCCAAGGCGACACGCTCGTCGTGCGCGAGCGCGACAGCGAGCGGACGCCCGACGTGCTCGCGTCCACGACGCCCTCCGCCCTCCGCGCCGTGTACCTCGCGCACTTCCAGCTCAAAGACGTCAAGCGCGAGATGCTCCTCACGCATGCCGGGTACCGCGTCACACACGCTCGCGTTCGCTGAGAAGCTCCCGTCGCCGCGGCTCAACGCCATCCACACGCCCGTACGCGCCTCATCCCGGCCTCCGGCACCTCCACGCCCTTCCGCCGGGCTCGTTCGACACCGAAGATGGACGACAAGACGCTCGCGCAGCTCGCGGGGCGCGGACACCGAGTCCGCGCTCCACGCCGTTCTCGAGGACTCGCACGGAGGCCGCGCCGTGCCCGCACATGGTCAAGTTCGTGAGCTGCTGCGCGTGGTGACCGGTTGACCCCCGCCGGTGTGGGCGCTTTGGCGGGGGTGCTCGTCAACCCGGACCCGGACGTTTGGGCGCGTTCCCACCGGACGAGCGCCCGTGCGGTTTGCATGTGGTGGACCAGTGGGCGACGTCATTAAGACTACCCGTGTTGGACGTCTGAGGGCCGTGTACCAGCGGATCTTTATACTCGTCGCCGTGGGGGGCCCTTGGGAGACCTTGCGAGGGGGTATGGTCGATGGAGACGGCTGAAGCCTGAGGGCGTGTGTAGACGAAGAAGAGTTGAAAGCACTCAGCAGAAGGTCTGGTCGCCAACTTGCTCTGGTAGCTTGACGTGTTGTACAAATTCGAGTTCTATCCTCGTCTGTGCTTCTTGTGATGTATCCGGCTGAAGAAGTGTCAGTCACTACAGCGACGTGTGCGCTGGGTGGACGTGGATCTGGAGGACGGAGTAAAAGTTTGCGGACGCCGGACGACTTGCGCACCGACCCGCACCACGCCGCCTGTCGCTGTGGAAGCCGCCCGACAATTCTCCGTGGCCACGCGCGATCAGCGCACAGTCTAACCTCCGCATTCTGAATTTCTGAGGGCTTGTGTACGGTGGTGGATCAATGGCAAAGGCGCCGGCCCGGGTTCCTGGTGGGGTGATTAGGCGCCGGTGAACAGTGATCACGCCGTGACTCTGTTCTGCCGCGGGGCCGGAAGTTTACCCCCGTCCACCCCTCCCCCTCTCCTTTCATCCCACTCTGAATCCCTTCATGGACGTGGAAGCTTTTGAGGCATGGATGGAGAAGTTTGGCATCTGCCAAGAAGGTACCATGGTGACCCATTCCAGCGGCAACGGCGTGTCCGTCATCAGCTCTTCTTCTATCGCTCACCCATCGCGAGGCGCGTACTATCCTTCTCACTACACCACCGGCTGTCTCTCTGAAACTACAAAACAGTTGCAACAATTCCCAAGGCTGCCATTCTGTCGGTCCGCACATGCTCGCTCACCTCGCGCATCGCGCGGGTCCCCTACGGCCACGGCGCAACATTGGCCCTCTCTTTCGCACTTTAGTAAGCCGTACTTCACTAGTCGCAGTGGCAAATACTCTACCAGACCTGTTTAAATCCAGTCTAGATGCGATTGGACAAGGGCGCAGCGCAGAGGAGCTAGGGCCTGAGCTTGAAGTACGTATACTTATCCTACACTTCCACGTATATCCTTATGGGCTCACCGTGCCTACAGGCGCTTCCGCCATACCGTACAACGACGAAACTGGCACTACTGTATGTGCTAGGGGAGCGCGCGATCATCGAAACGTGCACAGCGCTATGGCAAGGCATCCACGCGGAAGTGCTTCTCGGTCGACTCTGAAGGTTCGACTCTGCCACCGGTGCGGACGCAAATCTATCATGACTGCCGAGCTACGCTCAAGCAACCCGCCTTTCTGAGAGTACACCCCTCGCCCTGCCTACTGTCGGACACCATAGACGCCTTCGAATCCAAGTATGTCCCCGATTTCCCCAAGTTCTCAGTCCCTCCCCCCGCACGGTTCCCGTCCAACACCCACACGATGTCCACCAGCTGCATCACCCCGTACCGTGCGCCCGCTTCTGCTCCTGAACGCGACCTGCTCGATGTTGCCGCGGTGCGCGGCGCGAAAGTCTAAGGCGCTCGACGCGGCGGACCTCGCGTTCCTGCTTGAGTACTGCGTCCGGCGGCGGGTGGAGGTGGACCCGGCGTGGGTGCCGGACGTGACGCCGGAGCTGGCGGAGCACACGGTTGGGAAGGGTTGGATCGAGCAGGAGCCGTGGTTGGAAGCCACGGCCGCCGCGGGGTTTGTGCTGAGCCGTGAGTCTGCGCGGTCTCGCCGGCCGAGCTTGTTTTTACCTTGGAGCTCTCCAGGGGCTCGCCGTTATGAAACGATGATGGCGATTTATTGACTCGAAGGCATACGTTCTGATCACAACAAGTTAAGTACCACACTCATGCCCTGTGTGCGGTGACGTCACGGAGCACATGGCACATCGCGTGACAACGGACAAGCGCCCTGCGCACTGGTCAACCGGTCATTCCTCCGCCCCTCAGGACTATGGATATCTTCAAGGGCGTCGGTGAGTCAACATAGGATCCGTCCTCTTACTACGCCCAACATATCTGCAGGTTCTTTCAGCCCCTCCGTGCCGCCTTATGTCAGGCAAGCGTGGTGTAAGAACGTCTCCAGACTCAAAGTGTAGCTGCATAACACCTTTTCCAGCGAAAGGAGGAGGCTCCCTGACTACGCAAGACTCAGCGGCCTCCACGACACATTTGTTTGTGGATGCCGACCGGGATCCGTGGGTGCCTCAGTGCGTAACGCGTTCTCGACCATCCAACACCTCGCTTCTGACTGCATATATGCGCGTCCAGATTGCGCTCTCGTTCCGTTGTGGTGCGATCTGCCCTCATTTTTGTGTTTCTCCGTGTGTGATTATAGTCCTTCATAAGGTTTTCGACTGGCGATGGGTCGTCGACTGCACGGACGCCGGCTTCAGGCTCCCGATGTGCTCCTATGTCGTTGATGGTAGGCCGTTCGCGAGTCGCATATCACGTCGCACAGAACGGCTCATTCTTATTGCAGGAAAGACGCAGGACGACGAGCGAGGACGGTCTCCGCGCGCATACATCCAGCCTCAGGGTCACGCACCCACTCCGCCCCGGACGTGTCCGGACGACGACTCTGGCGACACGCTTGTCATGCAAGAACTCCAGGGAGACCAGACGTGGCTGCACGACGCCATGGAGCGCAGCGCACAGCCATCCTCCGACGACCTCAAGGCGACGGATAACACCTTCGCGTTCCTGCGACGCACCCCGCCGCACCCCGCGCCCGCTAAAGCGAACTCGGACGTGGCGCAGAGCCTCGGCATCCGGTGCGTTCCTCCACGCACAAGATGGCGCGCGGCTGACGACCGTGCCGCAGCTCCCTCCAAGGCCGCCTCGCCAGGCACCCCGTCGTGCCGATGTTCGACGCGTGGGACATGCTGGCCGACGTGTCCGTCCGCCGATCGGGCGCGTTCGTGCGCGGGGCAGAGCATCGCGGGGGACGCTTCGACTGCTGCTACATCGACGAAGACGCGTAGGCTTCACCCGGGGTTTGTACTCTCTACATTTACATGGCGCGAGACGTCCCAACTCCCGCTACATGCGGAGCTTCACCGGTGGCCAATGACGTTCAGCGGGGTGTACGGCGCCTCGAGAGCCTCGATCTCCTCTTCGGTGAGCCTCACGTCGAGCGCGCCTGGGTCGCGGCAGCACGTCAGAAGCGCTGCGAGACGTCGTAAGCCGTGTTGGCGACGCACCGAGGATGTCCTCCAGGTTCGCGAGGCTCGTCGTCCCGACGATCGGCGCGGTGACGTGCGGCTTCGAGAGCATCCACGCGAGCGAGATCCGCGCCATGCTCACGCCCTTGGCCTTCGCGAGCTCTTCGACCCTGCGCGCGCAAATCAAGAAGGGTCAGTCGTGAGGGCTGGGGAGGGATGCGACTGAAGGCACAGACCTTCCGACGACCTCCCTGACGAAGGGGAACTTGCTGTACGCTGTCACCCTGGGGAAAACCCGTCCGTGTGAGCTTGTGAGAGCACGGGGGACGTGGGTGCAACGCACTCGTCCGTCTTGGAGCGCGTCGTCTCGGCGGTGCCGACCGGATGCGTCAGCACCCCGCGCGCGAGCGGGGACCACGGCGTCGATCCCACCCCGAACATCTGGCAGGTGGAAGTGTGAGACGAGAGTTGGCGCGAGCGATCGCCGGAACGGAGAAGGCGAACCTTCAGCGTCGGGTACATCTCGCGCTCTTCCTCGCGGTAGAGCAGGTTGTAGTGGTTCTCCATCGAGATGAAGGGCGTGAGGTTGTGCGTGATCGCGTAGTCTGCGGGTAAGCCAAAGGGTGAGATGGGACGCCGTGGCGAGAGTAAGACGAAAGGCGCACTCTGCATGGCGTGAACTGCGACGGTAATTTAGTGAGTAAGGTGCGAAAAGGGACATGAGGAAGCTTGCATTGGTACGCCCAGCACGAGCTCATTCCGAGGTAGCGAACCCAGCCGGTTTTGACCACGTCGTGTAGGGCCTCCATCTACAGGATGCCGTCAGCGCATGTTCTCATCAGCAGCGGAAGACACCCACCGTCTCCGAGATGGGCGTTTCGGGATCGAAGCGGTGGACTGGAGGTGCCGTGTACGGTCAATCGCTGAAGATGGGACGACTGTCCTTGGACAGTCGACTCACCCTGAAGGACGTCGATGTAATCAACCTGAAGGCGCTTCAAGCAGGATTGTACGGCGTCGAAGATGTGCTGGCGGCGCGGTCTTTTAGCACGGCTTGCGAAGAGACAATGACGACGAACTAACCTTGCGGCTTAGACCCTTCTGGTTGATGAACCCGAGCTCTTGATAATCTTTGACATCGCCGGGGTACAACGTGATGTCCTTCAGAACCGGGGCGAAGATCTGGTTGTCGTTGAGGGGATGGTTTGTATGAGACGAACGATATGAACCATACCTTGGTCATGATGACGAGCTCATCGCGGGGAAGGTTGTACTCCTTGATGGCCTTACCCAAGACCGTCTCCGAGAGGCCGTTCGAGTAGATCTGCACCAGGTGTAAGTGAGTGCATTGAGAGAGGAAAGGAGCGCACATTAGCCGTGTCGAACGTGGTGATGCCATGGTCGAAGCTGGATATTCGTAGAAAGCCGTCAGCGCGGACTGTCGAAACAGAAAAGACGCACTCACGCGAACTTGATGTGCTTCATCGATTCCTCCTCCGGCAGCACCCACGACCGCCACTGAGGCGAGCCGTACGACATGCATCCGAGGATGATTCTTGAGACTTTGAGACCAGAGTTGCCGAGGCGAACTGGTCGAATGACTTTAAGGAGGGACCTTCGACCACTGAGGGGGGGACTCCGGACGCACCGTACTGCATCTTCGGAGACATGGTGGAAGTAAGAGAGTGAGCGGCGGCGAACTTTAGAGAGAGTTGGCGCGAAGAGAATGAGTAGCAAGAGAGTAAGAGATTCTGAGTATTGGTGGTGTACTCGGAGGCCTTTTAAGCTGTTTGCAGGTTCCGCGTTTGTTTCAAGTTTGTGTATTTATCCCCTGGCCCCGAGGGGGCCGGAGGTCCCGACCCACTGAGGGTCCGACTGACTGCGCGACAAGGGCTCGTCTAGCCAATCACTGTGTCCATGGCCCTGGGGCTCTATGACTGTTTTCTCAGAGAGAATCATCTGGTCTGAGTGGACGTAAAGGAGCGCTCACTTGAGACGATATCGCCGCCGCACTAGACGTGCATGCCACATTGCACGTCGACCGATGATCAGCGCGCTCAGTGAGACGAACGAGTAGAAACCACCTGCTAATAACACAGTGCGAGAACTGGATATGAGGCCATGAAGCGAAATCACCAAGCCTCTCTGTGCGTTTAACTATGTAGCTCAAGGGTGTGAGGGAAAGGCATGTCGACAGGCGCAGCACGCGCTGGTGACGTGACGGCAGGCCCAGACTGTGATGACGTCATTCGGTCCAGACCTTTCGGATATAAGCGCTCGACCCTCCTGAACTCCGAGCGCTGCCTTGAACGGCCTCGGTCAAGTTTCAACGTTCCAACGTCAACCCGGCCTCTATAGACCGTGTGCAGCTGGGGCACGCACGTCCAAGACTGCCAAATAGCCATCCATGTATTACATCATGCAACATGGTATCTTCCTCCTGCTCCCTCCCTCATCTTCGTCTTCGAACACTACGTCTAATGGCTCAGGGGACTCGCAATACGGGACACCCATCTGGTCTTTTTCCATCCGTCAGCATATGAAGAAGCCACTAAAGCCGATAGTACGGACCGTACTTGCGGTCCTCATGCCGGAATCGGTGTGCCTGTGTTTCTGTATGCTCTGCACCCTCCTTTTCGTCTGCGATGAGTTCGACGAATGTGTCCGGGAATTTCTCCACGACGACGCCTTGGGCTAGATGCGTTTGTCACTTCGAATGCATTCCTCACGGCCTCCAGTAACTCCTCTCACCTTCACTTCGAACGTCTAGACCGATGACTGAGGGCATGATATATGATGGGTATCGCGCAGTTGAGGATCGAGTGCAAGATGCTGCCCGCCAAAGAGGACAGTTTATATAGACAAACACTCCAGGCCCACGACACGGCACATCAGAAGCAGTGTTTTGTGCCTCCTTCGTGAGCGTGCAAAGCGATTTTTTCGGCCACCTTCACTGGGGCGTCGTGTGAATTAGAAGCTCGATCGGAACAAGAATGGCGAGAAGCAACACAAAGGCCCACTCTTTCCGTTTCACATGAATAAAAGGAACAAGAGCAACGTGTATCGTCGCCAGACCATTTCTGGGTTCAGATGACAAGAGCTGGCATGATAAAAACAACAACACAAATATAGGCGAATGCAAGCACCGATTACCGATGCATAGGATTCCCCCAGGGTCACCTACCGTCCACGCTGCACAGGGCGACGCCACTCGGGCCTGCGCTGGCTCAGTCGCCTTCCGCGTCTTCGTCACGGTTTCTCTCCCCGTGCTCTGGGCAGCCGCCGCAGCCGCTTCCAGGGCTCGTAAGGGTCGGGGACGGCTCTCCAACAGAACGCACAACCACGCCAGATGCGTGCCCTGTGCGCAGCCTCACCGATAAACGTCCCAACTTGATCGTCAGCAACGGAGCCGGTGCGAAGAAAGTGTTGAAGCGCGAGCGTCACGGGTCGAGAGAGATAATCAATGAAAGAGAAGCGGGTAGAATACATGGTGGTAGAAGTGTCTGCGGCTACAGGAACGACTCGTCGGTGGACGAGTCTGTAGATAAGGTTCAGAGTCCGACCGGAGAAGCCCGTAGTACGAGGCGCTCTACTTTATATAAACAGAAAGGTCTGTGCGAGTCTGACATCCGTGACGGGATCAGCTGGGAGTCCGTCCAGACGGCGTGCTGGCGCGGACGCGGGTGCGGGTGGAAGAGCAGCTGTGGGTGCGGGAAGAGTGGCGGCGGCGGCGGGAGGCTGGGTGCACGCGGCGGAGGCGGGTGCGAGTGCCGGCGGGTGCCATTTTGCTTCAATAGCCCACACGCGTGGCCAACGAAAGAGAATGTGCGATTAAGACATACATATTAGACAGTACGATGAGATAGATATACAAGTGCTCTAAGTCCAGTCCGATCCCGAGGCCAGAGCAAGGGCCAGCCTTCAAGAGGTCTCGTTCGGGTATCTCTTGATGTACCTGAGGTGAGCCACGAACACGGAGTTCTCCACACGCTCCAGCCCGTGCAGCCACACGCGGTAGAACGCGTCGGGCCTGAGCACCCAAGGCGAGTCGGCGGGCCCGTGGGGATCCGGCAAATAATAGTGCTTCTGCACGGAGGCGAGACGTTGGCAACGCGCGACGCAGAACAACAGGAGCACGCACCTCGACGAACGTCTGGAACACGCGCGCGACGGTCATCGCGAACCGCGCCTTGGTGCATTTCGAGTCGAACTTGACCCACTCCTCGTAGTGGAAGAACCCGGCGTCCTCGCCCGGGATCGGCCACTGCCACCGTCGCCCGTCAGCCCGCGCGCCCGCGCCGCACAAAGAAAGAGAGGACGCGCACCTCGAACCGGACCCGGACGCGCTTCAGGAGCACCTGGCGCATGAGCTCTTTCACGCGCTCCCGCCCGTCCGCCATGTGCTTCGCGACCTCCTCCTCCGTCGCGTTCGCGAGCGCGTACATCGGCATCCCGTACCGCCGCACCGAGCGCGACCCGATCCTGAACGCGAACTGGACGCGCTGGCCATGGCCTGCGAGGATGCGCGTCTGCGTGCGCGTCACGGGCCCACGGAAGACGGAACCCTCACCGCCGCCGCGGTCGCGGTTCTGCGGCTTCCTGCTCTTCCGCGACTTCCCGCTCTTCCGTGACTTCCAGCTCTTCCGCGGCTTCTCGCTCTTCTGCGCCGTCCCGTGGCGCGGGACGGGGCGGAGGAGGCGGAGCTCGTCGCGGGTGGTGACGAGCGCGCCCTGGAAGGTGGCGAAGAGCCGGGCGTCGTCTGCGGGGCCCCAGACGCTGTGGCCGGAGGCGCATTCCTTCATCGGGCGGGACATCTCGTTTGGCGGGAGCGGGGGGAGCGGGATGCGGGGAGCGGGGCCGGGGCTAGGGGGTGGCGGGCTGAGGGAACGGTGGTAGATGTGGTGGGCGTGTGTGGGCGGTTCGAAGAAAGGGTGGTGGACCGCGTTCATCGGGTAGGGGACTGAGGTAATGGAAGCAGAGAAGACGGGACGAGATATAGGTTATGGTGAGACAGTGGTCGCCGCGAGGAGGACAAAGCGATGGTGACATCTGGATAGTGGTCACTGTCGAAGGACAGAGCGTGTTGTGGCCAAAGCTAAAACTCTGCAGGATCAGTGGCACGCCTCTCAAAACCACGGTTCGGGCATCGTTGTCCTCAGCAAATCGGTAGGTGGATTCGATACCGGAATGAAGGTTGCTGGACGTCCAGATTTGGAGAGGCAGCAGCGCATGCGGAATCAAAAGTGCTCTCCTTGGGGACGACGGACGCGAAGCGGAGAGGACACAAAACAGCATAAAAGAAGCTGAAAACCAGTGTTTTTGCTGTCGAGTTCAGATAGGAGGAGGCAAATGCGAGGTCGAAGAAGTCACGGTCAACATGGTCGAGGAAGCCGGAGCGACGACGTTAACGTACGCCGATTACGTAAGTACGTTCGGTCGCCTGGTTCGAATCCGACTTGTGCACGTTTGGTTCTTCGAGGGTTGGGCTCCTGGATTTGCGGTTCGAGATGGTCGGGTAGGGCTAAATAGAGCGTAAATCTGGGACACCCCTTTCGTGTCGCATAAAACGGACGGTCAGATAATGCGTGGGCTGGTAGAGAGATAATGGAAGGGGAGTCAGCGCGGTGCCCAGGCTCGGCAAGGCCCGGCACTCTTCAAGTCACTAGGCATTCCGTAAGTTCGAATCCAGGTCGCCGGGTTTTCTACTGGGCTGTCCGATGTCGCTGAGAAATTTCCATAAACTTGTGGGTACTTGCAGACTACACTCTCAACATCTCCAGGCTTCCTACGAAAGTGGCAAACTCGCGCGCGATCACCTCGTGGAATTTCGACGCGGGATGAAACCTGTCGACGAACAGCGTTCCCTGATCCAAATCCGCCTGCGTGTACCCAAACTGTGCTGGGTCTGTACGTACACGCTCAAACAGGTCGAACGCAGAGAATATCATCACAGTCGCATCCGGGTGTGCCGCGGCGAACGCCTCCAAGTTGGTCTTCAGAGACGCGTTCCAATCCACGAATGCGTCTTGCGTATCTTGATTTTTGTTTCCTACGGGATGCGTGGTGTCAGCAAGCGTAAAACGGCACGCAGTGCGCATCTCCCTTACCACCCGGAAACGTGAAGATCGACGGCATATCGAACAAACAGAAGTTCCTCGCGCCCGATCCGTACAAGGCCGCGAGCGCCTTGACGAGGTCCTCGAAGGCCGGTTGCGCAGAGAGGACCTTCAGCCGCACGTCCCACGTGCAATCGTTGATACCGATCCAGATCGTTACCAACGTGTCGCTCGCCGTCCAGGGAGCCCATTCTGGCTTCGTTCCCGCAGAAGTGAGAAACTCGCGGTGGACCTGACACTTCCTGAGACGAGCAACAGTGTCGCCGCTGACCGCGTAGTTGAGAACACGCAAGGGCGACGCTCGACGATGCTTGTTAAGATGGCCGACCCAGTTGGGCTCGTAGGTGACTTGATTGGCCGCGTCGACGACCTCGCAGGAGGTGATCCCGGGGAAGGGTATCCCAAGGGGTTCATCGTCTGAGGGAGGCGGGTCCCTGGAGGTGAATCCAACTGAGGAGTAAGAGTCCCCGCTGTGTAGTATCAGCTTCAAGTGGACCCTGAAGTGAGAAAGGAAGAGACGAACAACACGATGAAGTATTTGATCGCGTCGAACCCGGGCCATGACTGAGAGACGGCGAGAGCCTGAGACCGCATTGCAGCAGTGCGGAGTGAAGTATAACGGTACCTTTGCTATCGGTATCGACTGCGCACGGCGCGGCGGTGTGGATGAGAGACGAAAGCGCTTGTGAATCGTGACGCGTAGGAAGTGACAAAGCGCAACAGTCACAGGTCAGAGTGACAGTCGCGTTCGTGACATATCACTGAAATGACTGCTTGTTGTCTCCTGAGACAAATCGTTGTGTTGGCCCGAGAGCAGTCTTGTCTGACATCCACTTCCAACCTTTTGTCGACGTCTCGACGTTGTGGTCCAAAATGACGCTCGGTTGTCATGAGTTTTTGTACGCCATTTAGTTGCCGCGCGTTGCCTCCGACCACTATCTCCCCCCTCTGCGATACTCCTCTCCACACCCGCATCCACTCTCGACATGGCCGGCATTGGCTCAACATGCACCTGTAAGACGTGCTACGAAGGATGGCTCTCACCACGGATGAGGGAGCGACTGGAATGTGAGTGTACGTCATTATCTCGCGCGCCCTCCCACCCATCTCCACTCGCCACAGGCTCCACCGAGTTCCGCTACGAGCTCTCGCTGTCGCTCCTGCGCACTCAAGACGACGTCCAGTCTGACCTGCCCAGCGGCCTCGACATCGACAACGTGACCGTCCACCGCGACGCCGCCTACCTCCCCCCACCCGTGCGCGCGAAGCTCGCCGCGCCCGGCGGCGACGCCATCTACCGCGGCTACGTCGCCGTCTTCAAGACCATCTTCGACCTCATCCGCGACGAAGACGGCAAGCACGCGGCGGGGTTCCCCACCGTCGCGGACGTCGACGCCGACATCGCGGCCGTTGCGGAGGCGACGACAGGGGACGCGCCCGCCGCCACCTCTTCCGAGTCAGCAGAGCCCGCTCGCCCCGCAAGCGCACCGATCGACCCCGTGCACCTCGCGGCGTACCGCGAGGCGGGGGGCAGCGCGCTCCCCGCGCTGGACTGCATCGTCGACCGCGCGCTGGAGGAGCTCTCGCCGCTCGGGCGCGAGTACAGCGTGGAGAGCGAGTACATCGATCAGGTGCTCGGCGGCGCGGACGTGGGCGCGGAGTGTGCGAACGACCTCAACTTTGCGCTCGTGCGGGAGAAGCTCGGGCTGCCGCGGGAGACGGCGGGACCGCAGTTTTGGAAGGGGATGGACGCGAGGGATCCCGAGTCGGACGATGAGAAGGACGGGTAGCAAGGTGGTGGACCGGATGGGGGACGGATGGTGGATGCTTGATTGGCTGGTGTGTTATGCCCTGCTTCTTCTCGCGATTTGGGTGCGTTGTTGAGGATTGAAGACGACACTGTAGACTGTATTCTATCACAAAGTGATGCACTTGCTTACGCTTCGAGCCTCCGAACGTGCTGCGTCTCATTGTGCCCGCACCACGCAAGCTGTAACCAGTGAGTCTTTGTCCATACTTTCGCACTGCAGAACAAGTGCAGCGTCTTCGCGTCGGCCAGGGAATGGCACGAGTCGGGTACGGGTGAACGGAGTACACCCTTATTCGACCCGCGACGTACTGGCAAGGGTAACCGGTAACCCCCCAGAACGTGTTCGTACGAAGAGCCCTTCTGAGATCCTCGACACCGAGGGCCACGCACGGCGACCTTCTCGAGGTGTCTCTCCTCCATAGCGTGTATCGAGGACCCTCCGACGGTCCTCATCGTCCCGTGCATGTGCGAGGTCTTCTCTGTCTCTTCGTCTTCCTTGCCAACCACGCTCTGGCCAGCCTCCCACTCTGACAGTGTGTCGCAGGGTACGGCCTGGCCTCTGTTTGCCGCCAAATGAGTCACCGCCTCTAGATCTCCTTCGAAAGTAGGGCTCCTTTGTTCAAGTCATGCAGTCCGCCCCTTCCGGAGATCATATAACCGTCTACGTTGGCGTTCCGACGAAACTCGTCCGGTATTTGAAAACCTGTCCAATGCTCTTCATGCCCCTTACACACATGTAGGCACGCTTGGGGTTCATGCAAGCCATTTAGATCTTGAGAACTAGTAGATAAGATCTAGATGTAGATAATATCGCGATACGCCGGAAAATAGCGCTGGCGTCTGAATATAACAAATGCAAACAAACCGCAGTGCGGCCGGCGGCCGGCGCGCAGTCATTTTACAACGAACCTCGTCATCGCTGGTCGCTCCGGGTTTGATCTTCGGGAAGACGATACCGCACGACACGAGGCCCTTCGGCAGGGAGGCGACGTGCGAACGGAGTAATCACCGGCGACAAACTGAATAGCCGGGTGTTTTATACTCAAACGTTCCAGACTCTCCGCCATGCGCGTCCAGCGGACGCTCAGAGTGCTCGGGTGGTCCTTCGTACTTCGAGGTCCCAAAGCACAGCGGCTTCCTCACAGCAAACGTCGTCTTTCGTTGGTATTCTGTCCTATGATTCACCAGTGCCTCACCCATGGCATACAGAACACCCTGATAAGTATTCCGGAGATCATGTCGCAACCTGGTATTCTATCTCATGGGAATGCCCTAGCTGCTTTGACAAGGACATGCACAAAACGGCTTACTAAGCTAGAGTGAGTCGCTTCGAACTACATGTCCCTCATGACTTTGTTGGACTTTGATCTCCCACAGAATGCCAGACCTGACACGGGAAATAACCGACGTATGTTCTATACCCGGAGGCGTCGCCCTCCTCGTGGAGCTTTCCGTGTCCGTCGGACGCTCAACTCAATCATGACAACTAGTGCTCACTGCATCCACGGGCCGGCGGCACAGCGCAGGCTTCTCGTGGGAGATAGGTCTGCATATATACGTGTTGAGGTGTGGAGCCAGACTCCATAGCATCTCGCCCAATTTTGTTCACAGTTCTTCCACGATGCTCGACCAACCCGTCTCCCTTCTTTACCTCGTCACTTCCGCCGTGCTCGCTCACCTCGTCTGGCGACTCACGCGCAACTACATCCTTCCTTCCCCTTTCAAAGAACTCTCAGGACCCCCAGCCGGTTCCCTGTGGGCCGGTGAGTAGCAGCTCGTATGTTTGGAGCCCCGCCCTGCCTGATCCTTCTCTGCAGGTCATATGCTACAACTCGTCAACCCCAGTGACGGTTGGCGGTTCTTTGACGATTTAAACAGCACATACGGCACCGCGTCCAAGCTGCGTGGGTTCTTCGGCGTGAGACATCTCGAGCTAGCCTAGTAGGGATACAGCTGATGATGATGTCACTCAGGAAACCTGGCTGCATGTCTACGACCCGAAAGCCCTCCATCACATCTTCGTGAAGGACCAAGACAAGTTCCCCAAGAACAGTCTTCAAAACCAGTAAGCTACAGGTCTGAGCACTCGAAGTCCGTCTTATCACGATCCATGGTTAGGTTTGCCACGCTCCTTCTCGGCAAAGGACTCCTCACGACCGGCGGAGATGTGCATCGCAAGCAGCGCAAGATGCTCAACCCGGTCTTCTCGGGGGCCCACATGCGCGCCCTCACCCCGATCTTCCATAATATCACTAGCAAGGTACATCTTCGCAGGCCGTTCGACGTCTGGGCGCTGAAAATATCCCTTCGCAAAGCTCGTTATAGCCATCAAGTCCCGTGTCGAGGACGGCGCGAAGGAGATGGACGTCCTCGAGTGGATGGGTCGCACTGCGCTCGAGCTCGTCGGACAGGGCGCCTTGGGCCACTCCTTCGACCCCTTGACCGCGGAATCGCAGGACGAGTTCACATCCTGTGTCAAGCTCTTCACGTACGTCTTCACGTCGCGTCTGAGACCATTCTGTTTTGACGTGGCTTTGGTTCACAGCGCTGTCTTGCCGCAGGTTGCCCACCTGCGAATCCTGCTCCCGATCGTGACCCGCCTCGGCCCCGCGTGGTTCCGCCGCCGCCTTCTTAACTTCGTGCCAAGTGCCAAGATCCAGCGCGTCGTGAAGATCGTGGACGTTGTTGATCAGGGTTGCCGGACGCTCATCGAGTCGAAGAAGGCTGCGCTGATGGGCGGAGACGAGGAGCTCGCGACCGCCGTTGGAGAGGGAAAGGATGTCATGAGCGTCCTGCGTCAGTGTTCTCTCAAAGCCCACCCGCATCGTGCATCACTGATGATGGCGACGCACACAGTGAAGGCCAACATGATGGCTCGGGAAGAGGACAAGCTCCCGGACGATGTTCTCCTTGGACAAATGACGTAACCTTTCCTCCCGCGTCAATCGCACTGCGTCGGCAGACGCTGACTGCAGACTTGCCTCCAGGACCTTCATCGTCGCGGGAGTGGACACGACCTCGAACTCCGTCTCGCGCGTTCTCTGGCTGCTTTGCGAGCACACGGACGTCCAGGCGAAATTGCGCGCCGAGGTCCGCGAGGCTCAGGAGACGTACGGTGTCGACATGCCGTACGACCAGGTCATGAATCTGCCGTACCTCGACGCCATCTGCCGCGAGACGCTCCGCCTGTGCGTATCTTTGCTGTCACTTCCGCACGTTTTAATGTCATACTGAGGTTTCCACCTTTGGATAGCTACGCGCCTGTCAATCATTCCATGCGCGCGTGAGTCTGTGTGCCCTGGTTCTCTATCACCTTACTCACGATTCGCTCGTAGGGCCAACGAAGACGTCGTTCTCCCTCTCCAGGATCCCGTTCGGGGAAAGAGCGGGAACATGATCAGTGAGATCGTCGTACCGAAGGGAGCTACCGTGATTTGCAACCTCCGCGCGTGCAACACGAACCCCGCGATCTGGGGCGAGGACGCGAAGGAATGGAAGCCGGAGCGCTGGCTGGACGGACTTCCGAAGACGGTCGACGATGCGCACATCCCCGGCATCTACTCCAACCTGTGAGTGCTCCTCTGCGTCGTGAATGGACGCAAGCTGACATTCGAGGTCCTTAGGATGACGTTCATCAGCGGCAGCCATTCGTGCATGTGCGTACTCCGTCTTCGTCTCGGAACATCCCGCACGCTGACCGGATCTCGACGGCCCCCTCTGCAGCGGCTTCAAGTTCTCTCAACTCGAGATGAGTGCGTCGCGTCCGTCCCTCTGCCACTCGTTCCGTTTTCTGACGCGCTGTTGCGGCAGAGGTCGTTCTGACCGCTCTGATCTCCAACTTCAAGTTCGAGACCTCGAGCATCCCCACTGCGTGGCAGTTTGCGGGCATCGCGTTCCCGGCGCGCGCCGACGACCCGACTCGCACGCCGAAGATGTTCATGAAGGTGTCGATCGCGGATTGAATGCATACCGAATCACTCGCGGAGAGGCACTTGAGTCTCTTTCGGTGTACTCATACGTCGATCGTACGTTTATGGCTCGGGTGTCGGTGCGGAGCTCTTGAATGCATTCCCGTCGGACTGTCTCCAAAGTTCCCGCCACGCGCCTCCAAATATATCCCGCTCATCGTCTATCGTGCTAGAATATCCTCCCATTCGCGGGCTATGCAGTTGCGCTTTCAGCGGCCCCGTGCGTCGTCGCTACTTCCACACCGTCTCACAGGTTCAGTGAATCCCACATAATTACCATGCCGTAAATTGGTATGATGCTTCTCGGGGGGGAAGCTTCTGGAGTAGCTTCCCAGGCCTCTAGATGCAGCTCAAAACGGCGCTGACATCCATCCAGTCGTTTGTCGGTTTACCCCTACGTCACGGTCTAACCTCAAAGGACCAGGCCTCCGAGCGCCAAATGTGGCCGAGCGGATCGGGATCTCGGAGCCAGCGGTAAGCGCCCTCAATCCCCGCTTGAGCACTTGTGTCCATGTCGTCAAGAGTACGGTGGGCGAGATGGAGTCATGTCCCCATGGCCTCATTCACTCTCATGTCTTCCTTCCGCTCCCCACGCTCTGCCTCTACTACGATCTTTGCACCATGACTAGTGACTGCCTATGCTCGCCTCTCTGCGCAGGAACCTCTCTTCGGCCAGACGGTGACCCTCGCGGACCAGCACCAGCGCGCGCTCGCCAAGGCGCGGCGCACGCTCGACCGCAAGCGCACGAGCACAGAGCTCGAGCAGTACGTAGGAGAAGAAGTTCATTATGGAGTCATTAGGAAGGGTGTAAAGTCCGGCGAGATGGTGCGTATCGTCGTGTCCCGCCCTCATCATTGTGCAGCACTAAAACATGCTCGAAAGGCGGGGCCAGGTTACGACGCACCGTCGGCTGCTTGCACCAGTGCGCAGGGCGTGGAGGGGTTGTGCACTGCGGGGGCACATGGTGATGATGGTGCTTGAACGAGTGAAGGGCATCATCGGCCGAAGGACGCGCGCGCCCAAAACGAGTCGCCTCTTATCTCCTCCTCAAGTTCTGCACCTCTCAGCATGCCACCTGAAGACGATAACTAACCTCCTCAGTATGCTGTGGTCTGGCTCTGCTGAAGTTAGGGTGCGGGTTTCGTGTGATCGGCGAGATCCCGACAAGGTGGGTCCGATAAATATGATCACATCCAGCGTATTTCTGATCATCCGTCCACACCTCTACACGCACATCCTCCCTTTCAGCCGTTTGTGGTATAATTTTGGGTCACGTATGTGTTTACAGTGAACCACAGGTGCGTTATCTTCTTCTGCGACATCCCGCATTCCCCTGAAATGGCACCCACGGCAGGGCCCACACCCGATTACATGGACCCGCTCAACCAATGGGTCGCTTCTGGAAGTTCTTGTTCGTGCTACTCTGCCTAACTGCGCCGAGCGCATGCACGCCGACGATATACACCTTCTGTACGAGCTCCATGAGTCATGACCGTGTATTCGCGCGCCTCCTACGCGGGGGGTCACCGCGCTAGGCTCGACCGCACCTCCCAGGACTTGGCAGAAGACGGCCAACGTGACCTGCTGACCCCGCCGTACACTATCACATCGCACCCATCCCAGTCGCAATCGTCGCCGCGGGGAGCTCATACGTGACCTTCGTCGACATCCCTTCCCTACTCTTCCCCGCTCTACACTCGACTCACGCGCGCCCCGCAGCGCTCATCGGCTACCGGAACGCGCTCTAGCTCGCTGCCGCGCTCGCCGAGGACTTCCTCCTGGTGGCGCTGAGCTGCATGCCTTGTGCGCGCCGTGTGGGACGCGCGCGCACCCGCCATAGCGCGCGCTGCTCGCGCTTGCTGCCGCCGCGCGTAGTGGACGGGCCTGCTCATAGGACGGGCGACGTTGATGTGCTGGGATTCGGCGTTTCGATGGTCGTGTATTCGGGCGGGCACGCGGGCGGTGATGGGAGGCGAGAGGAGCGCGTTCCTTTTGAGAGGCCGAGGGCGTGGCAAATAGCAGAGCAGACCGTCGAGTGAAGTGAAACATGCTGCGCATCCGTATTTCCGTTGATGAGTGCGCTGATCTGTTCTGTATTGCTGTGCCGGATGCCTGACCAACCGAAGTTACTGAATTCGCCCGCCTGGATTCCCTGAAAAAGCGGTGGTATGAGGACCCGCGAAGGGCCTCAAGGCACGACCTTCTGGTTCATGCGTTAAGTCATGATCATTCTTCAGAAGTATTAGATAGTAAGGTCTAGATGTAGATACCCCGGGGTGAAGTTTCTTTCTACCACGGACCTCTTCATCGCTGGGGACGATACCGCAGAACGCCCGACATTTCACCCAGATGGATCATGCACACTGTGTCTGAGCCGAATCCGGACATTATTGATGGCGATGATGCCTGTAGGCGCTTACAGGGCGGCGAGTGGCCGAAGCTAAGCGCTCGCTAAGCCCTTCCCGACACTGGGCGGGGGCTCCCGGAAGGCGGTGCGGTACGCGTCCCTTCGGCAAGGCTCATGGACTCGTAATCGCCGCGGTGCGTTATGTCGTTTCTGTCACCCCAAGCACGTCGGCGCCCTTTCAACCGTTCCAGATCAGCCGCGTGTCCTGCGCACGCTCAGACTGAGGCTCCGGCGGTCCTCCATACTTCGAGCCTCCACTGCTTCCCCACAGCAAGCGTCGTCTTTCGTTGGTCTTTTGTCTCTACGACTGGCGTGGATTCATCCCTGCCTCAAAAACACGGAACACCCTAAGGGTTCGGAGATCACGTTGCAACGCTGGTACGCTATTTCCCCTCAAGGACATACGTAAAATGGCTTACTAAGCTGCAGTGAGTACCTTCGAACTGCACGTTCTGCGTCCGGAGGTATTGCCCTCCTCGTGCCTTCCCAACGCTCAAGATGATCATGACAATCGAGTGCTCACTACATCCACGGGCCGGCGGCACAGCTCAAGCTTCTCGTGGGGAGGTAGGTCTGCATATATACGCAGTGAGGTATGTGCCGAGCCGGACTCCATCTCTCGCCCTTTCTTGACGGTTCTTCCACGATGCTCGACCAACCCATCTCCCTTCTTTACCTCGTCACTTCCGCCCTGCTCGCACACCTCGTCTGGCAACTCACCCGCAACTACATCCTTCCTGCTCCTTTCAAAGACCTCTCAGGACCCCCCGCCGGTTCCTTGTGGGCTGGTGAGTGGTAGCTCATATGCTCGGAGGCCTATTGCGCCTGATCAGTCACCGCAGGTCATATCCTGGATCTCCTCAACCGCAGTGAGGGTTGGCAGTTTTTCGATGATTTAACTAGCACATACGGCACCGCGTCCAAGCTGCGTGGCTTCTTCGGTGTAAGCTATTTCTCGAGCTTGCCTAGTAGGGGTAGCACTGATGATGTCACGCAGGACACCTGGTTGCATATCTACGACCCGAAAGCCCTTCATCACATCTTCGTGAAGGACCAAGACAAGTTCCCCAAGAACAATCTCTCAAACCAGTAAGATGTATGCCTGACCCATCAAAGCCCCTCTAATCACGCATCAGGTTTGCCACGCTCCTTTTCGGCAAAGGCCTGCTCACGACCGACGGAGATGAGCATCGCAAGCAGCGCAAGATGCTCAACCCGGTCTTCTCGGGGGCCCACATGCGCGCCCTCACGCCGATCTTCCATAACATCACTAGCAAGGTACACCTCCGTAGACCGTTCACTATCTGCGTGCTGAGAATCCCGCTTCGTGCAGCTCGTTCTGGCCATCAAGTCCCGTGTCGAGGACGGTGAGAAGGAGATGGACGTCCTCGAGTGGATGGGTCGCACCGCCCTCGAGCTCGTCGGACAGGGCGCTTTGGGCCACTCCTTCGACCCCTTGATCGCGGAAACACAGGACGAGTTCACATCCTGTGTAAAGCTCTTCACGTACGTCTTCCCGCCGAGTCTGTAATCATTTTTTGACGTGGCTTTGGCTCATAGCGCCGTCTTACCGCAAGTTTCCCACCTGCGGGTCCTGCTCCCCATCGTGACCCGCCTCGGCCCCGCGTGGTTCCGCCGCCGCCTTCTCGACCTCGTTCCCAGTGCACAGATCAGGCGCGTCGTGAAGATCGTGGATGTTGTAGATCAAGGCTGCCGGACGCTCATCGAGTCGAAGAAGGCTGCGCTGATGGGCGGAGACGAGGAGCTCGCGACTGCCGTTGGAGAGGGAAAGGATGTAATGAGCGTCCTGCGTGAGTGTTCTCTCAACGCCCACTTGCGTCGCGGTTCGCTGATGATGGTGATGCGCACAGTGAGGGCAAATATGATGGCTCGGGAGGAAGACAAGCTCCCGGACGATGTTCTCCTGGGACAGATGACGTAACCTTCCCTCTCGCTTCAATTGCAGCGGCGGTCGATGCTGATTTCAGACTTCCTTGCCTTCAGGGGCTTCATCGTTGCGGGAGTGGACACGACCTCGAACTCCATGTCACGCGTGCTCTGGTTGCTCTGCGAGCACAAGGACGTCCAGGCGAAATTGCGCGCCGAAGTCCGTGAGGCTCAGGAGACGTACGGCGTCGACATGCCGTACGACCAGGTGATGAATCTTCCATACCTCGACGCCATCTGCCGCGAGACGCTTCGATTGTGCGTATCATCGTGGTCTTTGCTGCACGCTTTGTCGTACTAAGATATTTACCCTTGGACAGATACGCTCCTGCCAACCATACGACTCGCGGGTGAGTCCGTGTGCCCTGGTTCTCTATCACGTTGCTCACGATTCGCATGCACGGCTTCTCGTAGGGCCGGAGAAGACGTCATCCTCCCTCTCCAGAATCCCGTTCGCGGTAAGAGCGGAAACATGATCAGCGAGATCGTCGTGCCGAAGGGAGCTACCGTGATTTGCAACCTCCGCGCGTGCAACATGAATCCCGTCATCTGGGGCGAGGACGCGAAGGAGTGGAAGCCGGAGCGCTGGCTGAACGGGCTTCCGAAGACGGTCGATGATGCGCACATCCCCGGCATATACTCCAACCTGTGAGAACTCCTCTGCGTCGTGAATGGACGCAAGCTGACATTCGAGATCGTCAGGATGACGTTCATCAGCGGCAGCCATTCTTGCATGTGCGTACTGCGTCTCTATTTCACATCCCGCACGCTGATCGGATCTCGACGGCCCCCTCTGCAGCGGCTTCAAATTCTCTCAACTCGAGATGAGTGCGTCGCGTCCGTCCCTTTGTCACCGATCCGGTTCTCTGACGCATCGCGTCGGCCTTTTTACGACAGAGGTCGTTCTGACCGCTCTGGTCTCCAACTTCAAGTTCGAGACCTCGAGCATCCCCACCGCCTGGCAGTTCGCGGGCATCGCGTTCCCGGCGCGCGCCGACGACCCCACTCGCGCGCCGAAGATGTTCCTGAAGGTGTCGCTCGCGGATTGAATGCGCACCGAAACAGGCGGAACGTGTGCAAACGTATTGCGGAGGTGCAATCAAGTCTTCGCGGGTGTACTCATGTGTCGATCGTGCGTTCATGGCTCAGGTGTAGATGCGTAGTAGCCTCTCCCATTCTTGTCGGACTGTCTCCGAAGTTCCTACCACGCGCCTCCACATTATCCCGTTCACCGTCTGTCGCGCTAGAATATCCTCACCTTCGCGGGCCACGCAGTTTCCCTTTTTGTGACCCGTGCGTCGTCGCCACTTCCGTACCGTCTCATGATTAATCCCAAGTCTAGTGAATCCAACTTCATCACCATGCTGTAAATTATCATGATGCTTCTCGGGGGTTCTTCCGGAGTAGTTTCGCAGGTCTCCAGATGAAGCTCAAAATGGTGCTCACATTCATCCTGTCGTTTGCTGGCTTACCCGTACGTCTAACCTCAAGTCACCGTCAAAGAGATCTACGAGCGCTAAATGGGTCCGGATCAAGATCTCGAACGCCAGCGGCGGTAGACGCCCATAAGACCCGCTTGAGCTCTTGCGTCCATGTCGTCAAGAGTATGTTGGGCGAAATGGAGTTACATCACGGCATCATTCACTCTCACATCTCCATTGCACCGCTCCAGCTCCATATCTATCTTCAGGTACGATTTTGAATCCCGGGGCCTCCGAATCACTACTGATGACACGAGATAAGCCCACGACTTAACTTTTTGGGGTCACAACGGTGAGTTCAAGTTCTCTGAACTTGATTAAGTGCGTACCATCAATGCTATTTCTTGTCGAGACTTCTAAATCCGTACAGGTGGTGCTCTTTGCGCTTGCGTTTGTGTTCTACTTCAAATACACCAACGTGGCACTCGTCTGGAACCTTGTCGGCGTGACCTTCTCCGCGAAGAGTCACGACAATGTCCTGCCCGAGTTGCATTCGAAGGCCGCAAGGTGGTTCTTGAATGTGTAAGCAACTGCGCAGATGCTGCAGCACTCTCTCACCATTCGGAACAAGGACGGATGGTTCTCCGATACCTCGAGATCAAGCGCAGACATCGGACGCTGGGCTCGAACGTCTTCCTCACAAGTTGCCGTAGCGCTGCTCGTCGGCCGAGAGCGGCGATTCGCATCCGATGAATGGCGACTCACGGACGAACTCAGCTCTCACGCTGGTTCTTCTAACTGTGTGTCCGGCTACTATTCACATCGTATCCACGCGAGCTCCGCCGGAACCCGTGTGGATCCATGTCTATATAGGTTTCGAAGTACTGACGACCAGCGTCGACACCAACCATGGACGACACCATCGCGCTCATCGTGACTGGCTTCGCTGGCATCGTCGTCCTCGCCGTCCTCTCCAGGAGACTTCTTCTACGTTCCAACTTCCCCAATCTTCCCGCACCACCCGCGGGCTCCCTCCTTACCGGTACATTCTTGCTCATCCGACATAGACTCACTTACCAACATCTTTCTCACTCTCAGGAAACGTGCACCGCATGCGCAGTCGCCACAGCATCGAGTACAGAAGGCATGTAACCGACACCCACGGACCGTTGTTCAAACTCGCGGGTCCGTACGGGGTGCGTCTTTGCGCCACGGCGAAGACTGCAGGCTGACGCAGTTATGTAGGCGGAATGGCTGTACATCTACGACCCCAAGGCTCTCTACAGCATCGCTATCAAGGACCAAGATGTCTGGGGGAAGCACGGCGCGTTGTTAACGTATGACTGCTCTGTGGTCAGTCGAAAATTACTGATCGATGACTGTTTCTCAGGATGATTATGCTTGGCCCCGGCCTGCTCGCGACGGAGCATCACCAGCACCGCAAGCAGCGCAAGATGCTCACCCCCGTCTTCTCCGCCGCGTACTTGCGCAACATCACGAGCGTGTTCTACGAGACGACCTACAAGGTGAGGGGAGCCGCCTGCGCATCCGCTAATGTCACCTGATGGTCCTCGATCCACCCAGCTGCGCGACGCCGTGCTTGCCGACATCAACAGCGACGCGGACGAAATCGACGTGCTCAAGTGGACCGGACGCGCCGCTCTCGAGCTGCTCGGGCAAGGTGCGCTCGGCCACTCCTTCGACCCGCTCACAAAGGAAGTCCCCGACGCGTTCGCGGCCGCCGTCAAGTCGTTCTTGTGCGTGCGCCTCCTTCCGCGTGCGTGTGCCTTCACACTGACGCGTCTGAACATAGCGCCGCACTGGGACCACTGCACCTCTTCCACATCATGCTCGGCCCGCTCCGGCGGTGCGGGCCGAGCTGGTTCCGACGCATGGTCGTTGACGCGGCGCCGTTCGAGAGCGTGCAGCGGATGAAGGCTATCGTGGACACTATGCACGCGCGATCGATCGAGATCGTCGAGGAGAAGCGCGCCTCGCTCATGCGCGACGACGAGGCGATGCAGCGGCTCGGCGAGGGCAAGGACGTCATGAGCATCTTGTGTGAGTGGGCTCGAAGAGGCGGCTTGGCTCTCTGGCTGACGTGTTGGCAGTGCGCGCGAACATGGCTGCGGGCGAGAAGGATCGGCTCACCGAGGAAGAGCTCATCGCTCAGGTGTCGTGCGTACCTCCGTCAGCTCTCGCGGGCCAGCTTCTCCTGACATGCTCGTCAGAACGTTCGTTCTTGCGGGCATGGACACCACGTCCATCGCTACCTCCCGCGTCCTGCACATCCTCGCCTCCAAGAAAGACGCGCAGACAAAGCTTCGGAACGAGATCCTGGAAGCGCAAGCCGGCACCGAGGTCTCCTACGACACCCTCATGGAACTCCCCTTCTTGGACGCCGTTTGCAGAGAGACCCTCCGCGTGTGCGTTTATCCACTGCCACCACTGCCATGCGCTTCTCTAACCATGTATTCCAGATACGCCCCCGTTACCACCATCAGCCGCTAGTCCGTTACACGCCTCTTCGTTCTTCTCACCGCTCATCGTTTTTTTCCTCGTGTCTAGCGCCGTCAAAGACACAGTCCTAGGGCTGTCTGCCCCGATCCGTGGCACGGACGGGACGCTGATATCCGAGGTGCTGGTCCCGAAGGGCACCGCCGTGCTCTGCGACCTCGGCGCGTGCAACACGAACACGGCGCGTGCAACACGAACACGGCGCTGTGGGGCCCGGACGCGCGCGAGTGGAAGCCGGAGCGGTGGCTCGCGCCGCTCCCGCGCGAGGTCGAGGAGGTGCGCGTGCCCGGGGTGTACTCGAACTTGTGCGTCGTCGTCTCGTCCCGCGGACTTTCGGGACGGTACTGACGTGTTCCTTTTGTGGTAGGATGACTTTCCACGGCGGCGGCCGGTCGTGCATCGGGTTCAAGTACGCGCAGCTCGAGCTCAGTACGTCCCCCCCTCTGAGGCCCAGAGAGACGCTGACCTTGGCCCGTCGATCACGCAGAGGTCGTCCTGGCCGTGCTCCTCGCGAACTTCCGCTTCGAGCTGTCCGACAAAGACATTGTGTGGAACAGCGCCGGGGTGATGTACCCCACGGTCGGTCCCGTGAGCAAGAAGCCTGAGATGCCGCTGAAGGTGTCTGTGTTCCGGGAGCGTATGTAGACTCGGGGAACTGTAGGGCATCGTTCACGTGCTGCTATGTCATATTTTACTTTGACCCTTGCGTTTGTGAACTGATCAATTCACTACCGATCCCAGCGGGCTCAAACTATCGCACCTCCAGATGACCGAGTCCTCATGTGCCTTCCCTCGAGATCTTCGCCCCTCACCAAGTCTCATCGCCCATAGATTCTCTAATCCCATTCGAACTCGCATTTGTTTGGAACTTCGCGCGCGCAGCCTACTCTTCGGCGACAAAGATCCTGCTAACGAGCGAGCGCTAAATGGATTATATTTAGTGACCGCGTGACTATCGCTGAGACGGCATTGTTCGCGGCGGGCACGGGCACGGTTCCGTAACGCCCATCTTCAAAGTTTCATCTTCGCTATCAGTCCGCTCGGTAGGCCAACCTTCCCCAGGGCTTGGGGACTTCTGACACGGGCGTAGCTTTCTCCTGTCGATGATTGAGCCACTCATTGCATCCAGCCTGTCCAGCGTTCGTGCGGGTACGGCAAATGAAGTGACTCCGCACAGGGCAGTACTTGCGTGAGCCCGCGGTGTGTCATTCCGACTGCCTGCCGGAAGCGCGAGTCTTTCCGCGGATCGTTAGGCTTCGAGACACTGATCGAATCGATCAGTTTCAAGACAGAGCTTAAGTCTCTTGATGAGTTTACCGGCACGCCCATTCTGACCACAGCATTCTTCCGCGCGGCTCTATGTATCGCTTTACCGTCGCTCTAGAGGTTGTGATCGAGACTTTTATCAGCATTCTATGACCCCAAGCCCCCATCGGACTTGCGGATGTCGCCCCTTCTCGCTCCTTCGAAGGCAGGCCTTCCCGCAGCTTTTGTGCAAGTCATGCAGTACGACCCTCTCCGGGATCAAGGGATTCTGTACGAGCGCCTTCTCCGAGAAGCTGGCGTTCCGACGAAACTCGTTCAGTATGTGGAAAGTGCTCACTGCCCTCATTGAACCACCCCTCACCGCTTACAGGCACGACCGTCTCGTTCATGCAAGCCACTACTGGTGCCCCGAGCTGCCGTGCACCCAGACTGTGCACGAGGAGATGCGGAGCGGATTGAAATGGCTCCTGAGCCTGCAGAACTTAGTACAGCCGGTAGATAAGATGCGGATAGGCCTGCGAGATAAGATCCCTCGCCGCCGGCGTCTTAGTATAACAAGAGCTCGCAATCTAGAAATTGTGGGCGAGCGCCGAGTCAGGTTTCGTTCGACCACTACCCCATCATCTCCGGTGGCGATCTTCGGTAGGACCGCTGTCTTCTCCCTCGGGGAGTCGGCACACGGCTTTGGCTTTGGGTTCAAGGCTCAATATAAGTTTTAGAGGTTGATTGATTATGTAAGCGAGACTGGCACGATCACGATTTCGAACTCTAAAGATCAAGCGGTTCCCGAGCTGGTCGACTCAGGGATTTCGATTAGGTTTGCACAAAGTAACTTCGAATGGACCCAATATGGGTGTCATGTCGAGGGAATATCGCATGCCCGTTTGTCAAGGTATCAGAGATGGGGAAGCGGAGAAAAGAGGCAGAAATGGAAGATGTGAGGGACCTCATGGTACCGCGAAAGGGACCAGAGATCAGCGAGAGTGGTATGGGATGTTCACCTGGCAGCGGAACGGAAGGGGATGAGCAGTTCTGCGCTGCATGCATCCTTCTCTCGCCGCCTGCGGTGCCCCGTGCCGCGCCCCACAGCTGCAGGGCGTTTCATGTTGTGCACATGTCCCCGTCTAAAGCGCGGGAGGAGGAAGACTCGAAGCAGGGCGCCCGACTCACTCACGGCTCTGCCGCAGCACAGACCGAATTCGGAGGCAATTGTCAAAACTTCTAACTTTCAGGCGTCCAGTCGGAAGCGGTACGCACATGCAGCACGGACACAGCCAAGACCGAACATCTTGGTTCCCGTGCGCACACTCTCCTAATAACGGCGTGAACAACGACTTGGACGATGCGCAGCGCACTGCTGATGACGGTGGTTGTCGTGTGCCTGGGGTGGAGCACAGAGTCGCAAAGCACTGAGAGGTAGAAGACTCACACGAAGCTTGAGAACTCGCGCTCGAGCGTGAACAACCACGGTGCCAAGTGTCAATTGTCACTGCGGAAAGCACAAAAAATAACCGGGCCAAGACGGGGCTAACAAGGACGCTGGCCTGCGCTGTGGTCGCGTTCGTCCGCTGTGCGCCCTCCGTCCCACGCGGCTGCGTATGTTGGTGGAGATGTCTCGAGCACGGGGCAGGAAATCTTCGTGGGTGGTGTCAGCTGGCAATCGCGTGACCAGAGAGGCTGAAGAGAGGGAAAGCTGAGGAAGAGAAGAGCAGAGGCGGAGAGAGGCTCAGGTGATGATGGTGTCCGGGCGAGAGCAAACATCCGGCGGGTTTTCCGCGGGCGCTCGCGCGCCGGGAGACGGCGGGGGCGGGCGCTGGCACGGGGCCGGGGTGGACCCCTCTTGAGGGCGCGGTGGGTTGCACGCTCGTTGTCTCTCGCCGCGCCAGCCCCCGCCTTTGGTCCCCACTCGCCGTCGTCGCCGTTCCGGACAGGCCGCACGCCATTCACGCGCTCGAGCGAAGACACGGGCCGGAGAGAGGGCTTATCTCGAGCAGAGCGGATTCTTATCTCTCCATCACGCCTCCAGGCTCAAGGGCGCGATAGACGTCTGCAAACATGTCGCACGCGGGCTCCGACGCCTCTTCTCACTCTCATTCCGTCATGACCGAGGACGAGGAGGACTGGGAGGACTACGTCAAAGGCGGCTACCACCCCGTCCACATCGGCGACACCTTCTCCGACGGCCGCTACCAAGTCGTCCGGAAGCTCGGCTGGGGCCACTTCTCCACCGTCTGGCTCGCAAAGGACTCAAAGTGAGTGCGCGCTCTTCCTCTCTCTCCTCCCCCGCCTCGTCCCCCGCCCCGTCCCCATCGGCCCAAGCCACGCCCCTCGTCCCCCGCCACGCCCCCCGCACGCGGCTGGATCGCGCGAGGGGCGGAGGCGTGGCTTCCCGCGTGCGTTTTCCGCCTCTCCCACCGCTGCGGTCCTCCCAAGAGCGATCGCGCGTTTGCGTATGTCCTCTGTTCCTACATCATGCGTCGTCTGGATCGCATTTTCATCTCTGCTCCCCAATGCGCCTCTCTACACAGCGCACACGCTCACTCCTTTCACCGGGTGGGAACGCATCTCGTGTCCCCGAGCACCTGTATGCGCACCACCTCTGCGTTCCGCCGTTGGGCCTCGACGGTGCCTCGCCTCAGGCGGCCAGATCGCCGTCGGCTCATCCGAGCCAGATTCCATATTGGGACGAATGGGCGGGTTCTTGTAGAGCCACTTTGCCCCGACGCCGGCTCGCTGATGCGCAGATTCTCGTCATCCCACCCTTCCTGCCTTCTCTACCCACACGCCGCACGCGGTCACGGGCTGCCCGACGCCATGCTCATCCCCTTCCCTCAGGCTCAATCGACACGTCGCTCTCAAAGTCGTCAAGTCCGCCCCGAGGTATACCGAAACCGCGCTCGACGAGATCAAGCTCCTCCAAAGACTAATCACCTCTTCAACACCCCCTGTCGCCCCAACACCAGAGAACCCGAACCCGCCAATATCCCCCTCCGTCACCCATTCCGGTCGCTCCCATGTCATCTCCTTCCTCGACCACTTCCGCCACAAAGGCCCGAACGGGACCCACGTCTGCATGGTCTTCGAGGTCCTCGGCGAAAACCTGCTCGGGCTCATCAAGCGTCACCAGAACAAAGGTGTGCCTATGCACATCGTGAAGCAGACCGCGAAGCAGATCCTCCTCGGCCTTGACTATATGCACCGCTGTTGTGGTGTCATCCATACCGGCGAGTCCTTTTGCCCCCGCTCACGCTAAACATCTGACCGTTCCCCAGATCTGAAGCCGGAGAACGTCCTCATCTGCATCGACGACGTCGAGTCCGTCATCCAGGCCGAACTCGCCGCCCAGTCTGCCTCACAAACCCCACCCCCCACCCGCCTCGTCGGTGTCCCCCCCTCACGCGGTCGGGGCGGCAACCAGACACCCCGCTCCGAGTCCGTCTTCATAACCGGCTCCCAGCCCCTCCCGTCTCCCTCTTCCTCCTTCGGCTCCTCGTCCCACCTCGACCGCTGGGCGTTCGGGATGAGCAAAATCGAGGACGCGGGCGCCAACGGCGGCGCGAGCGGCCCGGGCAGCGTCGGCAGCTCGAAGATGAAGGACCCCGATGCCGAGGGCGACGACGGGCGCGACGGCAAGGGTCGCTCGGACAGGCGTCAGGGACCCGCGCCGGACGGCGACGCGGACATGGCGGCGGAGGACGCGGCGGAGCGAATAGGCAACGTCACCCTCAACTCGTCCCCGTTCGGCGAGAAGACGCGCCCAGACCCCGCGAAGGCGAAGCAGGCCGGGCCATCGCTCCTGTCGCAGCAGGCACCCCCCGTCGCCGGTCCGTCGACGAGCGCAGCGCTCGAGCCGCCGCCGTACACCGCGAGCGGGGGGGACGACCCGATGGGCTCTGTGGACACGCCCCTGTCGACGAGCGCGATGTCGATCGACGGTGTGGGCGCGGTGTACGACGGCCAGGAGAAGATCACCGTCAAGATCGCGGATCTGGGCAACGGTGCGTGGGTCCGGAGGGCGGCAGGGTCGACCGGAAGCTGATGCGATCGGGGCTGCAGCGACGTGGGTCGAACACCACTTTACCGACGACATCCAGACGCGCCAGTACCGCTGTCCAGAGGTCATCCTCGGCGCCAAGTGGGGCCCCAGCGCGGACATCTGGAGTATCGCTTGCATCGTGAGCTTCGCAGTCCTCCGCGGGTGCACGCACGCCTGGCTCACGCGTCCGCGCAGATCTTCGAGCTCATCACGGGCGGCGACTACCTCTTCGACCCGGCGTCGGGGTCGCGGTACAGCAAAGACGACGATCACATCGCGCAGATCATCGAGCTCATGGGCGAGTTCCCGAAGAGCCTCGCGTTCTCGGGCAAGTACAGCTCCGACTTCTTCAACCGACGAGGTCCGCCCCCTGCTCCTCCGCTTCTCCCACGCGCGTCCCTGCTCACGCGCCCCGCTTCCCAGGCGAGCTGCGGCACATCCAGAAGCTCCGCTTCTGGCCGCTCGAGGCCGTCCTGCACGACAAGTACCTCCTCCCTAAGGAGGAGGCGGACATGATCGCCTCCTTCCTGACGCCGATGCTCCGCCTGAACCCGGACAAGCGCGCGAAGGCCTCGGAGCTCATCCACCACGCCTGGCTCGACGGCATCGTCGTCCAGGGCGAGGTCGACACTATCCGCCGTGCTGAGGACGAGGACACGCGGGCGCGCGCCGCCGCCGCGACCACCGCCGCCGCCGACGCGCGCGCGGACTTCGACGCGATGAAGCCCGTCGACGACGTCGTCCTCGCGCCCGATGAGGGTGCCGCCGCCGCCGCGGGCGTGCCGACGATCGCGGCGCCGGTGCCCGGTGCCGGGCGGCCGGGGCACGCGCACTCGGGGAGCAAGAGCGAGGTGCCGACGCTGGGCGCGGTGCCGAAGGGGAAGCCTTGACGGGGGGTGCGGGGGCTGCCGCTGCTTGGGTTCTGCTGCGCCGCGCCGTCGCTGGCGGGCGCGGGGCGGTGAAAGCGAAGAGAGATTTCCTCGGACCGGTCGGGGGCGCGCGCGGTTGGGGTGTCCGTGCGCGCTGTCCGGCGGGCTCCACGTGCTTGCCTTGCCTCGCTGCTGTCGTGTATCGTTCGTCCGTCCTGCTGCTGTTGTCCTTCTAGTCGTAAGTAGATGCCGGCCGCCTGTAGATTGTGCGCCTCGGTGCCGGTGCCCGTACTGTATGTGATTGTGTCTTTCTGTGCGCCCACCCACGGAACACGCGCGAAGCGTTTGCCGCACGAGGTCCCGTTTCTTCTTATGGCGTAACTTCCCTCCACGTGCTCGACCATGCGCGCGCCCGCCACGGTCGGGAAGTGACGTACGCGATCCCGACCACTAAGGAGAAAGCAGCGCCCGTGTCGGAAGACGCCGAGCCCAGGGGAAGGTGAGCCGCCGAGCGGACTGAGAGCGAAGATGAAACCTTGAAGATGAGCGCTGAGCGTTACGGAACTGTACCTGTGCCGCCTCAGTGATAGTCATGCGGTCACCAAATACCATATATTTGGCCCTCGCTAGCAGGATTCCTGTCGCCGAAGCGCAGTAGGGTAGGCCGCGCGCACGAAGTTCCACACCAACGCATGCTCAAGAAGCGATGCTGGAAATGAGTAGCGCGTCAGTTCACAAGCGCAAGGGTCGAGGGAAAATCCGGCATACCAGTACATGAACGATGCCCTACGGTTCCCCGAGTCTAAATACGCTCCCGGAACACAGACACCTTCAGCGGCATCTCCGGCTTCTTGCTCACGGGACCGACCGTGGGGTACATCACCCCGGCGCTGTTCCACACAATGTCCTTGTCGGACAGCTCGAAGCGGAAGTTCGCGAGGAGCACGGCCAGGACGACCTCTGCGTGATCGATGGGCCACGGTCAACGTCTTTCTCGGCCTCAGAGGAGGGGACGTACTGAGCTCGAGCTGCGCGTACTTGAACCCGATGCACGACCGGCCGCCGCCGTGGACCGTCATCCTACCACCACAAAAAGAGCACGTCAGCACCGGCCAGAAAGTCCGCGCGACGAGACGACGACGCACAAGTTCGAGTACACCCCAGGCACGCGCGCCTCCTCGACCTCGCGCGGGAGCGGCGCGAGCCACCGCTCCTGTTGGAATCTGCCCGCATACTTAGCAAGCTCGGTCGTACGGTACCAGCGCTTAGTCATCCCGTAGATAGCCGCCGCCCCTCGTCCCGCACTCGCCTCACGCGTTTGCCCTTCCCCACCACCTCGTTCTCCCCCGCGTCCGTCTGTACTCGCCTCCCGGTGCCCATAGGGACCAACCGCGTCGTATCGATTGCATCTTATTCCTCGTCCGACCCCGACCGAGCCGCCGACTTCTAACAGCTCCGGCTTCCACTCGCGCGCGTCCGGGCCCCAGAGCGCCGCGTTCGTGTTGCACGCGCCGAGGTCGCAGAGCACGGCGGTGCCCTTCGGGACCGGCACCTCGGATATCAGCGTCCCGTCCGTGCCGCGAATCGGGGCAGACAGCCCTAGGACTGTGTCTTTGACGGCGCTAGACACGAGGGAACAAACGATGAGCGGTGAGAAGAACGAAGAGGCGTGGAACGGACTAGCGGCTGATGGTAGTAACGGGGGCGTATCTGGAAAACATGGTTAGAGAAACGCATGTCAGTAGTGGCAGTGGATAAACGCACACGCGGAGGGTCTCTCTGCAAACGGCGTCCAAGAAGGGGAGCTCCATGAGGGTGTCGTAGGAGACCTCGGTGCCGGCTTGCGCTTCCAGGATCTCGTCCGGAAGCTTTGTCTGCGCGTCGGTCTTGGAGGCGAGGATGTGCAGGACGCGGGAGGTAGCGTTGGACGTGGTGTCCATGCCCGCAAGAATGAACGTTCTGGCGAGCATGTCAGGAGACGCTGGCCCGCGAGAGCAGCTGAGCTGACGGAGGTACGCACGACACCTGAGCGATGAGCTCTTCCTCGGCGAGCCGATCCTTCTCGCTTGCAGTCATGTTCGCGCGCACTGCCAACACGTCAGCCAGAGAGCCAAGCCGCCTCTTCAAGCCAACTCACGCAAAATGCTCATGACGTCCTTGACCTCGCCGAGCCGCTGCATCGCCTCGTCGTCGCGCAGCTGGGTGGATCGAGGACCATCAGGTGACATTAGCGGATGCGCAGGCGGCTCCCCTCACCTTGTGGGTCGTCTCGTAGAACACGCTCGTGATGTTGCGCAAGTACGCCGCAGAGAAGACGGGGGTGAGCATCTTGCGCTGCTTGCGGTGCTGGTGGTGCTCCGTCGACAGAAGGCCGGGGCCAAGCATAATCATCCTGAGAAACAGTCGTCAATCGGTAATTTCCGACTGACCACAGAGCGGTCATACGTTAACAACGCGCCGTGCTTCCCCCAGACATCTTGGTCCTTGATAGTGATGCTGTAGAGAGCCTTGGGGTCGTAGATGTACAGCCATTCCGCCTATCTAGCTACGTCAGCCTGCAGTCTTCGCCGTAGCGCAAAGACGCACCCCGTATGGACCCGCGAGTTTGAACAACGGTCCGTGGGTGTCGGTGACATGCTTTCTGTACTTGATGCTGTGGCGACTGCGCATGCGGTGTACGTTTCCTGAAAGCGAGAAAGATGTTGGTAAGTGAGTCTGTGTCTGATGAGCGAGAATGTACCAGTAAGGAGGGAGCCCGCGGGTGGTCCGGGAAGATTGGGGAAGTTGGAACGTAGAAGGAGTCTCCTGGCGAGGACGGCGAGGACGACGATTCCGGCGAAGCTGGCAGTTACGATGAGCGCGGTGGTGTCGTCCATGGTTGGTGTCGACGCTGGTCATCGGTACTTCGAAACCTATATAGACACGGATCCACACGGGTTCCGCCGGAGCTTGTGTGGATACAATGTGAATAGTAGCCAGACACACAGTTAGAAGAACCAGCGTGGGAGCTGAGTTCGTCCGTGAGTCGTCATTCATCGGATGCGAATCGCCGCTCTCGGCCGACGAGCAACGCTGCGGCGACTTGTGAGGAAGACGTTCGGGCTTACTAGCGTCCGATGCCTGCGCTTGATCTTGTTGCATCGGAGAACCGTTTGTCCGTGTTCCGAATGGTGAGAGAGTGCTGCAGCATCTGCGCAGTTGCTTACACAGTCAAGAACCGCCTTACAGTGCAACTCGGGCAGGACACTGTCGTGACTCTCACGCCGACAAGGTTCCAGACGAGTGCCATGTCGGTGTATTTGAAGTAACACACAAACGTAGGCCAAAGAGGACCAACTGTACAGATTTAGAAGTCTCAAAAAGACATAGCACTGACGGTACGCACTTAATCAAGTTCAGAGAACTTGAACTCGCCGTTGTGACCCGAAAAAGTTGAGTCGTGTGTTTATCTCGTGTCATCAGTAGTGATTCAGAGGCCCCGGGATTCAACATCGTACCTGAAGATGGGTGTGGAGTTGGAGCGGCGCAATGAGGATATGAGAGTAAATGAGGCCATCACACAACTCCATCTCGCCCAACGTACTCTTGACGACATGGACGAAAGAGCTCAAGCGGCGGGTCTTATGGGCGCCTATCGGCGGCGTTCGAGATCTCGATCCGCCCGGATCCATTTAGCGCTCAGAGACCTCTTTGACGGTCAATTGAGGTTAGACGTACGGGTAAACCAGAAAACGACAGGATAAATGTGGGCACCATTTCGAGCTGCATCTGGAGACCTGCGAAGCTACTCCGGAAGGACCCCCCGAGAAGCATCATAATAATTTACAGCATGGTGATTAAGTTGGATTCACTAGACTTGGGGTGAGTCACAATCATGAGACAGTACAGAAGTAGCGACGACGCACGGGTCACAAAAAGGGGAACTGCGTGGCCCGAGGAGGTGAGGATATTCTGGCGCGACAGACGGTGAACGGGATAATGTGGAGGCGCGTGGTAGGAACTTCGGAGACAGTCCGACAGGAATGGGAGAGCTAATACGCATCTACACCGAGTCACGAACGCACGATCGACACATGAGCACACCTGCGAAGACTCCGCGATACGTTGGCACATGTTCCACGTGATTCTGCGTGCACTTAATCCGCGAGCGAAACCTTGAGGAACATCTTCGGCGCGCGGGTGGGGTCGTCGGCGCGCGCCGGGAACGCGATGCCCGCGAACTGCCAGGCGGTGGGGATGCTCGAGGTCTCGAACTTGAAGTTGAAGACCAGAGCGGTCAGGACGACCTCTGTTACAAAGGGCCGACGCGGTACGTCAGAGAACCGGATCGGTGACAAAGGGACGGACGCGACGCACTCATCTCGAGTTGAGAGAACTTGAAGCCGCTGCAGAGGGGGCCGTCGAGATCCGGTCAGCGTGCACGATAGGAAACGGAGACAGAGACTTAGTACGCACATGCACGAGTGGCTGCCGCTGATGAACGCCATCCTAAGAATCTCGAATGTCAGCTGGCGTCCATTCACGACACAGAGGAGTACTTACAGGTTGGAGTAGATGCCGGGGATGTGCGCATCGTCGACGGTCTTCGGAAGGCCGTTCAGCCAGCGCTCCGGCTTCCACTCCTTCGCGTCCTCGCCCCAGATAGCGGGATTCGTGTTGCACGCGCGGAGGTTGAGGATCATGGTAGTTCCCTTCGGCACAACGATTTCACTGATCGTATTCCCGCTCTTGCCCCGAACAGGCTCCTGGAGAGGAAGAACGACGTCTTCGCTGGCCCTATGGGAAACAATGCATGCGAATCGTGAGTAACGTGATAGAGAACCAGGGTACACGGACTCACGTGCGCATGGAATGGTTGACAGGCGCGTAGCTATCCGAAGGTAGGCACATCAGTACGACATTGCAGCGTGCGGCAGTGACAGCAACGATACGCACAGTCGAAGCGTCTCGCGGCAGATAGCGTCGAGGTACGGCAGATTCATGACCTGGTCGTACGGCATGTCGACGCCGTAGGTCTCCTGAGCCTCGCGGACCTCGGCGCACAGTTTCGCCTGGACGTCCTTGTGCTCGCAGAGCAGCCAGAGAACGCGCGAGACGGAGTTGGAGGTCGTGTCCACTCCCGCGACGATGAAGGTCCTGGAGGCATGTCTGCAGTCAGCATCTGCCGACGCTGCGATTGATGGGAAGGTTACGTCATCTGTCCAAGGAGAACATCGTCCGGGAGCTTGTCCTCTTCCCGAGCCATCATGTTGGCCTTGACTATGTTCGCCGCCATCATCAGTGATGTACGATGCGGGTGTGTTTTGAGAGAACACTGACGTAGGACACTCATAACATCCTTTCCCTCTCCAACGGCGGTCGCGAGCTCCTCGTCTCCGCCCATCAGCGCAGCCTTCTTCGACTCGATGAGCTTCCTGCAACCCTGATCAACAACATCCACGATCTTCACGACGCGCTGAATCCTCGCACTTGGCACGAAGTCGAGAAGGCGGCGTCGGAACCACGCGGGGCCGAGGCGGGTCACGATGGGGAGCAGGATTTGCAGGTGGGCAACTTGCGGCAATACAGCGCTATGAACCGAAGCCACGTCAAAGCAAGTTGATCATAGACTCTGCGTGAAGACGCACGTGAAGAGCTTGACGCTGGCTGTGAACTCGTCCTGCGATTCCGCGATCAAGGGGTCGAAGGAGTGGCCCAAGGCGCCCTGTCCGACGAGCTCGAGCGCAGTGCGACCCATCCACTCGAGTACGTCCATCTCCTTCGCACCGTCCTCGACACGAGACTTGATGGCTATAACGAGCTGCGCGAGGGGAGATTCTCAGCTTATGGACGTCAAACGGCCTGCGAAGATGTACCTTGCTAGTGATGTTATGGAAGATCGGCGTGAGGGCGCGCATGTGGGCCCCCGAGAAGACCGGGTTGAGCATCTTCCGCTGCTTGCGATGCACATCTCCGCCGGTCGTGAGCAGGCCTTTGCCGAGAAGGAGCGTGGCAAACCTAATCATGGATCGTGATCAGACGGACTTCGAGTGCTCAGACCTGTCGCTTACTGGTTTTGAAGACTGTTCTTGGGGAACTTGTCTTGGTCCTTCACGAAGATGTGATGGAGGGCTTTCGGGTCGTAGACATGCAGCCAGGTTTCCTGAGTGACATCATCATCAGCTGTATCCCTACTAGGCTAGCTCGAGATGTCTCACGCCGAAGAACCCACGCAGCTTGGACGCGGTGCCGTATGTACTGTTTAAATCGTCAAACAACCGCCAACCGTCACTGGGGTTGTCGATTTGGAGCATATGACCTGTAGAGAATCATCAGGCAGGGCGGGGCTCCAAATATACGAGCTGCTACTCACCGGCCCACAGGGAACCGGCTGGGGGTCCTGAGAGTTCTTTGAAAGGGGAAGGAAGGATGTAGTTGCGCATGAGTCGCCAGACGAGGTGGGCGAGCACGGCGGAAGTGACGAGGTAAAGAAGGGAGATGGGTTGGTCGAGCATCGTGGAAGAACCGTGAACAAACTTGGGCGAAAGATGGAGTCTAGCTCCGCACTTCACCGCGTATATATGCAGACCCACCTCCCACAAGAAGCCTGCGCTGTGCCGCCGGCCCGTGGATGTAGTGAGCACATGATTGAGTTGAGCGTCCGACGGACACGGAAAGCCCCACGAGGGGGACGACGCCTCCGGATGCAGAACATACATCGGGTATTTCCCGTGTCAGGTGCGGGAGATCAAATGATAGAATACATGGTTGCGCGGAACTTTATCAGGGTGTTCTGTGGGTGAGGCACCGGTGAGTTACAGGGCAAAATACCAACGAAAGACGACAATCGCTGTGAGGAAGCCGATTGGAGCCTCGAAGTACGGAGGACCGCCAGTGCACTCTGAGCGTCCGCAGGATGCGCATACTTGATCTGGAACGTTTGAGTATAAAACACCCGGCAATTCAGTCTGTCGCCGGTGATTGCTCCGTTGGCATGTCGCCTCCCTGCCGAAGGGGCCCGTTTCGAGCGGTATCGTCTTCCCGAAGATCAAACCCGGAGCGACCATTGATGACGAGGTTTGTTGTAAAATGACTGTGGGCCGGCCGCCGGACGCGCTGCGGTTTGTTTGCATTTGTTATATTCAGACACCAGTGCTAATTCCCGGTGTATCTATATAATGGGGACCAGACAGGTCAGGTGCGGCGGTAACCGCTGTGGAAGTTGACAACGAGGAGGGGGCGGCGGCGATGGGATTGGCGGGGATGCAAGCAAGAGTGGAGGAGGCAGACTTGGAACTCTGGAGACGAGTCCGAGCACCGCGACGCCGCGACACCGTGTTGCCATCCTGATGTAAGCACTTTCCCACATGGGCGCTTTGACTCGGTCGTCGAGCAACGAGCCCATCATTCAGAAGATGGTGAATTTGCTAGACAACAATGGTGAAGGGAAACCCACCACCACAATCACCAATCACCAACTTCTCACTACGTTTGATAGTGATCCGGAAAACTGACCATTCATAACGGTGAAAATCACCCTCCTGTGGGCGCACAGTGCTACATCTAGATCTTATCTACTAGTCCTCAAGATCTAAACGACTTGCACGAACCCCAAGCGTGCCTACATGCGTGTGAGGGGCGATACGTGGAGAGCATTGGACAGGTTTCCACATACTGGACGAGTTTCATCGGAACACCAACCTAGACAGTCATATGATCTCCGGAAGGGTCGCACTGCATCTGCATGACTCGATCGGCCCGGCGCGGGTCGGCGCGCAACTCGTCGCCCGGCGCCCGCAAACTTTCGCTCCATCCTCCACGTCCATCCAGCGCACACGTCGTTGCACTGACAAGCCGGATGTACCGCAAGACGCACAGACGACCATAGAACACGACTCCGTACAACGCCAAGCTGCAAGAGAATAACAATGAAGACAGCGGCACTACCCTGCAAGTTGGCGCCCAGGACTTCTGCTGAGTGTTTTCAACTCTTCTTCGTCTCGCGCTTGAAAGCACACACGCCCTCACGCTTCAGCGCTTCAGCGGTCCCCGTCGCCCACACTCCCACGTATGCAGATCCGCTGGTACACGGCCCTCGGACGTCGAACGCCGCGTACCGCGTTTGACGTCACCCAGTGCACCGCGCGCAAACCGCGCGGGCGCTTGTCCGGGTCCGGGTTCACGAGCACCCCTGGCACAGTGCGTGCGCACACTGGCGGATGTACCCCGCGTGGCGGTTCCCGAACTTCACCATGCGCGGCCACCTTGCGAGTCCTCGAAAACGGGGTGGAGCGCGGACTCGGCGTCCGCGCCCGCGTCTGTCGACGGCGTCAAACGTGCGCGGCGGAAGGGCGTGGAGGCCAACGAAGCCGAGCGTGCGGGTGGAAGGTGGGGTGGCGGACGGGGCGCGTGCGGGCGTGTGGATGGCGCTGAGCCGCGGCGACGGGAGCTTCTCAGCGAACGCGAGTGTGGGTCTCGGGGCGATGCGGTACCCGGCATGCGTGGGGAGCATGTCGTGGGCGGGGGGCGTCGCGCTCGCGCAGGACGAGCGTGCCGCCTTGGGGTGCGGCGGGCAAGATGAGCACGGGGGAGCTAAAGACGGCTTCGTCGCGCGAGGCGTCCGCATGGATCCGGATCGAGGAGCCCATGGCTGCCTGCGTGCCGCGTCGTCACTGGCGAGCGCGGCGGAGTGGGTGCGGACCGTAGATGTTGAGCTTCTGTAGCTGCGCGCGGACGGTATGGCCTCGTCTCTCCCGAAGAAGAGTCCGATCCGGACGAATTCCAAAAGCCCGCAAGCCTCGACGTCGAGGTCGAGGGCGCAATTTGGACGTGTCCGGCTGTCCGGCCAGAGTTCGGGGCGCGGCGAGGCCCGCCTACGCCATGCGAGGCGAGGTCGCACGCGGCCTCAAGCCTTGAGAGCGGCGATGTCAGGCAGGGGGGCTCTCGGCCCGTCCATACGTCTAGACAAAGGTAAGTGCTTGATCGGGCTGAGGTAGGTCGCAACTCACTGCACACGTTGTCGACACAGTGGTAGATCACGCAGCTTTTCTCTGACAGCATCCCGGAGCCCGCTCAGGGCCGCACCGAGCTCCGTTGCCCACGCGTGGTGGTGAGCCCAAGGCCTGGTTTCCCGCCTGCGGTTCCCCGAGCGAGTAAAAGTGTGAGTCAGTCAGCATGCTTGAGGGAGGCACGAGTCACAGCTGAAAGTCGAGGGAGTACCACTCACTTATAACCCTCGACTTTGGACTACGTTTGTCGTTGCACCGTTCCCCTGGACGAAAGTGGGGAGAAAAGCGCGACTAGCATTCGCAGACCGCGTCAGAGCGACTGTTTAGGGAGCGCAGTCCGCCCGCGTCCTAGCCGCACAACCGTTATTGGAATGGTACGTCACTCATTGTAGGAGCTGTCATGCAGAGTCCATGCATGCCCCCGCGATCCAAAGAAGTTTGTTAAAAATGCATGCCTACATCGGCCTCGGGGCTTGCGGGTCTCATTTCTTCGCCAGGTCTCTGAACGAAGGGGTTGGAAGAAAGTCAAGGGACGAAATACGTAGCCCGCTGCCTTGGAAGTACTAGGGTCACGTTTCACGTGATATGTGACTTGCTCACGCCTTGCTTTCCGGACCGCCTTCGTTCCCTGTCCTCGAAGTCACCCCGGCTCGCCAGCGCTCGATCTTCCCCCCATGGCGCTCGGTTAGGTTGTTGGTCAACAGGTTCGTTCTTCTCACCAGGGCATGTGTCGGCTGCCAGATCTTCCAGCTACCCCATATCTGACCTTCTTTTACGAAAGATTGCGTCTAGGCTCACAGCTGGGCGTGGGCAAATCCCCCTTCTGAAGTGTAGATCCTCCCACGGAGGGCCCAGATACAAGTTTAAACAAGACCTTTGTTAATCCCAATCTTGCATCTATCTCAGCACCCGCTGACGCGGTGACCCACATACCGGCATGTCTTGTACGTAAGTACGCACGTGTTGTGTTCTTTCAGTGTTATACCTAATGTGTTCAAATGAGCTCCCTTTACTGCGCAGCGGCACTGAAATATCGGATGTGCTTCATTCGAGGGCGCGCACAAACGAGTACTGGCCATGTCTTGGGCATCATGGGGAATAGCGTTGGCTAGCGACCTGCCCGGGGTCGCCAACGCAGAGCCGAATCTATTTGGCTTTGATAGTCATCCGATCGACCATTGAGTGGGCACACACGCCTGGAATCTCGACGTCAACCTGCGCGGGATCCTTGAATTCTCCGAAAGTAGCGTCGCTCACAGGTGCGTCCCGAAAATCAAATCTTGCACCAGGATCAGCCTTGCCCCGCACGCACCATGTCACACAGGCTTCCTCGCGTGACCCAGCAGCCAATGGCGTGTCAGCTGCCCCTCTCCGGCCCGCGCAGGCGATGCGTAACTAGCTCAGGGTCACTGAACCTCTTCTCGGTATGCAGCGGACACCTCATCGCCGTCTCGAAAGAGGTTTAGTCTCCCTCAGTCTCCTCTGGACCGGTAGCGCTCTCTGTGGTGACATGCACGCACATTGGTTCGGGACTAAGCAGCGTGGTCTTGGCCCATGAAATAAATATGTCGACGGGGCGCAGGCGGAGTCCACTCGTTCCCTTTCTAGACCACTCCCTGCTGCTTTTCGACTCCGCGCTCCATGTCTTACAGCCTCAAGCTCAGCTCTAGCTCTCCAGAACCGCATTCGTCGAACGTCGCTACCAGCATGGCCCAGCTCAATGTCGCGGATGACGTACGTATCATTCCACATGTGTTCTCTACGCTATGCTGACTGTAGGAGCAGAACTCGTTCTACGGCACACCGCCACTGGTGTACGACGAACCCATATGCGTGCACCATGTCCCGCCGCCCTCGGCCATCTCCACCAAATACTACACGCTCGAAGCGCCCCCGCCCAACGAACTTGCCGGCCAGCCCCATCTGATCCCACCTATTCCGACCGCGACCACCACACACACCCAAACTCACGCTCCCGTTCTCCCATCAGCCCCCGCGTCTCAACGCACTGCTCCTGTGCCGCTTGGAAGCCACGATCTTCCGAAACACAGAAGAAACAAAGACGACCCCGGCGGCAGCCCTGGCCAAATGGCGCAGCCTGCGGCGCTCGTCTCGGAGGTCGGTCTTTGTCCCTCTGTGCCCCAGAGAGACCTAGCTGACCAGGCCACTCACAGCAACCGCGCGCCGGACCGTCATATCACGGAAGCCCCATGCGCGAGTCTCGCCATGCGGCGCACCTGCCCACCGACGATGGTGCGCACGCGGACTCGCGCTCGTCGACCCCGAACTCTAGCTACTACGTGCCCCTCGAGGCGGCCGCGTGGAGCACGCCGCTCTCTGGGTTCTCTGAGCTCACCGCCGCGCTCCTCCCGCCGCCCGACTACGTCGTCCACCCCCCGAACGAACCACACCATCTCTACAACGCCGGACCCCACTTCGACCCCGCGCCCGACGCCGCCGCCACTCGCAACGGGACGCGCGTCGCGCCCCACGAACGGCCGAGGACGCCCAAGACGCAACGGCGCCTCCTCCCGCATGCGCACCAAGACGCGCCTTCGACGTCAGACTGGACGTCGGCAGGCGATGGACCCAAGACGGAGCCGAACGAGGACACGCCCCGCGCGCGGTTCGTCTACTCACCGACGACCGCGCGGCGCATCAACGTCTCCGTTGGCAGCGCCGGCCTCCTCCAACTGGCTAGCTCGGAGCTGCGCGAGCCCGCGGAGGCGAAGACGCGCCACAAGCGCCTGTCGACCACGAGCAAGGCGTGCGTCTTCTGCCGGAAGCGCAAGATCGCGTGTGGGGGCCCGTTGGCGGGGGACGAGTCGCGGCGGTGCGGGTGAGTGTCGGTCCTTCCTCTGCTCTTGGTGCTCTGGCGTCGGCGTGGTACTGGCGGTGTCGGTGTCGATGGTGGTAGCGGTGGTGGTGCGCGTCGGGAGGCGAGAGTCGGGGTGGGATGCTGCCTCTCTCCGCTCGCCTTGCGCGCTCTTTTATAACCGCGTCGTGCTGCTTTCGGAGGCGCGGCGCACCTGGATCCATCGCGCTCGCGGTGCTTGTTGCGCGCGGCGCAGATCGTGGCACGGGGACGCGGGCGCTGTCCCGGCGTCCGTACCTCAGCGCCCAGCCACGGCTAGAGAGGGTACTCTAGGACCGGGACAGCGGCCTGGCGCATCATCACTTGCGCGCGTCCAGGGGGCGCGATGTCTCCAGAAGTCTATCAGGCGATCGTGAGGCAATCGGAGGTTTCGCGTCACCGGTCGGCCGCCCAAGGTCTCCGTTTCGCGCTCACTCATCCCACGCTGCGATTCTGTGGCATGAGGGTGCTCGCACGGAAGCAGCCTATGTCTCAGGCTCGCGCGCGGAGAGAGCATTCTATGAACGCCCTCCGTGTCATGTCCGGTGTCGGTACGGACGCGCGCACGCCAATGGGAAGAGTGCGTGTCACGTACTGGAACTGCGAGCGGTGTGCGCTGCGCACGATTGCGTTCCGGGGTTCAGGATGGTCGTCTCGTTCTCTTCGGCACATTGTTGCTGGATGCGCGGATGGGAACGCTGATCGCTCGATTTGGTATGTTGCAGACAATGCATCCAGCGCCGCCAGCCCTGCGAGTTCGCCACCGCGTCGAGTTCGTCTTCGTCGCCGCCTCTCACGACTTCCAAGAGAGGCGACGCCGCACCCGGCGTCGGCCAGCCTGCAGTTGAATGATGTGCTCGGCGCCATCAAGGACATTTATCTCCCGCCCCTCGTATCTCATGACCTTTCACTAATGCTAGCTATTGTCGCTATTTTTCTTTGCTCTCTTCGCTTTTGAGTACGGAATACCATCTCGTTGTCGTCCTTTCCGATCTTACTGCAGTTTTGATTTCGCGGCTGCGCATGACGGCGAGAGGGATAGAACTACCAGTGTCAAACATTGGGATAGGTCAAAACGACACGCATGCGTTGGGAGGACGGCGGATGGTTAGTTCTCAGGCACGATGCAACTGAGTCCGAGTCCGCGAAACCCCTCTATCGCCGCAGAAGGCAATATCCGCCGGTGTTGATTGTCGGAACACGTGCATTTGCATGGAACAGACCCAACACGCCGGGAATATCAAAGTTTCTGCTCGTCCGATATGTATGAGTAAACCTTACGAGAAACGTAGCGTTTTTGGTAGCGTTCTGAGCCCTTTAGAATGATACATTTCGCGTGCATTGAAAATTTATGTACCTCGACCTATTCTCGAGTCCTCAAAATGAAACATTTCTGCGCCTGCGGAATGATTTCTCACACATAGAGTTCTGGCGGCCCGGGAACTCAAAGTTTCACGATGTGCGAAATCATCTGCCAAATTTGACGTTTTTCTCATCGTTTTGTCGGCCTCGCAACGATATATTTGGCATGGCGTTCCGGCGGTCCTGAAATGTTATGTTTTGGACCTGCACGCCCGCTCATCGCCCACTGGTCGCCCGCTCGTCGCCCGCAGGCTGTCCACCTCCCTTATTTCCTTGCGCCCTGCTTATTGCGCGCAACGATGAGCGGGCGATGCGCGGGCGACGCGCGGGCGACCAGTGGGCGATGAGCGGGCGTGCAGGTCCAAAACATAACATTTCAGGACCGCCGGAACGCCATGCCAAATATATCGTTGCGAGGCCGACAAAACGATGAGAAAAACGTCAAATTTGGCAGATGATTTCGCACATCGTGAAACTTTGAGTTCCCGGGCCGCCAGAACTCTATGTGTGAGAAATCATTCCGCAGGCGCAGAAATGTTTCATTTTGAGGACTCGAGAATAGGTCGAGGTACATAAATTTTCAATGCACGCGAAATGTATCATTCTAAAGGGCTCAGAACGCTACCAGAAACGCTACGTTTCTCGTAAGGTTTACTCATACATATCGGACGAGCAGAAACTTTGATATTCCCGGCGTGCAATCGCGGTTTAACTAAAGACGACTTACGTAGTAATGCGCTTGGACGTGGGCGTCATGAGTAGCCATATTCGCGGAACTCGCAAGAAGGCGGGAGAATATGAAGTGGCATAGCGCGGGCTCGAACCGGAGCGCCGGGATGCCCGGAGCTGACTGTCCGGACTCCGGAGGTCTCCGATAAGCGAGCTCCACGAACGTTGCTCTCGATCTGCAACGTCCACAAGTTCAATTGGACCATAGCTCTCCGCAACCAGTCGGCGTGAGCATTCCGCGAACAAGACGAACAGGACGTGATCGGCCTCTTTCGGCTTCGCTTTTCGTAAGTGTTTCAAATATGCCAGCTGTCAACGTAATTGTTCGTTCACGATACGTGCCAGTAAGTATCTGCTTCTTATTCCCAAAAGCTGGCGAGTTAATTAACATGTATCGGCACTGCCAGCACGAGACCGGGTCGAGTCACCACGCCCGATGAGTCCTCTCCCGACGCTGTCGACCATTCCGCATCGCCGACGCCGGGTCCGTTCAGGTTGTTCTTTCCGACCGTCTTCCCTTTGCTAGGTCCCCCGATCTCAGACGAGCAGAAATGGCCGGCCATTTTGAGTACATCGATGCATTCAAGACAACTTTCCCGTCCCCCTTCAAATTTCGGACGACGACGCCCATCACCTTGGTCGAGCTTCGCATCCGTTTCTTTTCGGGAAGTATCCGCTCCAAGGCCAACTGGTGGGAGAAGGTGCACGACAGCGACATAGTTTCCAGCTGGCGTGAGGAGATCCTAGCACATGATCGCACCGAGGTCGACCGGTGGTGGGGAGGGGACAAGTACTATGACGCCTGGATGCCTCCCACTAGTCCATGGGGCAGACCCTCGGAGATCAAGGCGTGGCCGCGAGATGTCTTGACCAGCGCGCAGCTGGATTACACCTTCGATCAGCTGCTGTATGAGGCCTCGCAGGTGGATAAGAGGACAGGGACTTTCGTAAGCACCTGCCACGATACGGGTTTCTATCCTGGCCATTGACTTGTACAACAGGCGACCGCGATTCAAGGGGTCTACGAATCGCGGACTCTGATACCTGCTGCACTCGGGGATGCACTCGTAAACGCGGTGAAAACACTCGAGTCCGTCCCTGAAGCCGAGAAGGATTGGCACCCTGGATCCAACCGTCAGGTTCTCGATCTCGTCCACCCGTCCCTGTACTGTCTCCGTATCGGAGACTCCTGTTCGTTTGCGGATGGGCGAATCGAAGCAATGCCGCAAACGATTACCATGGACGCGTACCGATCCGCCCGACCAGACCTGCGCCAATACACTTACGATCATCTCCAGTACGCTGTGTCGCCCAGGTACCAATGGCTCCCCACGGACTTCACAGTGTCCCAGCACGGAGCCGTTCGGCCGATGTCATACATCAACAACATCGATCCCGCCCGTTATCCAGCGCTCTATCCCACACTCGCATCGATTCTCGAGAAGTTCGTCCCGCTCTTCGAGCATGTCCTCACGACGACGAACTCTTCCCAACCTCCGCTGCCCCTCGCGATCGCCGTCGACCCCGTGAACTGGTACCCCGAGCGACCAGACTGGGCCGAGCCTCTCGTCGGAGAAACCCAAGAGGAACTCCGCGCCCGGCAGGAGGAATGGACGCGGCTGCACGAGTGGCCCATCATCCCCGACCCGGCGCCCTTCTCCCCCCCTCCCGCGCGCGCCCCGTACTCTCTTCGCGGGCGCACGATCCAGGTGATCGTCAAGCTCGCCAACATCGTCCTCACCCCCGACCACCCGCGCTACCCCGGCGGCGCGTGGCACGTCGAGGGGATGGCGAACGAGCGCATCGTCGCCACCGGCCTGCTCTACTACGCAGCGGAGAACATCACGCCCTCGCGCCTCGCGTTCCGCGCGCTCGCGGGCGACCACGAGGGCGGGATCTACATGGACTACGAGCAGAGCGACTACACCGGCTGGCGCGTCGCGTTCGGGCTCGACTGCCAGGAGCCGCTGAACCAGCCGCTCGGGAGCGTGCTCGTCGCGGGCGACGGGGTGGGGGACGGGCGGTGCGTCGCGTTCCCGAACGTGTACCAGCACTGCGTCGAGCCGTTCGAGCTCGCGGATCCCACGCGCGGCGGGCACCGGAAGATCGTCGCGTTCTTCTTGGTCAACCCGGAGACGCGGATCGCGTCCACAACGGAGGTGCTGCCGCAGCAGGAGGGTTGGGTGCGCGGGAGCGTGGAGGCGATGCGGGAGATGGATCGACTCCCGACGGAGTTGTACGACATCGTCATGAAGGAGGCCCTGGTGGGAGTTGTGTCGCGAGAGCGGGCAGAGGCGGATCGCGAGGCGTTGATGGAAGAGAGGTCGAGGTTCGTTGTGAAGCACAACGAAGAGGTGTTCGAGGTACCTTTCAATATGTGCGAGCATTAGGATTGGTTTCATCGAAATGGTAGACGGCACGATCCCGGGCCGGTCTGATCCGGAAGATCCCGGCCAGTTTCTACGTGCCAGGGGCCGCGGACGCTGCTCTCAGTTCGCCATCGTTTGCACGCTATGCGTTGGGCTATGACTGAGGTATTGGGTTTTTTGGCCTTCTCGAGTGGCTCTCAGACGCTGATTCAAGCTGTCTTTCCCACAGAGCGCCTCTGCGGCGGTTCTGCGCGCCGTGCCGCCCCGTCGGCTGCGGCCTGCCCACGTGGACACCATATTCATGTGTATAAGGTTTTCGAAGATTCGCCGTTCTTCGTCCTGTTATCGCTCTCTCCCTAGCTCTTGTCACCACAGCAATGGCCGCCCCGCCACCCTGGGACATCTACAAGCAAGAACTGGGCACCAGGGGATACGGCCATCCCTTGTGGCATCCCGACTCCAGCAGCGGCGACATCAACATCGGCACCGTTGGCTGGATACGAGACGGCCAATTCCACACCCTTCTCGACACCACTAAAAACGATGGTGGCACCACCGCGATTCCCGAGGGTTTCGTTCAGCTCGAGATCAGCAAAATCCGGATCGTGCCCTCGAACGAAATCATGCAAGACGTGGTCTCTAGCCAGAGCATTCGTACGATCGATGCAGGCATGGGGGGCACTGTGCCAACGTGAGTATCTAACGAGCATCGATGTCCTTCGCTCACCGTGATCGATCTTCCCAGAACCGTGGCGCCTGGAGCCCCAGGCGCTAACTTCAGATACCAGACGACACGGGACACGGGCGCGTTCGTCAAACTGAAGCCGCCCGGGGTACAGAGGCTCGCCCACTCCACGAAGATATTCAAGAACTACATGAATAAGCACTTCGAAAGCTGGCTGACGCTCGCCAACTCCGACGAGCCTCAGTTCGGTCTCGAACTCTCCGCCGACGATCTCCTCTTTGTCTGTGGGACGATAAAGACCGAGCAGTGGACCGTAGTCTCCTTCCACGGAAGGGCGTACAGCGGGAAGGAGTTCACGCTGAGCGCAGACGGAGGCCCCGTAGGAGCCGTCAACGTCACGGTACGGATCGAGAACGAAGTGCTTCCTGCGTCCCACGTTCGCAACGGTCCATATCCCCCGATAGAGCAGTTGGAACCCACGCAGTGCATCTTCTTGCATTACTACAAGATGAGGCGCAGGTGGAGTTGGCCCTTCGGGAAGGAACCAATGAAGGCCGCAGCGGGGCCTCATCATTTGCCGAGGAACCCTGGCGATCCCAGCGCCTGTGCGGGTCCAGTAGCTGCGCAGGAGGATCTGACATACGAGATCGAGGGCACCCAGGTCCCATCCGGAGTGAGTCGTGACGCGACCGCTCCTCTCCGCTTGCTCACGTGGTTTGCAGTTCCGCGATCCCGTCGACGTTCTTCTTGACTACATCCTCGAGGTACGCTGGAGTTGAGGTCCGTGGATCGTCGTGCTAAAAAGCTTCAGAACGCGCCGGAAGCGGAGTGTGCGATTGCATCGGACTTGGATCTCTACGCCTGCTTTCCAGTAAGTGAGAACCACGTCGCTGGAGAGTCCCGGGTTACTGAGAAGGATTGCAGCCAGGTGATGTTCCTGCAGACATACGCCAAGGATTGTCAGAAATGAGACCCGACATTCGAGTAGACGAAGAGAAAGGCGAGTCGTCGATCAAGTTCTCATATTCATCTTAGCTGACGACTGGCTCTGCTCCAAGTGGGCGTCGTGGAAGGATTCTATGGAGCGCCCGACAAGCGTAAAGCAGATGAGGAAGAGAAAGCAGAAAGCCTATCCGAACCTGATCCGAAACGTTTCCGCCCTGAACACTCCGTTGAACCTGAGGACGACAGTCCTTGTGCGTCCTATTATCCTTATCTACTTGTTTTTCTTACTGATGCTAGCAGATCTATCAAAAGGATCTCGTCCTGACGTCGACCCAACCACCAAAGACGACGACGGCGATACTGGAGGGAGCAAAATGAAGAGAAGAGACACCACTACTACTCACGAGGGGTCGGTCACCACACTTACCTACTCTCCTGATTCGACCATGGTTGCTACTGGGTCCGATGATTTCAAGATCATCATTTGGAGTGTCAGCGAGGGCAGATCCTTCCGTGTCCTCGAGCAGCACGAGGAGCCGATCTCCGCGCTCGCGTTCTCGAGTGACAATGGGATTTTGGCTTCTGCGTCTCTGGCCGGAGACCTTCTTTTGACGAACATCAAGAACCCCACAGACTCCCAGTCTCTCGAGATCTCGTCACCTGTACAGTCCCTCGCCTTTACGCCCAACGCAAACCTCCTCCTCGCGGGCACCTCCAACCGCGAGATCCAAGTCTGGGACCTCTCCGAAAACCCCCCGACCTCGCTCCCTCCACTGAAGCAGGACACCCACGCCGTCACCTTCATCATCTTCTCTCCTGACGGTACCAAGATGGTCACGGGCGGGATCGAGCGTGACGTCGTCCTCTGGGAGACGAGCGCCCTCCGGAACGGCGGCACGGGCAAAATTGTCAGCGATCGCCGTGTCGTCTACTCTGCCGCGTTCGCGCACGACGGCGCGCGCCTCGTCACCTCCTACGACGACGGCTCGCTCACGATCTGGAACGCGGTCACGGCCGAGGCGCTCGTGCGCGTGAAGGTGCACACGAGCCCGGTCTGGGCCGTCGCGTTCTCCCCCGACGGGCGGCTCGTCGCGACGGGCGGGGACGATGGCGCGGTTAAGCTCTTCAACAGCCTCACGGGCCAGCCCGTGCGCGAGATGCGCGAGCATGGCGGGCCGGTGAACAACGTCGCGTTCGCGCCGCCCGATGGGCGGTACGTCGCGTCGGCGGCGTCGGACAAGATCGTGCGGCTGTGGAACACGGAGACGGGGGCGTTGGAGCGGAATTTCAACGAGCACAATGACGACGTGACGCAGATGAAGTTCTCGCCGGATGGATCGACGCTGGCGTCTGGGTCGCTCGATGGAGAGGTGTACATCCGAAGAGTGCTGAACGCGTAGAGAAGGGTTTAGCAAGCGACAACGGATTGCTGATTCAATGTACTTGTGCCGTGAGCTATGGAACGCGGGTGGAGCTTGCGCGCTGCGATTTTCATGCGCCCTCGCGGCATAAGTAATCCGCGCTGAAATTGGCTCCAGTCGGATTCGAACCCGGCACGAATCAGCACGCGAGCGCCAGTAATTTTGACGCGTCTTTGCGACGGTGCCGTCGGCTCCTTCGAGCTGCACTTGAGTGTGTTCCCGAACGCCTCTCTTCTCACTATCACCTACGTCGCCCAGGCCATCCTCTCCCTGCAGCCATGTGTCCTGTCCCGCCAATCAAGCCAGTTTCATAACCCTCTCCCTCTCATTCGGTCGCAGGCTCAAACTTCCAATCGCCCAGTCTCGACTGGCTGTCGGAGTCAACCTCGGTCGCACATCGACATAGCGCATGCAGTCGCAGAGACAGTTGGAAGTGGTCTCAGGGGAGCGTGTAGGCGGTCGCTGTGGGGTAATGGCGGTTGACGGTGAGTCTTCGGCCTGCCTATGCTGCTTTAGCGCGGATTCTGGTGGAAGGATGGGCCTGCAAGCACGCATTGCGCCGAAGCGGGGTGGAACACCTAGATCTCATCACAGTTTCCATGTCTAGGCAAGCAAGTCAGCCGATGACCACAAAGCAAAGCCGCTCTCAGAGCCACGCTCAGTCTACATGGTGAGCTCGATTGCGCATCCTCGCGTTGCTAGATCCTCGTGTTGAATTGAGCCTCACCCAGGTGGTATGACCCGCAGCAAGTCCTTAGCGGAACTTGGGAATCACCTCCATGCGATTGCCGAACGCGACACCTGAAGTAGCTGCAGTGTGCAAACGGCCTTGCCGCGACCTACAACGTCAACGCGGACAATCTCGCCCACTGTGAGTCAGGGTCGCCCGAGCAGGTCGACAACGTGACAAATTCATCTTCAGGACCCGTCCGTCAACTACAAGCGGTATTGAACGACAGTCTTTTATCGTTGCTATCCTTCTCGATGGGACCTCGTGGGGCGACGGAGCCTCGAAAGGTTGAATATGCAGCTAGAGTCTGGAAGATAGGACAAGCGCACAAACGCTCGCTGCCACTCGGCCTAACACCAATTCAAGGTGGGCCTCTGTGCTGTTGTGCCGCTCGTCCGTCGCCCGCGACTGACGAACCACATAGCAACGATCCCTCATTCATGAGCTTTTGCAACGGCCCAAAGCGCAATAGTGATGTCAAACGACAGGTACACGGTGCGGAGTGCACGTTGCTTGTTCAGAAATCCGAGAGTCTGATACACGTGTTTAAACTGTTCGAATCTAGGCTGTCTGACTCATGGGAGGTGATCTCCGTTTGCCACAGTGGACCCACAAAAGACAAATTGAGCTTGGGAACACACGTTCGGAAGCCCGCAAGCGCCATCAAGCCTTTGTCCCTTCTCCCCGTGCGCCTCCCTGCCACGTGCGGGGGGTGTGGTACCGAGTCATCGAGCCGAATATGGAGGACAATGGGCGCCAGCGAGAGGGCCAACCACTCGACGGCGACGCATAAAATCGCCAGCGCGAAGCTCCGTCAGCCTCAGACTCATCCCTCCCCCCGACCATGGCCCCTCAACCTGCCATCCACCCCGAGACTGCCTCGCTTCTCGAGCTTCGCGCGAAGCTGGCGGAGAAACCGCCGTTCTGCAGTGGCATCTTCGCTCTGCCTCCGGAACAGCTTCAGCTCTACTACGGGAAGCAGGACCACAAGTAAGCGACTGGTACCACCTCGTCGTCCTCTCTCTCATCTGCGCGAACAGGTTCATCGACTTCTCCACAGCTGTCGACAACCCCGATATAGTGGCAGAGCTAGCTGCCGCCTGCCAACCTGCCAAGTTCGGCAGGAACAACGAGACGGTGCTGGACGAAACTTATCGCAAGGCTGGGAAGATGGACAGGGAAGACTTCTTGATGCGGTTCGACGCAACGGAGTCTGGTCTTCTACGCGTCGTCCACGCAACCCTCCTCGCGAGCGTGAAGGAGATGCATAGCATCCGGGCGGAGCTTTACAAGCTCAACGTCTACGGTATGCCCGGTATCCCCCTTCATTCGTCTGGCTCTTACTGACTGCCCGTGCCTACGCGTCAATAGGCGAAGGGGAGTTCTTCAAGGCTCACGCGGACACCCCCTTGGGAACCAACATGGTCGGTTCCCTCGTCCTCTGCCTCCCCACTGCGCACGAGGGCGGTGCCCTCTTCCTCCGTCATGGCGGCAAGGAGTGGATGTTCGACGCCAACGCGCTCCTCGGTGGCCGCACCGACGCCCTCGCATACGTCGCCTTCTTCAGCGACGTCGAGCACGAGGTCGCCCCCGTTCTCTCCGGCCATCGCGTCACCGTCACCTACAACCTCTTCTGGACGAGCGAGGTCCCTTCGCCTCTCCAACCTCAAGGCGTCACCGTCGACGCGCCCGTCCTCGCGAACCCGAACGCCATCGCAGATTCGTTCGACGCCCTCCTCGCTGACCGCGCCTTCATGCCCAAAGGCGGTATCATCGGCTTTGGCCTGCGCCACAAGTACCCGTTCCCGCGCGCCTGGAAGGCGGTCAAGGGCGCGCCAGACCCGCTCGAACGTCTCTCCGGGTGGCTCAAGGGTGGCGACGCTGCGCTCAAGCTCGCGGTCGAGGGCGTCGGGCTCAAACCGCACCTCCGCTACGTCGTCCACTCGACCTCGCGCAGGATCCTCCTGAAGCAGATGGTCGTCCTCCCGACCGACTGCGTGCAGGAGGAACCGCTCGAGGTGCAGTTCACGTGGCGGAACTACGGCGGACAGCTAATCAAGGAGGCCTTCTTCGGCGCTGCGCCCGCGCCCGCTCCGAAATGCCCACCTGGGGAAGCCGGGTTCTACGGCGGGGGGTTCATGGACACCTACTGCGACGAGGACGAAGACGAAGAGGAGGAGGAAGAGGGGTACAGACGCAAAGACGCGGCTTCGAGCATCGAAATCCACTGGATCACGCCCACCGAGGCGTGGAACGGAACCAGCGCCCCGTTCCTCGCGTACGGCAACCAGGCGAGCCTCGACTACTGGTACGCCTCCGTCTGCATCCTCGTCAAGATCGGGCCGGCGGACGACCGCGGCGTGCGCCCCCGCGCGGTCGTCGAGCGGCCGCCCAAGCCCGTTCGGCCCGTGCAGGCGAAGGCGAGCGAGCCGATGCCCGTGCCCGCTCAGCCTGCTGCGGGCTCTTCCTCTGACGAACCCACGGAGTCGAGCGGCGCGGGCTCTGCTCCCGCGAAGGGGCAGGCGAAGGCGAAAGGGAAGGCGACGAAGACGAAGACTAAGGCCGCGCCAGCGCAGCCTGCGAAGGCGCCGCCCGCGAAGGCTGGGAAGACGAGGGCGCCGGCTGCTGAACCTGCTCAGACGATGGAGCCGGAGCGACGGAGTACGCGGGAGCGGCGCGCGGTCCAGCGCGGCTAGTACTTTAGGTGTGGTTTCACGTACCGTAGGTGTTCTTGTGACGAGTCTCTTGCATTGTACCTGATGGCTAGCTCGCAAACAATGTGTATGCAGTCTGGTCTCTAGATGCGCACGCCGCATCAGCTGAGAGCGATGATAGGTAAACGTCGAGGGTCGAGTTCGTTAGATTAGGTTCTAGTTGTCCACCAGCTATAACGGAGGGTATATAGGTTTAGAGTCCGCGCGATAAAGTAAGCTACCCATCTACGACTTGCAAGATGATGGGGCAGAAAAAGGTCGGAGCCTGGATCCTCCAACACGCTCCCACCCAGGTGACGACGGGAGGAAGACCCTCCCTCTGTCATCGTCGTCGGTGCCGGAGTCCAGAGAGCGTGTTGTTCGGGTCGAGCGCTGAGCGCGCGCATGAAGCCAAAGCTTCCAACCTTTCCCCCACATCGTGATGTCCTAGCATCGTGAGCTCTTGCGCTCGTCGCGTGACTTTCCTTCGTAGCGGTGCACGCGCGATCGTGCTCGTTCTACATACTTATGTGCGACTTCATTATACTGAGTTTGCGATCACTAGTCCGGCGATCGAAACCAACGCTATAGGACGGAAACCTCCAGCATCTCCTCGAGATCGAGGTTCAATGCAACTTATGTATGTATGCATTTGCTGCCGGAGAAGCTATCACTCGACATGGTGAGTACATGCCATATTCCGACCAGATTAAAGCCCGATGTATCGCACTACACATAGGGCGTTCATGTCAGCTCCTTGACAGTATCCTCGCACCATGTCCACAGCTTCTCCCCAATTCCATCATCGTATGCTTCCGGACGGCACTTCCCTGGCCGCGCCCAAGGGATGAAGAACTACGAACGCAGTCAATATCCAACGGGAACACGCGAAAGACGGGAGTGTGGGCACACGCACCTCGCCGTTGTGCTTGACGGCCTCGGGCATCGTGCCAGCGTAGAGCTGGGTAAGCGCGCCGTATGGCGTTGGGTAGAGTATAAGTAGTTCCTAGAAGTTAGAAGGCGCGCGTGAGCCTTCCCGTCGCCCTCGTAGCGCGCGCGCACGTACCCCGATCTTCTTCGAAACATCGCCCATGGTGTGGCGCTGAAGATCTGTCGAGATGTTGCCTGTGAAAGTCGGGAAGGTCGGTTTGGGTGCGCACAGAAGATACGAGAGAGAACGAACCTGGATTCAAGGAGATGGAGATGATTCCCTTTTCCGCATATCGCTTCGCAACCTGGCGCGCAATGACGACGTTCCCCTACAACACGAACAACCGTCAGCTCCGGGCGTATTCATTCCTACAGGGCTACGCACGTGTTTACTCTGGAAGTAGAGTTGCCTGGGCGACACCTTCTTGCGCGCGGGCCCGTCCTTGAACGTGTCGAAGTGCAGCGTATCGCTATACGCGCCGGACGATGATGTGGTTATCACGCGCGCATGGTGGTCCGACGACGTCTCGGCAGCAGCAATAAGGGCAGGCATGAGGAGCTCGGTGAAGTACCAGTGACCGAGCACGTTGGTTCCGAACTGGAGGTCGACGCCTTGGGCGGCGAGCATGCTCTTCGGGCACATCATCACGCCTCTGTGGAAGGGAGCGTAGGTAAGCGTTTTGCTGACGAAACAAAACAGACGGCGCACGCGTTGTTGAAGAGGATGTCGAGGGTGTTTTCCTTGCGGAGGTACTCTTCCGCGGCGTTCTTCACCGAGTGCAAATCAGCGAGATCGAGCTGGATGAAGAGTGGCTCGTTTCCGGTCTCAGACTTGAGCGAGGTGATCGCTTTCTCGGCCTTCTCAAGGTTGCGAGACGCGATGTAGACCTTTGCGCCTCGGGCGAGCAGAACCTGCAGCGGCATCAACGGCCGTTTTCGGCTGCGCATAGTGAGGACCCGGACTCACCCTGACGGTCTCATAACCGATTCCGACGTAGCCCCCTGTTAACGGACAGTGTCAGCATTTTCCTTCCGGTTCAGGGATGGTTGGACAGACCAGTGACGATGACGACCTTTCCGGTCAAGTCGGGGATCTGGTCTACGCTGAACTTGGACTTGGGCGGGTATAATTGCTTGACCACGGACCAGTTGTGTCCCATCTTGGCTTTGCTGAGCGGTCGCGCAGTGGGGAGGAAAATGGCAGTGGGACGAAGAAGAGAGAGTAAGTTGGGGCGGCAAGCCCCCGCGGCAACCCACATGACTTGCGAGAGCGAATCTTTTATTGCTTCCTGTTTCCCGATGCTTGCGGCGGATCCGGCGGTTGCGTTCCTGCTCACCGTAAGTTCAACGAAGTCACTCCCGGTCCTCAAGCGCTCACCGCGAGTCTCCGCGCGAAGTGCTTGCATGTGGTCGGATGATCGGCTTTGCTCGGCATCCGAGCGCTCAGGCGAGCTTGCTTCGGCCAGTTGGCAACGTTGTCGATGTCCACGAACACCACCATAGAAAGCGATGCAGATAATATCCCAGGCATTTTTCTTCCTTTTCCCCATACCACTCAAGTTTTCCGGAGTCGGCCTTTGCATGTTTGCATCCCGATCGGACATTCTCTCACAGTGTCCACCAGCTGCCACAGGCGCACGAGGTATCCCGGTCGACCGGGCTCTAGCTCTTGAATGTGAGATCAGTCATGTCAACCCCAAACCCGAAGAATGGACTCACTAAGCACCATAAGTGCAGTTCCCATACATGTCTATGACATGGCGAGGTGGCTCCGCCGCTGCCTCGTTTCCGTGCTCTACCCCAGGTGCATGAAAATCAGCAGTACTTTCGCTGCCCGCTGTCATCGCTATCGCGGTCCGAATTCTCCGAGTTCACGTCTTCTGAGTTCTCCACACATTAAACTGAGTATCCGTCGATACCGTACATAGGTGGCGCGCGTCCGAAGTCTGTTTGCCAGATAGTCGTTCTCGACTCACGGCGCGGGCGGATTTTTACGTACAGCTGTCCGATGGCGTGGTCCTAGCGCGATGACACAGGCGATACCCGTCTCCTGTAGCACTGTGTTAACGCTTCCTTTGAAACCAGTAGCTGCACAACAACAACGCTCACCATCTTCTTCAAGCGCATTACTAATTGGACACCGTCTCTGCGCCGGAGGGTTGTCAATGGACACTTCGAGAGAAAGAGAGGATCTGAGATGCCGATTTTGCCGCCCTTTTAACTATTCTGTGTTTTCTGTCTCCGGGGGGCAGCTGGGCAGTGTCGATGTTACGGTAACCGCGAGTCGCAAAGAAAGGGCGGGGACTGGCGCTTGAAAAACAGCGTGCTGCCGGTTCCCGCCGCGAAGTTGAAATCGAGGCTCGGGCGCCTCGGGCCGGTTCTCCGCGGGGCCACGTGCGCAAGACGGATCTCATACCTTCGACGTTGTATTGGGAGCCGACCTTTTCGCTCGTCAGCCCGAGTAGGTTTGAGCCTGCCTCCGCATCGATCTGTGTACGTGCATGTCATTAAAGTCGTCTACAAGCTACAACAGAGGGTATACAAGTTTGGAGTCCGTTAAAGTACGTTACACATCTACGATTTGCAGGATGACGACGCAAAGCCAAGTCCGAACCTGTATCTTCCAACACCCTCCAGCTCAGTGATGTTCGAAGTCGAACATGTGGCTAGGAGTGCCATCGTCTTCGTTAGCGCCGGAGTACCGGGTGGGAGCAACCTCAGGCTCCAACCGCCCCTCACTGTTGACCCTCTGGCCGGCCGTGACCGGAGGAAGCCGAAGCGGACTTGGAGGCGGCGTCCACTCCAATACATGGACTGGTACTCTGTCACAGCTAGGCGTCGACGACACCGACTCGTCTTCGTAGAAAGAGCCGTCGTCGGAGAGCTGCGCGCGGTCGCTGTCGCCGTCGGACCCAGGGTACTCCACATCCGTCACCCCGTCCGGTTCCGTAGACAGGACGCTCTGCAGCGCCGCCTCCAGCTCGTCGCGCGACGTCAGCGGCGACGGCGGGTACATCAGCGGCGGCGGCGCGACGAAGTGCATCTCTTCCGTGGGGCCCATGCTCCGCTCGACGTGCATGCTCTGCCGCGCACGGGCGTCCGCGCGGAGCCAGACGCGGCGCTCCGCGTTCTCGTACACGCACACGAACTCCGCGTGCGCGTCGTAGTACGAGCCGTCGCCGCGGTGCCACTTGCTGAACCCGAGGTCGCGGTCGTCCGGGCCGCTCTTCATGCGTTCGAGGGACGTGGCGGCGGCGCGGCTAGCTCCAGGGTTCCCTAGGTGTGAAGAGGTTGAGCGGTGCGAAGCGGAAGGTCGCGGTCGCGGTGCTCACCGTTCCTGGCTTGGTACTGCGCGACGCGCGCATCGTTGTAGACCTCGAGCATGAAGGCCTCTCCGAAGTACTCGTCCCTTCTCAGCTCGCTCGCGCTGGGCCGCAGAGCGCGGTTCCCGTGAGTCATCTGTGAACGCGGCCCCGAGTTCAGTTCAAGTCCTTTCGGCGGCAAAGCGTGCAGACTGACCTTCGCGCACAGCTTCCATTCGGCACTCGTTCGCGGCAAGTCCTCTTCGCGCACGACGTCGAAGTTGATCACCGACTGCACCGACCGGAGCCTTATCTGCCATTCGATCAGATCTAGATTGAACCAGTCTTCGGGGGTTCCCAGCCAGTCTGGCAAAGGCGGCCCCTGTCGATCGAAATCGAGCACGGGTATGCAGGAACGCAGGAAGACCTGAAAGAAGACGAGACCGAGCGAGAAGATGTCCGATTTATGGTACGTCTCTTCCTGGCAGAGCGTTTCTCGGGACATGAACTCTGCCGTCCCTGTCCGGTCGAGATGAAAGTCGTCGAACGACATCTGTGGGTCGAGCAGACGGTTCGAGACACCGAAGTCCGCCAGAACGAGGTGATCGTTGTCAGAGGTGATGAGGAAGTTCTCCGGTTTGATGTCGCCGTGGATGATTTGGAGGGTCTCGAGATAGCTCACTGCGAGCACCTACGCGTGACGTCAGTATCGGAGCGAGACGACGGAGGGTATGTGCGCGTACCATCTCCGCGCACATGCGCTTGGCATCGATAGGTCTCCTGTCACATTCGCGCAGGCGTTGAGCGAGGTTCCCGAGACACAGATCCTGATGAGTCCGTAAGCCTCTGGAGCGCCCACGCCCACCCACACGAGCCACTCACCATGACGAAGTAAACGTTGTGATCGTCTTCCCACGACGCTTGAAGTTGTGTCCAGAACGCGATGTCGTGTATCGCCGCGAGCATCATGAAATCGCGTTCTCTGAGCAACGACGCTCGGAAGCCTCGGCTCCTTCGATAGTGCTTCCACTTGTGCGTGGCCTTCACCGCGACGACCTGGTTCAGATTCTTGCACGCTGCGAATACACGTCCGAACGCGCCCGAGCCCAGCGTACCGAGGATGGTATATGAGTCCCGATCGTGGAAGACGACATCGTTTCTCCTCTCCCGGTTGAGGTTGAACGGATCGCAAAGAGACCGATAGTCGATGTCAGGACGGAGGGCCGCAGGCTCCTCCGGGAATGTCATCAGAGCGAGAGCAGGTGTCAAAGGATCCGGTAGGGGGAGTGAGCTTATGGGTGGTACCGTTGCTGCAGTCGAATCGTAAGTGGCACGCGGCTGCACTGGACTACCCGCCGGCGTCGAAGGTTGAAACATGATGACGTCGATGATGGATACACAATTCGAGTTTTCGCTCCGTTGCGAATCAGGCTGGTTGTGCGGCTCTGAGAGCTGCCCGTCGTTGTCATCGCTGACTGCGTCCTTCAGGTGTTCGTCGTCCAGAGCGCGAACATCGCCCTGGGGTGGGTCCAGATCGAGCGGAGGGGGGACGGAGAGGCGTTGGTTACATCCATCCACTCCAAGAGCGTTCGTACGTTCTGTAGGGCCATGCAGGCGCCATTGAACATTGGGAGGAGTGGCCCTGGCGAAACGGGGACGATGCTGGAGAGGCGATGGGGTTGCGAGGCTTGCTGACGAGTCGAGGGTAACGGGAGTAAAGACGAAGGAGGGCACTTGTCTACGGCACAGATGTCGATCTTCTCGGAAATGTAGGAGAGCGACGAGTGGCGCACCTGAAGTCCGATCGCGCCTGGACGACGAAAGTGCGCGAGACCATGCGCATGACGATCCACCGAGTACCGATCATCTTCGCAATGAGCAGCGCAATCCCGTAGTGCCGGTCCACATCCGGAAGAGAGAGTTTGGTGAAGGAGGATAGGGTGGATCCATCGTACATGGGCATGAATGTCGGGTGGCGTGACGGTGCGACCGGAACGGACGTGCCGCCGTGTTCTAGTGAGTTCGAAGCAGGCCGCCACCATGGCGAGAGCATCTTCGTCCGCCAAGAAAGCCCTGCGGCCATCGTGGGTGGACACCTGCGGTGGAAGGGGAGGGGGTCGAAGGGGGGAGCGGACAAGGTGATCGTGCTTATAGTTGGGGCGTACACAAGTGAGCTGGGCGCTTCGATGATCGAGGACAACGACGCGTGCCTGTGCAGGTCTAAGCAGCGACCGCCTGCGCAACAGAAATCTGGTCATTTATCGAGCAGAGGGACGGTCGTTATGCTTACCTTGTTGTCGATTACATGTCTCTGTGTACGACGGCTCAAGCAGGACTTATATGTGTGCTGGAGGAGGCTGGAGGTGGCACCGGACACAAGATGCGGAACAATGGGTGGCCACATATGCTGACGTGTTTTGGGTGATGAAGACAAAAGAACCAGTCCCGGAGGCGCGTAATGAGCCTCCTGCGCCCTCACTGCCGCAAGAGCGAGTGACGAGCTGGATGCGGAAGAACGGGGCGCTCTGCAAAGCGTAAGCGCAGCCTGCGAAAGAAAGGAAGAGCGGTGAATATGACTGAATAAGCGCGGGAACCCGTCGCGTCAGCGCTGTCACTGGCTCATCTGCGTGACTTCGCGTGACAGGTATCACGCCCATCATCTGATTTTCAATTTCAAACGCTTGCCCTCAAGTCGGCTTCAAAACTTCACGAATGTTCCCATAAACGACTGTAGCAATAGTCACGTACTGAAGGGATTAGCGACGATGTTGCCGTGCACGAAGTTGAACTAACAGTAATTGCGGACTGGACATTGACATGAGTACAATCCCTGATTCAATCCTTGAGACCAGCTATCGTCTCTACACAACGACTATCCGCGCTGGACCGCGCGCCGTTCCCGCGTGCTCCGTCGCTCCGGCTCCGCCCCCTCAGCAGGCTCAGCAGGCTGCGCCTTCGTCTTCGCCGCCTTTGCGGGTCGCTCCTTCGCAGGCTGCGCGGGCGACGCCTTCGCCTTCGCCTTCGTCGCCTTCGCCCTCGCCTTGCCCTTCGCGGGCGCAGACGCCGCGCCCTCGTCCGCGCCGCTCGACTCGTCAGAGGGAGAGCGGCTCGAGCCTGCGGCCGGCTGAGCGGCCCCGGCCTTGGCCTTGCTCGCCTTCGCTTGCACCGGCCGAACGGGCTTCGGCGGCCGCTCGACCACCGCGCGTGGGCGCACGCCACGGTCGCCCGCAGGCCCGATCTTGACGAGGATGCAGACGGACGCGTACCAGTAGTCGAGGCTCGCCTGGTTGCCGTACGCGAGGAACGCAGCGCTCGTCCCGTTCCACGCCTCCGTTGGCGTGATCCAGTTGATCTCGACGCTCCGTCGCCCTTCCCCGTCCTCGTCCTCGTCGTCCTCTTCGCCGTCGTCGCCGTAGTATCCGTCCACGTAGCCGCCGCCGTAGAAACCATCCTCGCCGGGCGGGCATTTGGGCGCGGGGCGGGGAGCGGCCCCGAAGAAGGCGTCCTTGATGAGCTTCCCGCCGTTTTGCCGCCACATGAGCTGCTCTTCAAGCGACTCCTCCTCCACGCCTTCGGTCGGGGTTACGACCATCTTCTGCAGGAGGATCTTGCGCTCGCTCCCGAAGACGACGTAGCGCAGCCGCGGCTCAAGCCCAACGCCCTCGACCGCGAGCTTGAGCGCAGCGTCACCGCCCTTCAGCCACCCGCGGAGAGACTCGAGGGGATCGGGCGCGCCTTTGACTGCCTTCCAGGCGCGCGGGAATGGGTACTTGTGGCGCAGGCCAAAGCCGATGATACCGCCGTTGGGCATGAAGGTGCGGTCGGCGAGGAGGGCGTCGAAGGAGTCCGCGATGGCGTTCGGGTTCGCGAGGACGGGTGCGTCGACGGTGACGCCTTGAGGCTGGAGGGCGAAGGGACCTCGCTCGTCCAGAAGAGGTTGTAGGTGACGGTGACGCGGTGGCCGGAGAGGACAGGGGCGACCTCGTGCTCGACGTCGCTGAAGAAGGCGACATACGCGAGGGCATCGGTGCGGCCGTCGAGGAGCGCGTTGGCGTCGAACGTCCACTCCTTGCCACCGTGGCGGAGGAAGAGGGCGCCGCCTTCATGCGCGGTGGGGAAGCAGAGGACGAGGGAACCGACCATGTTGGTTCCCAAGGGGGTGTCCGCGTGCGCCTTGAAGAATTCTCCTTCGCCTATCGGAGGGTGATCAGCATGAGCCAGCAGTATGGGGTCAGCCGTCGAACATACCGTAGACATTGAGCTTGTACAGCTCAGCGCGAATGCTAGTCAGCTCCTTCACGCTTGCGAGGAGGGTGGCGTGGACGACGCGCAGAAGGCCAGACTCGGTCGCGTCAAACCGCATGAGGAAGTCTTCCTTGTCCATCTTCCCAGCCTTGCGATAAGTTTCGTCCAGCACCGTCTCGTTGTTCCTACCGAACTTGGCAGGTTGGCACGCGGCGGCTAGCTCCGCCACTGTCTCCGGCTCGTCGACGGCTGTGGCGAAGTTGACGAACCTATGGGCGGAGCTTCACTTAGACAAACGAACACTATATGATTCCAAGTACTTACTTTGGGTCGTCTTGCCCGTAGTAGAGTTGCAGCTGCTCCGGAGGTAGAGCGAAGATGCCGCTACAGAACGGCGGTTTCTCCGCCAACTTTGCGCGGAGGTCCAGCAGCGAAGCCGTTGCGGGTCGAATGAGTGGCTCAGAACGCATGATGGATGGGGGACAGGAGGTAATGGTGGTGATCGGGGAGAGGGATGGTACGCCGGCTCACGGTTGTCCGCGCTGGCGATTTTATACGTCGCTGTCGAGTGGTTGATCATCTCGCTGGCGCCCATTGTCCCCCGTATTGGGCTCGGTGACTCGCTACCACACCCTTCACACGTGGCAGTGAGGCGCACAGGGGGAAGTGGACAAAGGCCTAGTGGTCGCTTGCGGGCTTCCAAACGCGTGTTTCTGCCCAAATTGTCGTTTGTGGGTCCATTTTGGCAAGCGGAGGAGTCATTTCCCACACGGAGTCAGATACCCTAAATCTAGGAGAGCTAAACACGTGGATCAGACTCTCAGATCTCGGAACAAACAACACGCACTCCGTACCGTCCACCAATTGCATTGACACCAATATTGTGGTTCGGGCCGGTGCGAGCTCGAGAGGCACTTGTTGTGGGGTTCGGAGTCAGTCATGGCCTGGTCGCGGCAAGCGACGGACCCATGATAGAGGCTGAGCGGCACAGCACCACCGGTGAGTGCGGATAGGTTCACCTTCAGAGTGGTGGCGGGGAACAAAGGCAAGATACTCGCACAGCGCACGCGACCAAGTGATCGACCACCAGGTGGCAGAGCGTTTGCGCGCTTGCGGAGAGCTTGTATTCAAGGGCAGCATCAATCGCCATCGCGTGGCACCTCCAGAATCTACGATATCCGACTTTAGCGACATTGCATACATACAAAATACGTACAGACCTCTCACTCCGCTGCTCTCCGGCGTGCCGCATCCACGCCGGACGCCCCGATCTTGACTAGCACGCAGAACGAGGCGTACATGTAGCTCAGGCTCGCCTCGTTCCCATACACCGTGTACGTCGCCTTCGTCGCGTGCTCCCTGCTCTGATGCCCAGCCCCGCTGGGGAGAGGCCTCACCCAATGCATCGTGACCTCCCCCGGCTCCTGGTACGGTTCGGGAAAGTACCGGCTCTGCAGGACCTCCCCCCCACGCTCTTGCAGCTCCATCTCCAAGTCGTCGTTCGCGTACTCGTCCACCCTCCAGAAGCCGGGAAGGGTGGACATGACGACCCTCCTCTCGATCCAGCAGCCGGAGAGGACAATCCGGAGAGACGGCTCGAGGCCGAGCGCCTTCGCAGCGCGAAACCGCGCGCGGTCGGCGCCCTTCAGCCAGCCCATGAGGCGCTGGAGGACGTCGGGCACGCCCGCATTTGCGTCCCACACCCTCGGGAGGTCGTCGATCATCGCTCCGAGCGCGAGCGCGACGGCTTCCGCGGATGCGGACGCCGAGGCGCGCGGAACTAGAGCCCAAGGCTGAAGAGTGGAGCGATCCCCGGGGGCGTCGTCGAAGAGGTTGTATGCGACCGTGACACGGTGACCTGAGAGCAATGGGGTGACTTCGTGTTCGACGTCACTGAAGAAGGCGATGTAGGCGATGCAGTCGTTGCGCCCGGCGAGTAGCTTTGCGGAATCGAACACGAATTCCTGCTCGTCTTCGCGAAGGAGGAGGGAGTGTCCCGCCATCATGCGCGGTGGGGAAGACAATGACCAGGGAGCCGAACATGTTGGGAGCATGAGGGGTGTCTGCGTGCGCTTTGAAGAATTGTCCCTTGCCTGCCCGCATTCCGATCAGCCAATCACGCAGCATGATCCAAATCGACAAGGACGTACTATACACGCTGAGCTTGTACAGCTCTGCACGGATCTTGTCGTCGGTGTAGCTTCTGAGATGGGAGGTGATTGCGTCCAAGAACCCAACTTCTCGACGTCAAACCCCATCATGAATTCACCGACGTTCATCTTGCCTATCCTGCGATATGTCTCGTCGAGGACCGTCTCGTCTCCTCGGCCGAACATGGCCGGCAGGCAGGTGCCCGCGAGTTCAACGACCGCATTAGGATGGGAGGACACATCGCCAAAAAGCTATAATTGACGACCATAATGAGTGCAACGGGGCAATGCACAGATCTAGAAGACGCACCGAGAGTTCTTGCGCCCGTAGTACATCTCCAGCTGGTCTGAAGGGAGCGCGAGCGTGCCGCTGCAGATGCTTGGCTGCTCTTCCAGCGTCTTGCATAGATGAGCGAGCTGGGGGGTCTGAGAGGCAAGAATAGGCATCGAGAATAATGAATGGCAGAAGGGCCTCGTTTGGGATTTGTACTCTGGACGTTCACAAGAGCGTCCTGAAGGGAAATGAGGGACGCTGTCGACCAGGTCGGGCGACACTGACTCATAATGGGCGAATTTGTCGACGTTGACGTGTTCAAGCTCCTCGTGGCCCTGGGGAGGCCGCCTACCCACTTCAGGCCCCTCGGATATGAATGTTTCTGTGGGTCCGCCTGAGAATCGAGGACACTCGAGTCATAGCAGCTGCCCGAGGCTCGGCGCTCACCATGAACTAGAGGACCGAGCTCGCCATACGGATGATACGTGCCTCCAAACGGGGTTTCGCATGCTCGGCCGCGGTCAATTGATATGACTATATGCGCTACTTGCGGAGAGCAACTGATACTAGACATGAAAGTATGATGAGATTGGTGTGTTCCACGCCACTCCAGTGCGATACGCCCCCGCAAAGATGTCGCAGCCCTCTTGTGGACAGATTTCCCTCAGCGCCGACTCCTCCCGTGCAATACGCCCAAAACTCGCAGCATACGCTAGCATCAAGATCCAAGTACTCACCGTCCACCCCGCAGGTCTGACCAAGCACCATCCCGCGGGATCATTTACAGCAGTATAGCTTGCCACATGCACCTTAGCGAGCGTAGATGGCTATGAAGATGAGCAAAAGGCACGTTGAGCAGCGTTCGTCGAGGCGGAGAAAGTCTGGGCTCGGAGGGGGTCGATTATACAGCGCAGTTAGAGGGAAGAGACGATGGTGGGCGATGCGGATCCGGACGATGGGGGCCATTGATCAGAGGTTGGGAGGGGCAGCGCTGGGCAGCGACCAGACGGGCGGGCTCGGCGTCAGAACAACTAGCGCTTGCGGGACGGCGGCCCGACATCACGTTCTTCATACCCCCTACTAAGGCTGAGTGTGCAGTTCGCTCGTTTCATTCAATACCCCCTCTTCTGTTGAGACGGTAGCCTCACGCTAGTGGGCGCGACATCTCACCTGTAGCTTAGTAGAGCCTGTTTGAGGTCTCGCACGTAGTGTAGTAGTAAAAGGAACTGTGTATTAGCAGGCCGGGATACTCGGGTATTTATACAGGGTACGAACGAGTGGCTGGTGCTACTGTACAGTACACGAGAGAGGCTGAAACGAGAGCAAAGAAACGGGGCTACACTACGGTATCATAGAGTAGCTAGAGATAGCTCTCTGGAACGGGGGATGCACGATCGGAGACGTGCATGCCATGCAGTGGCGTTCCGTAGAGCGCGCCATACGGCTAGACGCTCTTAGGTAAGCCGAGCCGCTCGGCGGCCCGTGGCCGAGTATGCCGAGCGTTCTCACGCGTAGTCCGCGGTGTACTTACCGCGTTCAACACCCCCCTCGCTGAGCAGCCGTAATAAAGGCGCATCAGCGAAGTAAGACAGAGGCCTAAGGGTGGAATACAAGCCCTAGAAGAGGGCGGAACTTGAGGAACTTGTCAGGCCCCAGGTTCTTGGTGAAGAGGTCGGCGGGGTTATCTTCGCCTTGAATGTAGAATAATTCAACCTTCTTCGCCTCGACGATCTCGCGTATATAATGATAGCGAATGTCGATGTGCTTGGTGCGCTTCTCAGTGACTGGGTTCGAGGCGAGGAAGATAGCACCCTGATTATCGCTAGAAAGCGGTACAGGCTCGAGGAAGTAATAGATCTCCTCGAGGACGTTGCGCGAATAGACGATTTGACGTCCAGCGTCGTCTACAGCCATATACTCGGACTCGGTGACAGAGTGCGAGACAGTGTTCTGCGCACGTGACTGCCAGGAGAAGGCGGCGTTAGCCATCTTGACGAGGTATCCAGTTTGAGAGCGGCGAGTTGTAGGATCAGTGCCCCAGTCGGAGTCGACAAAAGCGACCATGCCAAGCCCCGAGTCGCCGTCGTAGACCATGGAGTACGATTGAGTGCCGACAAGGTAACGGCAGATGTACTTGGCCTTGGTCAGGTGATCTTCAGATGGGTTAGCGGCGTATTGCGCTAGCTTGGTAACTGCGAACGAGATGTCCGGGCGCGTGCCGAGCATGAGGTATAGAAGCGATCCGATGACCATTTGGAACTCAGCGCGACGCTCGAGGTTCACAGGCTGGTCGTTGGGTTCAGGAATGTACCCGGCCGGTAGAGGTGTGGGCTTGGATTTTGCGTTCACCATCTTGCAGCGCTCAAGGACGGATTTGAGGTAGGCGCATTGATCCAGATGGATCTTGCGGCCGTCGCGTCTGATCGTCATGCGGAGGAACTCCTTGGTCTCGCCAAGGTCGCGGCACTCCCAGCGCTTCATGAACTTCTCCTTGAGTTCGAGCACGAGCGCCTTGTCCTTGCCGCAGAAGAGCGCATCGTCAACATAGATGATGACGAGTACAATACGTCCGTCGCTATGTTTATATAGGAATAAACCAGCGTCGGTGGAGAGTCGGATGAATCCGAACTCTACCATGGACTCGCAGAGGGCGCGCCACCACGCTAAGCCCGCTTGCTTAAGTCCGTAGAGCGCACGAAGTAGTATGAATACTTGGTGCTCATGCCCTCGGATTTTGAATCCTTCGGGCTGCTCCATGTATATCTCTTCGTCTAGCTCGCCGTATAGGTAAGCCTTCCGCACATCAAGTCCAGTCATGAACCAATCTTCGAGCGCACAGAGCGCGAGGATCAGTCTGACTGTCTCGTAGCGTACGACGGGAGAGAAAACCTTGAAGAAGTCTTCAAGTTCAGTCTGTGAGTAGCCCTTTGCGACTAATCGGGCTCTCTTTCGACCATCTGGTTTGATGTCGAATACCCAGCGGTTCTTGACAACCTTGCGGCCTTTCGGGCGGTCGACAAGTTCGAATACATCCCTGCGCTTGAGGTCTTCCAGCTCCTCGCGGCAGGCCGCTTTCCATTCTTCTTGCTCGTCTTTAGGTAAGCGAGCGATGTCACGGAGCGTCCAGTTTCGGACGTTTGACGGATCGGGAGTACTATCTGGTGGTACAGCTTTCGCTGCGAGATAGTTTAATAACTCCACTCCCCCTTCGCGGCACAGCTGTGCCAACAGTAGGTCGTCGACTTCAGACGACTCGCCCGAGGAGGATGATTCAAGAGAGGGTTGTTCCACATTTGAAGGTGCGTTCGGAGCAGCATTTCCGGTGTTATGCGCTTCCACTTGCTGATTGGGATTACGATGGCGACTCGCATTTTCTCCAACCATCTTCTTCCATGTACTCTCTTTCTCAATCTCTTGGTAAGTCTTGATGGGGTCTCGTGACTCCCCATAGACGTTTCCTGGACGAACTGGTACTTTCCGCTCACGCGTGCTTTTTCGCGTAGGTTGCTGCGGCGCTTTCGCGCGCTGCTTATCCTTACGTTCAGCAGCCGGTCGCTGTGGCGGCGGACTAGGATCGCGCGAGGGTGGAAGGTCAGGTTCGACTCCCCCTTGCTGCGGTGGCGCAACATTCTGCTGCCCATCCTGTCTCCTTTCTGCGGTTGTGGGAGCACGACGCGGTGCAGGTGCGTCGTCTTCATCATCCGACAATATTTCGTCGCTGACGGTGGGTTGTTTATACGGTCGTCCGACCGGTGTAGTGCCTCGCTTATTGTAGCCGGGGCATCGTGGGAACGAGTGCTTGTCGAAAAGCGCTGATGTCCCGGTAAACACGATATTGTTGGGTGAGCGCATGAATTTGAAGCCGTTCACGCCGTCGGGGTTGCCGATGTAAGTCATAAGCTCAGATCTAGGTGAGAGCTTGTTCTGACGAACGTCTTCAGGCAGATGAACATATGCCCCGCAGCCGAATACGCGAAGGTGATCAACTTGCGGCTTCTCGCTGTACACCACTTCGTATGGCGTGACCCAGTCGTGCCTACGTATCGGGGTGCGATTGTAGACGTGAGTTGCGTGTTCTATCGCGAACTCCCACCATGAATCAGGTAAGCAAGCGTCGTGACGCATAGCTTCAGCCTTTTCCATGACAGTGCGGTTGAAGCGCTCTGCGCGCCCGTTCTGTTTTGGTGTATGAGGTGCACTTTGTTGGATTTTGATCCCTTCATCGCGCAACATGTTGACGAAAGCGTCGGAGGTATATTCGCCTCCAGCGTCTGACCTCCAGTTCGTTATACGCCCATTAAGTTGATTCTTGATCGCGGCGATGAACTGCTTGGTCGCATGAAACGCAGCACTCTTTTTGCGCAGAAACATGGTCCAGGCGAAGCCTGAGTAGTCGTCAACGTAAGTGATAATCCACTTATATTTGTGATACGACAGGACGGGGAACTCCTTGAGATCGGAGTGTATTGTTTCGAATACGCGCTTGGCGCGAGCGGAGGAGGGCGGGAAGGTGCGTGAGTGCATTTTTCCTTCTGCGCATCCTTTGCATAGCGGCGCTTCATCTGGGAAGATGACGCTGCCAAAACCATCTGTATGGTTTCGTGCGTGCTTCAAGACATCAATTGAGGGATGCCCGAAACGTCTGTGCATAGTCTCATAGTCGAGCTTGAACACAGATCGCGATACAGCGAACGCGTCCTCGGGCGGGACTGCCCAGAGGATGTAGATTGAATCCCCAGGTTTCCTAGGTGAGAACCGTAGTAACGGTTTTCCGTTCGGTTTGACTATAGTAAGCGCGGCTTTATCTGCGCGCGCTGACATTCCTTCTTGTAAGAAGGATCCGAGTGAAATGAGGCGTCCACCTAGATTAGGTAGGTAGTTGACGGGGTGCAGCCGTATGGCGCAACGTTCGCCGTCAAGTGCGCTTGCGGTGTTGATGAGTACTGTGCCGAAACCCTTTACGAATGTTACTCCGTTTGCTGTGCGAACAGGGGTGGATTCATCTTCGAGCGGAGTGAACTCAATGAAATCATTGATATCATGGGTATAGTGCTCGGAGGCTCCGGAGTCGCACATCCACGAGATAAGATTCGCGTAATGCGGATTATCAGGGCGCCAGCGCTCATCGTCGGTTAGACCCATCCGCGCGCGGTCTTTTCCTTTGCAATCTGTACACGCAGCGTATGTGAACTTATGCGCACATAGATCGTCATAGCATAGTAAACTAGCTAATACATGATCATCTACATTACTAGTCTTCGCAGCTGTGAAGAGCGCGTTAGCTAGTTGTAGATCGCGCGAAGATGCGAGGACTTGCCTCATATACTCATCGCGGTCAGGGGCAGACCCAAGAGAGACGACGTCGTCGTCCTCCATAGCGCTCTTGTCGCTGTCGGTCTCCACGCCACTGTTGCTGCCATGATCGGAGGCCCATATGATGGGCCCGAGGCGCTCCTGGAGGGATAGGCGCTGCTTCTTAGAAGAAGATGCTGCCGCGTTGTCGGGCTCAGTGATACGCGCGCTGAGCGGGATGTCCATGCGTCCGGACGATGTAGAGACAAAGTTCTTGATCGACTGGATGGACGCGGAGACGTTCTGCTGGGCGGCGGTGTTGAGTGCCTGGACGATGTCGGGATAGACATTGCGGCCGTCCATCGTGTTAGGAGTGCGTATGGCGTTGGTGCGGATGGTGATTCCGTGAGGGTGAATCATCAGGAAAATCCCAAAATCCTAATTAGCACTAACAGCTCTAATATTAGTGCTATCACCCAACTATCATGACTATTGTGTTTCAACCCATCTAGTGAAGTTTAACGGCCGACTATTGTGTTTCAACCCATCTAGTGGAGTTTAATGGCCGACTAATGTCAGGCTCCCTTGTGTAATGTGACTATTTTGACATTGGGTGACTATCACTCAGAGACCTCGTCTATCTGCACCTAACTTTGACTATCAGCCTCACTACTATCCAGCCATGCCACACTCGAAGGAACACTTAAAGAGATATATTGAATGTAAAGAATGAGCAACACATAAGGTACACAGTACAGACTACAAATATAGAAGAAGGTCTGCAGGCGGGGTGGCAACGAGGCGAAGTGGGTGAGAGCTACACAAGCGCGCAGGTGAGCGGGCGTGGGACATGACGTGGACACGGGCAAGTGGGTGAAGTGGACGACACAGGTGGGTGGGGTGGACGGTAGACGACGTGGATGTTTCTGAGCTGCCCTACTATCTCCAGATGTATGAACTAATGCTTGCCTACACCTATGACTATCCCTGTCTATTTGACTAGATTAGTTTGGGGGACTTCTAAATAGTCCTAATCAACTATTCCTGACTATTGGTCTTATTAGTGCTAAATAGTCCTAATTAGGAGTTGGGGGTTTCCCTGACGATGTCCATGACGCGAGAATAGTCGGGAGGAGGGATAGAACGAGGGAGATCCGTGATGACGGGACCGGGGAGAGGAGCGCGGAGAGGAGCGCTTAGCTCGGTGATCGCGGGCGACGCGATGTGCGCGCTGTGATCTTGCTTGTTGTACTTCTCCTGTACGCTCTTGCCGGCGCGATTGCCTCGCTTCTTGTTCTTCTTCGCCTGCTGCTGGTTGCTGCCTTGGTTTGGGCGCATTTGCTGCGACTGGAAGGTGGGATCGTCACCCTTGCGCTTGACGGCTGAGATCTTCGCCGCTTGTGGATCCGAGTGAGTGTGTTTCGACTTCGTCCGCTGGTTTTCAAAGCAGCGGATGATCTCCGCGCGGAGCTCGGGGTACTTGAGCTCGGCGATAGTTGCGACTGACATCTTGGAGTTGATGACGTAGTCGTAGTTCGAACTAGGCAGCTTCGATAGTAGAAGCATGGCCTTGATGAAGTCGGGGATCGCGATTTGAAGGTCGGAGAGCTCGGTCCAGGCTTGATCGAGGCGATCGAGAGCGGGGATAGGTGACGAGTTTGATGGGAACGAGGTAGCGAGAGCGGTCTTGAAGTGACCGAAGGCGTTCGCGACCGAGGTCTTGTCGTAGAGATCTTTGAGAGCTTCCCAGATCTCTTTGGCGGTCGTCTTGGTCTTCACTGCAGTTTTGACTGCGGGCGAACAACGCAAGAGGATGTTGCCTTGCGCCTTCTGATCGAGGGCGTCGAAGGTCTCGCCTTTGGTGTCGTCGTTGTCCTTGGGGTTCGCAGAAGGTCTGGTCTTCGTGATCACGGGACCTTGCCCTTGGGAGAGCAGGTAGCACCGCATCTGCGGTTCCCACGACCGGTAGTTCGTGCCGTCGAGGACAGGAACGTGCTGCGTCAAGGTTGAAGACATTGTATGTGTAGGACGATTTGTATTGGAAGATAGTGCGATAAGTTCTGTATGAAGACAGAAATCAGCATACGTCCCAAAACGGATGAAACGCAGCCGTTACGGCGCGAGATAACGCTTTGATGCTGACGCTCTGAGTGAGTCCTGCAGCGGATCAACCGCGCATGGATCTGCACTCCGGTCTGCCATTTCGGCGACCTACAGGTAAGCTCAGCGCGCCGACTGCAGCCATGAAGGCGCTGTCGAGCGACACCAGGGCTCATAACCTGTTGAGACGGTAGCCTCACGCTAGTGGGCGCGACATCTCACCTGTAGCTTAGTAGAGCCTGTTTGAGGTCTCGCACGTAGTGTAGTAGTAAAAGGAACTGTGTATTAGCAGGCCGGGATACTCGGGTATTTATACAGGGTACGAACGAGTGGCTGGTGCTACTGTACAGTACACGAGAGAGGCTGAAACGAGAGCAAAGAAACGGGGCTACACTACGGTATCATAGAGTAGCTAGAGATAGCTCTCTGGAACGGGGGATGCACGATCGGAGACGTGCATGCCATGCAGTGGCGTTCCGTAGAGCGCGCCATACGGCTAGACGCTCTTAGGTAAGCCGAGCCGCTCGGCGGCCCGTGGCCGAGTATGCCGAGCGTTCTCACGCGTAGTCCGCGGTGTACTTACCGCGTTCAACATCTTCCTCTTCCACTTTAGCATCCTTCACCCTTCCTATGTGTGCTACGCTAGTCTGGAAGTGACTATGCTTAGGTAGAGTAAGTGTCAGGTTGGCGTCGGGCAAACGCGGCGGCGCATCGGGGGAACCCGCCCGCGTACCATTCCAACTGTCAACGGTAAGTGATCGTTTTGCTGGCATCTTCGACCGAGGCCTCGTGAGCCCTCAAAGCTCAAATTCAAACTCAAAGCCATAGTCACCGGCTCCGCCGTAGGAACTCGGGATCGCGCCGGGTGTTCTCGCGTACGTGCGTATATACAGGCTTGCTTGGGGTCTCCCCCGGGACAGATTCGACCACTAACCTTTCATAACAGACTCCAGTCCGTCGGAATCCTCATGCCCACTATTTCACCAGCGGCCTATGTGGGCCTAGCGGCCACACTATTCTACGCGTCATGGGGGGTAGCACGACGCCTACTCTCGCGCTCTCCTCTGGACAACATACGTGGACTCCCCAGGAATTCGTTCTTCACTGGTGCGTTTGCTGCGCATTGTGACGACATCATCTGAAGCGATAGCAACAGGAAACATGCTCCAAATATTCAGCATGGACAACTGGAGCTTCGTGCAGGAGCTCGTCGACGCCTACGGCCCTGTCTCCCTCGTACACAACTTCTTCGGGGTAGGTGCTTCGGTGTCTCTTCGGAGGAAAACATATTCCCTGACCTTTACACCTGAAGACCCGCGCGCTTCATATTTATGATGTCAAAGCGTTGCACACAATATTCATCAAGGAACAAGAGGTGTTCCCACGCAATACGCTCAATCGGGAGTTCGTCACTTATGTCTTCAGGCTGCCGTTCCGCTTGAAACTCAACTAGCTTATAAAGGGCTGGAGACATACTTTTCGGCCCGGGACTCATATCAACAGAAGGCGCCATGCACCGCCGGCAGCGCAAAATGCTAAACCCCGTGTTCTCCGCTGCGTACATGCGCGGAATCACGCCCTTCTTCCACGAAATCGTGAACAAGGTGTGTGTTGTATCTCGGTCGCGATCTTCCAAATCACAAAACCCTGTGCTAGCTGGAGAGCGCCATAGAAACGCGTGTTCGCGACGGACCCACTGATCTCGACATGGTCGGCTGGATGGGCCGTGCCGCGCTTGAACTCGTCGGACAAGGCCTACTCGGACACAGCTTCGACCCACTCATCGTCGACTCGAAGGATGAGTTCACTGCGGCGGTCAAGTCTATGTCGTGCGTTGCGACTCCCTTCCGCTTGATCAAGATACTAACACTTCGATCAGACCCTCTATCCCCGACATACTGTACGCGCTCGCCGTCCTCCCTTTGGTGCAGGGCGTCGGACCGCGGTGGCTCCGCCGTCTCGCGGTTCGCTTGTGGCCCGACCCGAACGTGCAACGGATGCGCTACTACGTGGACTTCATCTACGCACGCACGCAGGAGATGCTCGCGGAAAAGAGAACGCGGATCGATAAGGGTGAAGGGGGGATCATGAGCCAGATCGCAGAGGGAAAGGACGTGATGAGCATCCTCTGTGAGTTTCTGCGACATCTGCCACCGCCGACCAAAACGTGACGCAGCTTTACAGTGCGGGAGAACATGGTTGCATCTGAAGAAGATCGCCTTCCCGACGCTGAGCTTCTGGCGCAGATGTCGTAAGTGTTTGTTTCGTGCTATTCACACTATCTGTTTGCTCAGTGAATCACAGAGTCTTCATCGTCGCCGGCGTCGATACTACTTCCAATGCCCTTGCTCGCGTGCTCGATCAGTTGTCGCAGTACCCCGAAGTGCAAGAGCATCTCCGTGAGGAAATTCGGCAAGCGAAGGAACAATACGGCAACAACATTCCATACGACGAGGTGATGGCGCTCCCGTACCTCGACGCTGTCTGCCGTGAGACCCTCCGCCTGTAAGTACTCCTCCCACGCATATGTCACGGAGATTTATCAAAGATGACGACATCCCAGGTTCCCTCCCGTTGTAATGGTCATCCGGGAGTGCGTCTTATCTCTGTTCTGTACGGTTTGTGTTTGACAAATCGCCATCAGATCTCAGGAGGACGTCGCTCTCGCACTCTCGGACCCTGTGGTCGGCAAGGACGGGTCGCCAATGTCGGAGATCATCGTACCGAAGAATACCACAGTGATAGTCAACGTTAGCGCCTGCAACACAAACAAGGCGCTATGGGGAGAAGACGCTTTTGAGTGGAAGCCGGAGAGGTGGCTGCAACCGCTTCCCAAGGCTCTCGAAGACGCGCGCATCCCGGGCCTCTATTCGAACCAGTAAGTCGGAATATACACATCCCCAAGGTCTCATCGCGGATGATACCTCACCAGGATGACCTTCATCGGAGGTGGACATGGTTGCATGTGCGTCAACGCGCTTTCTCATCGTGCAGTTGACTCATCATATCTCCCCATTCAGCGGGTTCAAATTCTCTCAGCTCGAGATGAGTGCGTTATGCTGCCTTTCTTGTGGGTGTACCGCGCGGCTAACTATGTTCATCGCAGAGATCGTGCTCTCTACGCTTATTGCATCCTTCCGCTTCGAACAGTCGAACAAGCCGTTCTTCTGGAACTCAGCCGTCGTCACATACCCGGCCGCCAAGGTCGGGAACACGGAGCCCGAGATGATGTTAAAGGTTTCGCTCGCACAATCACCTCCTCTGGCACCCACCTCCCGGGAATGTAGATAAGCCCGCACCGCGGAGTTCGGGAGCTGTGTGCTTCGCGCCGACTACGTGCCGTTTAGTGTTCAATATTTAATCATCACCGCTCTTACTCCACATGCTTCGCTTCTTTGACACCGGCCTGCTTCTTTGACGGCACATGGGTATATGTATCCCAGGCTCGCCTGCGCAGCTCACGGTCCATCTCTCCCACCATGACCTCGCTGCTGCTCACAGCGTTCGCGGTGGTCACAGGATACATCGGATTGCGCTTCTTGCGCGGGCTTTTTACTCCCAGACCTCAATTCGAGCAGCTCCCCGGGCCGGAGTCTGTATCATGGGTCACAGGTACGTGGGCGAGCATCACCTCATATCCAGCTAATAGTATGGACTCCCAGGTAACATCGGTAAACTATTCCAGTGCGACGCCTGGGATTATGTTCGACACCTATCTGAGGCGTATGGCCAAACGTGCCTCATCCACAACCTCTTTGGCGTACATTCTTCCTACGAACTTTGTCTTCATTCAATAACTCAACCTTGTACATTACAGGCGAAAGGACTGCTGACGTACGACCCGAAGGCAATGCATGCCATCTACATCAAAGATCAAGACATCTGGCAAAGGAGCAACATGTCGATAGAGTGCGTTACCTCTGCCTTCCCTAGCCTCGCTGCTGAACTCTATCAAACCCTTCAGGGCTGGAATGGCCCTCTTCGGTCCGGGGCTGCTCTCAACGCAAGGCGAGATACACCGGCGCCAGCGCAAGATGCTCAACCCCGTCTTCTCCGCGAAGTACATGCGCGAAATCACGCCCTTCTTCTACCAGATCGTCCACAAGGTGCGCATCGGACAGCACCCTTCCCGCTCACAGCGCACCCTCGCGCTTACACACACGTTCTCGAAGCTGGAATCCGCGATGGCCACGCGCGTCCGCGCCGGGCAAGAGGAGCTCGACGTCGTAGGCTGGATGGGGCGCGCCGCGCTCGAGCTCGTCGGCCAGGGTGCGCTCGGGCACAGCTTCGACCCGCTCGTGGAGGACACGAAGGACGAGTTCACGGAGCACGTCAAGTCGTTCTTGTGCGCGTTCATTCGTCCCCACCCTCGCGATCCGCTGACGTGGCCGTCTGCTTTCTGTAGCCCGTCGATCGCCGACATCATGTACGGTTTCGCGTTCCTTACGCTTTTCAAGGACGTCCGAGGCCCGTCTTGGCTGCGCAGGCTTGTCGTGCGGCTCTGGCCGGACCCGGCAGTGCAGCGCGTGCGGCGCCAGGTGGAGATGATCTACGCGTTTGCGCAGAGGCTGGTTGCGGAGAAGAAGAATGCGGTCGAGCGGGGAGACGAGGCGCTTTTACACCGGATCGGGGAGGGCAAGGACGTCATGAGCGTCTTGCGTAAGCTTGTTTCTACCCTCTTTGCGTTTCGACCGAGCTGAGGCCTATGTAGTGCGTGAGAATATGGCAGCTTCTGAGGAAGATAGGCTTCCTGAGGAGGAGTTGGTGGCGCAGATAGCGTGCGTACGCCCTTTACCCCTTTGGGTGTTCAATTTAACTGACACTCGGGCAGGACGTTCATCGTGGCAGGTGTGGACACAACATCGAACGCTCTCGCCCGCGCGCTTGATATTCTGTCGGTTCGCCCGGAGGCCCAAGAGCGGCTTCGGCACGAAGTGCTCGAGGCTCGCGAGCAGTACGGGCAGGAGATCCCGTACAACGAGCTGAGCTCGCTGCCCTACCTGGACGCGGTCTGTCGCGAGACAATGCGTCTGTGAGTACCTGTGTCCTCTTGAACTCCCAATATTTTGAGCTGACTCTTCTATCTGATAGGCACCCTTCGGTCACGTTCACACAGCGAGCGTGAGTGAACGTCCTTCATCTCTGTTTCAAAAGCATATTTATCGATTGCGCGCAACAGAGCCAAACAAGATACCGTCCTCCCGCTCAGCGTGCCTGTGAACGGCATCGACCACATTGCAGTGCCGAAGGGCGTGGAGGTCCTCACGAACATCGCCGCGTGCAACACGAACAAAGCGCTCTGGGGTGACGACGCGTACGAGTGGAACCCGGACCGGTGGTTGCGTCCGCTCCCAACCGCGGTCGAGGAAGCGCGCATTCCCGGGATCTACGCGAACTCGTCAGTGTCGACAGCGCGTCTCCTTTCCCCAGGACTCTGCTCACGGTGTTTCTGCAGATTCTCGTTCGGCGGCGGAGGGTACTCGTGCATGTGTGCCCAATTTTTCTTCGAACCTTGCACGTCTCGACTGATGCGCTACCGATCCCAGCGGGTTCAAATTCTCGCAGCTCGAGATGAGTGAGTCTCCGCGCTTTCTTTCCCTTGAGATCTCCACTTCTCACCAAGTTTGTCCTTCAGAGGTTGTCCTGTCGTCGCTCATCGCTTCTTTCCGCTTCGAACGCAGCTCGAAGGGGTTCGTTTGGAATCTCGCGGGCGTGGCCTTCCCTACTGCGGGCTTCGGCGACAAGGACCCAGAGATGTTTCTCAAGGTAACATGTGTCAACCTTGCGTAGTAGGCTGATCATTGATGCGTGTTGAGATACTGAAATGCCTGATCGGACGGGCTTCAGGAGCGCTAAATATATGATATTTTGTGACTGCCACTGAGACAGTCGGATTCTCGCGGCGTCACGGTGCCCGCACGCTCCCGTAATATCTAAAGCCCAAGCACAACGTCACAAGATTCCACCCTCCGACCTACCATGATCGCGGCCGACGACCCAGAGATCTCACACTCTTTGCATCACCCCTCAAACGCACATAGCCACCACGTCATCTGTTTCAAGCACCTACTGGTTCCCCGAGCTGCTGTGTACCTGGATTGTGCACGAGAAGATGCGGAATAGATTGAAATGGCTCTTGAGTCCACCGGATTAACAGATAAGATTTAGATCTAGATATACCAAAACAAGATCGCGCGCCTCGTTCCCCACACGAGCGCGGCGGGCTCCGCGAAGGTCAGCGGCGAGTCCGCCGCGCCGTCGAACAAGTCCTTCGTCCCCTTCCTCTTTTCCATCCTCCTGCGTTTGGTCAGTGGATGGGCCGGAGGGAGAGCGGGGATCGCGGTACGCGTAGTACCCGGTGACCCACGCGTGGAAGCGTTCGAGACGGGGCTTGCTGACACCTTGAAGGATTTGTGCGAGCCCCCGGGCGGGTAGGAGTATCCGAACACCATGAAGGAGCTATCTGCGTGTACACGCTAAGGTCAGCCTTCTGTGAAGTCGGGGCTGCGTTGAGCGCGATGAAGCGTACCATGGAATATGACACGGCGGAGGGTGGGTGAGGGGATCGACGCCGTGGGACGGCACGAACAAGTGCGCGTGAGCGAGGAACGCTCGTACGACCAGCCGGCGACGGCGTTCCCGCCTTTCTTGTCCTCGCGCGCGCACGGGATGTTCTCGCGTTTCGCGAAGTCCGCGAGGGTGTTGTACGGCTTGCGCGCTTGCTGTTTGAGAAATTCGTCGACTTCCGGCCGGGGATCATGGGTACCCACGCCGAATGAGTGCGATTGTACGGGCGTTGTATCGCGCCGATATAGGAAACAGCTTCTGACAACGCTCTCGCGGTTAGAGATTTCCATCTCGAAGTACGGGGATCTCACCTCCGCGCCACGTCATCCCGTGGACAATAACGATAGTTGTGTAGTCCGTGCTGCCTACAGTCGGACCGGAATCTAGAACGACGCCCAAGAGAGGCGCTGTTGTTGGTGGAGCCTTGGCGCGCATGTCCGAGGGGCGAGGTGATCTTAGGCTTTTCGAGCTGTCAGAGTACTCGATACCATATGCGTAGCTATATGTACTCACCGCGAAGTGACAGTACGAAACCTCTGGAGATTGTTCAAGGCCCGGCTCGTACAGTTCTGCACGGACCTCGCCATCGTCGTCGGCGTAGCTCCTGAGATGGGAGGTGATTGCGTCCAAGAATCCCGACTTCCTGACGTCGAAACCCGTCGTGGATCCGCCGACTTTCTTCTTGCCTGCTTTGCCATACATCTCGTCGAGCACCGTCACCTCACCTCGACCGAACACGGCGGGCGGCCGCGAGTTCAACGACCAGATCAGAACGGGAGGACACATCGCAAAAGAGTATGAAGCTATGGGCAACCATAATGAGCGCAACGGGGAAATGCACAGATCTAGGAAACGCACTGAGGATTTTTGCGCCCATAATACATCGCCAACTGGTCGCGAGCGAGCCCCTGCAGATGTTTGGCTGCTCTTATAGCGTCTTGCATACATGAACGAGCTGGGCGTTTGAGGGGCGAGGAGAGACATCGAGAATAACGAATGTCGGAAGGGAGCGTCCTGAAGGGAAATGGGTGACGTTGTTGACCCGGTCGACCGGCATTGACTCACAGTGGACAAAATTTTCGACGTTGACGTATTAAAGCGGCTCGTGGGGAGGACGCTCGTACACTTCAGGCTCATCGAAGGTCACAAGCCGCACTCGCGTGGCGGATATGAATGTTTCTGTGGGTCCGCCTGAGAATCGAGGACACTCGATCGAGTCATAGCAGCTGCCCGCAGGTCGGCGCTCACTATCAGCAAGAGGATCCGGCGACGCAAGGAACAGGAAGCGAGCGTGCCATACGGATGCTATGTGCCTCCAAACGGGGTTCCGCCTGCTCAGCCGCGGTGGATTGAGATGACTATATGCGCTACTTGTGGAGAGCAACTGATACTAGACACGAAAAGTACGATGAGATTGGTGTGTTCCACGCCACTCCAGCGCGATATGCCCCGGCAAAGATGTCGCAGCCCTTGTGTGGAAAGATTTCCCTCGCCGAGTGCTTCCGTGCCATACGCCCAAAAATTCACGGCATACGCCAGCCTCAAGACTCAAGTACTCACCGTCTACCGCAATTACCATGCAGGTCTGACCAAGCACCCCTCGTCAGATCACGCGAAATCCTTTCCACCCGTATTGCATGCGACATGCAGCTTGTTAGGCGAGCGTAGATGTCTATGAAGATGAGCGACGAAAAGGTTGATGAGGACCGACTCCGACAGCCAGTCTCGACAGGGTGGCTGGAAGTCTGAGCTTGCGCCGGATGAGAGGGAGGGGTGAATGAAGCTCGCTTATACAGCGCAGTCAATGCAGGGGAGACGTGGGCGGCGTAGTAGACGTGCAGCATCGGAGGCGGCGACCAGTCACTGGAATCTCGGCGTCAAATCAACTAGCGCTTGGCGGAGATGAGCGGGACGCCGGCCCGATATATCTGCGCGGAGAGTCGAGACGGTCGGTCCATATCCGCCTTCTTCGTACTACCCCCTATCCAGAGCAAAGATGACTCGGGGTGGGAGCTAAAAGGTATGCTTGCCTCGTGGAATACTGCCGCTCATATGGGCAAGGAAGCGACCTTGCGAACATCGATGATGGGTGAGATACGGGCCAAGTATCTCTAGATCGAGTACACTTACTATAGCGACCCGGCTACCTTCGGCGGGCAGCAGACGCGACATCCTTCCTCGACCACCATGACCTACGTCCCGGAGACTCCTCAACTGAAAAAACTCCAGGACACGCTCACCGAGCAGCCGTCGTTCTGCAACGGCATCCTCGAGCTGCCTTCAGACCAGCTCGAGCTCTACTACGGTCGCGACAGCCCTCGGTGAGCTCGGTCTCTTCATGTCATCGCGCCGATCTAATCATCGTTCGCAGCTACGTCGACTTCGCCAAGTCTGCTCTTCAGCCGGATGCCGTCGCGCAGCTCGCGGCCGCCTGCCAGCCGGCGATGTTTGGCAGAGGCGACGAGACCGTCCTCGACGAGACGTACCGCAAGGCAGGCAAGATGGACGCCCACGACTTCGTCATGCGCTTCAACGTGGAAGAGACCGGTCTCATGCGTGCTATCCACGCCCACCTACTGCGGAGAGAACGAGAGGGACGCAATTCGATCCGTGCGGAGCTGTACAAGCTCAACGTGTACAGTACGTCGAGCTCCATTCTGCCTCGCTATCCCGCGTCTCTGATTCGTGCACAGGCGAGGGCCAGTTCTTCAAGGCGCACACGGATACTCCACGCTCCCAGGACATGTTCGGCTCGCTCGTGATCGTCTTCCCCACGCCCCACGAAGGCGGCACGCTCATCCTCCGCGAAGACGACAAGGAATGGGCGTTCGACTCTGCGACGCTCCTCGCTGGGCGCAACGATGCGATCGCCTACGTCGCCTTCTTCAGCGACGTTGAGCACGAGGTCGCCCCCGTGCTCTCCGGCCACCGCGTCACGGTGACGTACAACCTCTTCTACGCCCCTGCGGTCCCATCCCCACACGAGCCGGCTGGGCTCACCGCGCGTGCCCCGGGGTGCGTCGCCGTCGACGCCATCTCCGCAGCGCTCATCGCACTCCTCGACGACCCCGCGTTCATGGCACAAGGCGGTACGCTCGGGTTCGGGCTCCGACACAAGTACCCTCTTCCAAAGACGTGGAGTGCGGGGGACCCCGATCCGCTCGGGAGTCTCGCGGGCTGGCTCAAGGGCGCGGACTACGCGCTCTTCCGTGCGGCGGAGACAGTCGGTCTGACGCCGCGCTTGCGGCTCCTTGTGTACACAATCGAATGGTCGGGCTACCGGGGGCAGACTGTGGTGTTGTCGCGCATGCCGGACCTTGATGGCTGGATGGAGGACGAGCCGCTCTCTTCGCAGCTGGAGGGAACCATACTAAGGACGATGAAATTTGGGAAGGAGGCAATGGACGACGGGAGCGACGGCGAGGACGAGGACGAGGCCCACGTCAAGGGCCCGGAGATCGCGGTGCATTTCGTGACGGAGGCGTTTGGGCGGACCAAGATGCGGGCACCGCACGCGACGTATGGGAATGAGGCGTCGGTCGAGTACACTTATGCGTCGGTGTGCTTGCTGGTCACTGTCGGGGAGCCGGGGATGCGAGGAGCGATCGGAGAGGTTGCGATATAGTAAGTCGCTCCAGGCGTGAGGGAGTAGCAGCAGATAGCTAGGTCGTAAAGTAAAACAAAGCTAGTCACAGAAGTGATACATCGGGGTCGATCTGGACCCAGTCACCTCCTCAAACTCTTCTATCTTGACGAGCAGATAGAGCGTGCCATACACATAACTCGTTCCCGTGCGCCATGTACAGCGCCTTGGTCCCGTTCCAATCCTCCAGGTACGTCACCCTATGCACCGACACCGGGTCAACGAGCAATGAAACACAGTTAATGTGAGCCCTGAGGGGCACTCGGCGCGGGAACCTGAGTTTACGACTGCACTAATCAAAGTACACAGGGGTCCCCCTGGTCCCAGTCGCCTCATCTACCTTCCCAATCTTGATAAGCAGGCAGAGCGAGCCATACATGTACTGCAGCGACGCCTCGTTCCCGTACGCCATGTATAGCGCCTTCGTGCCATTCCATGCCTCCGTGTACGTCACCCAATGCACAGACTGTTCCCCCTCATTGTCGCGGCTGATGTACTTGTCATTCCAGTACCCCTCCTGGAAACCAAAGTTTGTGAGCTCCTTCGCGCAGAACTCGCTCTCCATGAGCGTCTCTGGGAGCGTTGTTTCCTCGTCCCAGCGCTTTCCGAACACGGGCACGCGCGGGAGCAAGAACGCGCCATCGTCGAGCGCGCCCAAGCCTTCTTCACGCACGACCAGGCGCACGACGGGCTTGAGCCCGAGCGTTTCCGCCGCGCGGAACAGCGCGTGGTCTGAGCCCTTGAGCGTCAGCGCGCCCTTGAGGAACGTCACGAGCGGGTCGTGCCCGCCGTCCTTGAGGTCCCACAGCTTCGGGAGTGGGTACTTGTGACGCAGGCCGAAGCCGAGCGTGGCGCCGGTGCAGAGGAACTCGGGGTCGTCCACGAGCGCGCGCAGTGCGGCCGCGATCATGTCCACGGAGGTGAACGCGGGCGCGAGCGAGCACAAGCCGGCGGGTGTGGGGAAGACTGGTTTGGCGTAGAAGAGGTTGTAGGTTACGGTGACGCGGTGGCCGGAGAGGAGCGGCGTGACCTCGTGCTCGACATCGCTGAAGAAGGCGGCGTACGCGATCGTGCACGGGTGGTCCTTGAGCAGGGCGCCGGAGTCTACGACGTGTTCCTTCTCCCAGTCGCGCAGAACAAGGGTCCCGCCTTCGTGCGGGGTGGGGAAGACGATGACGAGAGACCCGAACATTTCCGGGGAGTGCGGGGTATCCGCGTGCGCCTTAAAGAACTCGCCCTCGTCTGCAGATTTTCAGAACAATCAGAGGGTGCACAGCTGAACTAAGGAGAGTGCGCACTGTATATGTTCAGCTTGTAGAGCTCAGCGCGGATTGAAACCTCTTCTTGTCTTCCAGCCAGTAGAATAGCGTGAACGGTCCCTAGAAGCCCCGATTCTTGAAGGTCGAAGCGCATGAGGAAGTCGCTCGCGTCCATCTTGCGCGACTTGCGATACGTCTCGTCGAGGACAGTCTCATCGCCTCTGCCGAACATCGCGGGCTTGCAGGCCGCGGCGAGTTCAGTCACCGTCTCAGGGTGCTCTTGTGCATCGCTGAAGTCGATGAAGCTGATCGATCACTGTTAGCGAGTGCTCACAGTAGTAAGTACCCACAAGCACAAAGTACGCACTGATGCTGATGACGACCGTAGTACATCTCCAGCTGGTCACGAGGGAGGGAGATGGTACCGCTGCAGAAGGTCGGTTCCTCTTGCAGCGTTGCGCGAAGATGGGCAACCTTGGGGGTGATGGGGACAGGGGACATGGCGAAGGGCGTGACTGCCGATCGCACCGTCCTTCGGCGCTATATATGCGTTGGTCCCGCACGTGACGTCATTGCTGTAGATTCCTAAACGGTCAGTCCGGAGTCCCAGTCGAGCACGCTGACTCTGCCCCGCGAATCAACATCCCCTGGGCACAACACGCCATGGTCTGTACCATCAGCGCTCGTGCTCACTGTGAGTCACTGCAGCCAAAAAGGGACCAATTACCAACGAGGGCGTGGATGTCACAGTGCGGTCATCCCGGGGCGGGACGGTGTCGGAGGGAATGAAGCAGTTAGGACGTCTTCGCTTGCCGGTCATGCTGGGCGGGTAGATGTTGGCGAAAACAGAGGAGGAAAGTACTGGACATTGACACGTTGCCGAACCGTGGGAAGTGTCTGCGGCTTCTGCCGAGGAGCTGAGCGCCGTTTTTCGGCGGACAGCGTCCGACACACCTCGACATCACCCGACCAAACCGCACATCCCATGATCCGCAATAGCAGCTTTCCGCCTCCGTATGCAATGCTATCCCCGCCACGTTCCATCATGTTCAATAGCAAGCGACTAGACGTGCCACAAGGGAGAGCAAATATTCGCTTACGAAATTATCATTCATCTCAAGCCATTCACTCCAGATCGTGGTGATCTGTGTGCATCCGTACAAAGTCAGGGTCTAATTTAATACGGCTCCCATTCCGATCTGTCGTTTATTGATCCGAATGTGCACAGGTGAGGGCTGCTTCCCCGTGTTCGACGCGGATGCCTGACGAGGAACGCCCCGATTGGAATACTCCACGACGAGTAGTAATGGAGGGCATCCCAGAACTTCAGAAGAGGGTAACGACCGGACTGGCAGGTATCTTTTACGCCGTCCGTACACCCGTGCTAACTGCGTCACTACAGCTGATGTCAAACATACTGAGGCGTCGTCATACTCTGCGATACAACTGCTGCGGCCGCATCTGCTGGCGGCTTTCCATTCCACGAATACCCGAGGAGCACGGAACGCGGGAGGAGGGGCGGGACTTTCCGTCCCTGCTCCCCATCCCGCGTCCACCAGGCCAAGCTCCAATTCCCGCCCACTCCCATCCGCCGCAGCACTCCTCCGCCTTCGGATATCCTCCTCTCATAACATCCGACGCTGCTGCGCACCAGTCCTCCCTTTTCAAAATCGCATAAATACCCCCGCGTCGTCTCCGGTAAATATCAACATCCATCTTACGTTCTCTACCGTTCAATTCGCCACTATGCTCGCAGTCTCTTCCGTCCTTCTCTCTCTTGCGCTGAGTGCCTTCGCTGCACCTGCTCCAGATGCCCACGTCCGTCGCATCTCCACCCGCAACATAAAGTCTCTCAAGACCTCAGACGGCTCCTTTGACCACCAAAGGGCCATCCGCCAGGTTGCATACGACCACAAGTGAGTGCACGAGCGGAGGTCTCATGGGAATTTACCTCTGATCATGCGCCGTTTGCAGCAAATACCGGAGCAACCTGATCAGCTTGCACGATAACGTCGGTGCAGAAGCGTTCAAGGACGGTGCTCGGATCCTCCCGCCCGTCGAGCCCTTCGTCTCGCCTTCTGAACAGCAAGGCACAGAAACGTTGAACAACGAGCAAAACGAACTCTGGGCGGGAATCGTGGGCGTTGGCACCCCGCAGCAGAACTTCAACGTCGACTTCGACAGTAAGTTGCATCACGCGTGCTGCTCGTCGCCGCTTGCTCACTTTCCACCAGCTGGGTCCGCAGATCTATGGATCCCATCCGCCAACTGCACTACGACTGACTGCGCCCAGAAGGCGCAATACCATCCCGAACGATCTTCCACCAGCCAGCGTCACGACAACGAATTCGGCCGCATTCGCTACCAGGACGGATCCACTGCCTCTGGGTCTATCTTTACCGACACCGGTGCGCGCTCTCGCGTCATGGACAGTGAGATCACAATGCTGACGTATTGCGGGCACATGGCAGTCACTGTCGCGGGTATCTCAGTGAAGAACCAAGGCTTCGCCGCCGTCGACTCCATCTCCGACGAGCTCGCCCATCGCCCCATCGACGGCGTCATCGGCCTCGGCTACCCAGCCCTCGCAAAGATGGGCCAGACGCCGTTCATCAACAACGCCCGCGCCCAGGGCTCGATCAAGCACGCCGAGTTCGGCCTCAGGATCACCGACACCACCTCAGAGCTCGAGATCGGGTTCCAAAGCGGCGATAAATGCACCGACGACCCCGAGGTACACCCCGTCACCGGCGAGTCCGGGTACTGGCAGATCTCCAACGGGATGCTCGGCCGGGGCCTGCACGTGTACGCGCACGACTTCTCCGCGGTCATCGACTCGGGCACGACGCTCATCTACGGCCCGCCCGCGGACGTCGCGAAGTTCTACAAGTCGGTCGAGGGCGCGGAGCTCTGGGACGAGAGCAACGGGTTCTACTCGTTCCCGTGCGACGAAGCGCCGTCCGACGCGCACTTCCAATTCGACCAGGGGTGGAGGACGATCAGCGCCGAGAACTTCAACTTCGGGCAGATCGACGAGACGACGTGCATCGGGGCGATCGTGGGTCGGGACATGGGGCTTGGGAAGAAGACGTGGGTGCTCGGAGACAGCTTCCTGAAGAATGTGTATGCGGCATTCTCGTTCGAGACGAACGAGGTTTCGTTCTGTCGCCCCCGTGATTAGAAGTTTGGGTCGCGCATATGTTATCACAGCGCTGGACGCTGACATTTATATGAACATACTGTAAAATCAACCAATCGAGTTTGCATAGCACTATGACCGCAAGCTGCCTGATCGCTGGCTCTTCAACTTACTCTGGCGACGCCTCCTTACCGCGGTGACCCTCATATTGTCCGTGTGCCCCACTACCTTCGTTTTAAAGCGGACCGTGATTTACGCCTCCGCGACGCCGTCAGGGTCGTCCCACCGCCTCTCATCTCTACGCGCTCTCCCGACAGCGCTGCCAGCACTGCGATCGGCGAGCAAGCGCGGGTCGCGCGCTTTTCAGTCATGCGCCAGGAGCCTTGGGCGGCGCGCCTCGACCTTGTGGCGGAGTGCATAGTCCGCACCGTTCAGGGAGCACGAGAGACTCTCGAGAAAGTTGGGCGTACCTTCCAACGGCAGTGCACGTCTTCGCTGAGAGGGGCCCGAGAGCTTGTACCAGACAGAGTCCGGGACCGCGCGAGCTCGGATGGTGCCATCGCTCGGTGATACTAGTCATCTAGGGATGGAGTGGATGAGGCTAAAGGTAGACCAGAGGGGAGAGGCGTGACTTCATCCTGGACGTCGATAAGGAAGGAGACGTAGGCGATTGTCATGGATGTCGATGAGATTTCAAGTGCCGCAGAGTTCGAACGAGAGCCGCGTGTGAATTAGATCAAACAGTGTGGGTGACGTAACGCATGTCACAGGCCGTAACAGACATGAGAAAATGACAAAGACGCGTCACGTCCACGTGTCGGCGGTCGCTATGATGTCGGACCGCCCTTGCTTTCTTTCCCTGCCTCAGACTTTGCCGAGCGGCGAGCGACGCCTCCTTCTCCACACACGCTCTTAGGGCAGTAGGGGCGCAGGCGGCACATTGCGCGCTTGCGGCGCTTGTTCTTTTGTCTTCGTCACACAGAATACGTGAGCATACGTGACTGCCTATTGTTCCGCATCCTGTGTCTGGTGCCTCCAGCACACACATAAGTCCTGCTTGAGCCGTCTTACACAGGAACATGTGCTTGACAACAAGGTAAGCATAACGACCAGAATCCCTCTGCTCGAGCAATGATCAAATCTCTATTGCGCAGGACGGCACGGCCGTGCACAGGCACGCGTCGTTGTCCTCAATCAACAAAGCGCCGGGCTCACTCGTGCTCGTCCCAACTATAAGCGCGATCATCTTGTCCCCTCCCCCCTTCGACCCCCTCCCCTCCCCTACAGGTGCCCATAAAAGATGGCCGTCGGGCTATCTCCGTGGACCAAGATGTTCTCGCCATGGTGGTGGCCTCCTTCGCACCCACTCGAACACGGCACGTCAGTTCCGGCCGCACCGTCACGCCACTCGACATTCATGCCCATGTACGACGGATCCACCCTGGCCTCCTTTACCAAACAGTTTCTTCCGGACGTGTACAGGCACTACGGGATTGCGCTGCTCATCGCGAAGATGCTCGGTACTCGGTGGATCATCATGCGCATGGTCTCGCGCACTTTCGTCGCCCAGGTGCGCTCCGACTTCAGGTACGTCACTCGTCGTCTCCTCGGTTTCCGCGGCAAGATGAACATCTCCGGAACAGGCACACTTCCCCCTTCGTTTACACCCCCAACACGCTCGCATCATCACCATCCTTGGCCACCCCTTCTCCCCTGCGATGGCGTGTTACTAGTTTCGCCAAGGCCACTCCTCCTAGGTTGCAGTGGCTCACGGCTACACCGCACGCTTCTCTGATGGGAGCTCTTCGAATGGCCGGATTCGAGCCCCCGGGGATACCGCCGTCGCCTGTCCCCGAGGCCGAGTCGCTCTTGAACGCAGGCGAATGCGCAACCACCGGAAGTCGCTGTTCTGAAAACACGAACGGGCGATCACAAGAAGGCTTTGTCGGTGAGAGCGACGACGAACATCGTGCGGGGACACACGGCCGGCCGCACTCGAGACTCAGTAGGGACTCGCAACGCGTACCCATAGCCGACACCGATGTTCACGCTACCGATGTTGCGTCTCCTCTCGTTTCCCCCGTCTCGTTGATGTCTGCGTTCAAGACTGTGTCCTCGTCCGGATTTGCTTCGGACAAGGCGATGGGCTTTCCATCAAGCACAAGGGAGGCGCTTTCTGAACCAGAGCCGTTACCACCTCCTCCCGGTCTCCCACCACCCTCTGCTCCGGTCATCGATCTCGGGGATCCAGAGCCGAACATCGACTACCGGTCTATCTGGGATCCGTACAACCACGACCGGGAGAAGCGGAACGACATCGTCCTCCATCACCAGGACACGTACAGCATCCTCGGCACGCTGGGCGAAGGCGGGTTCGGACGCGTCTTCGCGGCGCGCAGGAACATCAACCAGGTCGTCGCCGTCAAGGTGACGCACAAATGGAAGCACTACAGGAAGGGTCAGGGCGACAGAGCGAGTCTGCTCAGGGAACGTGACTGCATGGCGCTCGCGGCGTTGAACAACGTTCCGTTCTGGGCGAAGCTGCTCGCTTCATGGGAGGACGCCCACAACGTTTACTTTGTTATGGTGAGTGACGAGCGACGAGTTAGAGCCGTCAGCTCACGTGTTTCCCAGGACGTGTGCCTCGGAACCTTGTCCGAACGTCTGACAGAGGTCAAGAGAAGGCCTCTGGACGCGCCGCGCATGTGCGCAGAGATGGTTAGCGCTCTCGACCCCTCTCTGGGTCTCCCGAATATTTACGTCGCTCACAGGTGCTCGCCGTGAGCTATCTCGAGAAGCACGAGATCATCCATTCCGACATCAAGCCCGAAAACTTCCTCGTCACGTCCCGCGAAGACCACCTCGTGCTGACGGACTTTGGCGTCGCGGACCGTCGCCCCTCAGCTTCCGACGTTCCGTTCGACGAATGGTACCTGGGCGGGCGGGCGGGAACCACGACGTACATGTCTCCAGAGACGTTGCTCCTAGAAGAGACTTACCACAGGTCGGACATATACTCGCTCGGCCTGGTCTTCCTGCAAGTGTTCCTGGGCTGGGTTACCCCCGTTCTCTACTTTGATCCGAAGGGATCATCCCCGCCGGGGTGGCCGGCAGCTGAGGACGTCTGGCGCGTGGCGGACTCGGTGGATCGGCAGATAATGCTCATGTCCGTGCCCTGGGTTCGGTCGTGGTCGATGATCCCCGAGAAGGCGCTGCCACGGACTTGCGCCGAATGGAAGTTGTGTGAGAAGGTGGGTGAGCGCTCCAGCCCTAGCGTGACGCCGGTCTGAAGCAGCAACCACACGCACAGATGCTCGACCGAAACCGTGCTGCGCGGCCCAGCGCGAGCGAGCTGCGGAGAGACGAGTTCTTCGGGGAGGCCTTCATGCTCGAGGTCTATAACGACGTGCGCATGGCGCACTACCGAGCTCAGAACGGTGAGCGAGCCCGCTCGGATCGTACACACACACAACGCTCACTGCCTACAGGTGACGTGGGGACCGCGTCCGCCGGGCGCGCGTCGATCGAGAAGATGAAGATCGGCCCTGACGACCGCGACCTCGGCTTCGGCAAGTGGCACCGCGGCGACGAGTACGAGTACGACGCGCACGCGGAGTTCAGGCACATCCGCGAGGGCAACCAGCGCCGAGTCTGGCTGCTCGCGGACCGCGAAGCGCGCGAGCAGAAGATGGCGGAGAACCGACGGCAGCTGGAGTGCACCAAGGAGACGGACTTCGTCGCGCCCTCGCCGCCGGTGCACCCCCCGACGCCCGAGATGTCGCTCGACGGGTTGGACAGGGTGATGCGGAGCGAATGCTCTCCCTCCCCGAAGTCTGACGCACCCACCGATCTGGAGTACCCAGTTTCCGAAGATGGTAGCGCGGTTGCGCAGCCCCCGGACGACGAGCCCATCGGTGTGGAAGAGTCTGCGACTACTCCTTCTATGGAAGACATCCACACGAGACTGGAAAGCAGCGGGACTCCTCCGGATCCCCTTCGACTCGGCCCAGTCTCGGTCGCTCAAGGTGCCACCGGTATCGATGAGTTGGCGCCTGAGCGTTCCCCGAAACTCGGATCTATTGTCGTCCATATCGCTCCTGGAGGACCGTATCCTGTAAAAGATCCAGGTCCAGACGAGGATGTCGAAGACCTCATCTGTTTGCCGCCTCTTGCATCTCTTCCGCGTATATGGAACTTGGAGCACTGATGACTCGGACTGTCGGACTGTGTTTGTGGGGACTTCCCTCGATGTTGTACCCCTGATTGTGTACCATATTTACCTGTTTTCTCTGTAGCCCATAGACGACTGTAATGATCTATCACGTAATGAAATGCATAGCGACGACTCGCGGCCCCGGTGTTGACGTTGAACGAACATTAAGTGCGAACTAGACAACTAATCCAGAGAGTATCTACAATAACACCTGCGCTACATAACACCATACCATGACATCTGAGTGGCGCGTGGTCTACTAGCTCTGCCCAGTCGCAGGCTGCGCGTTCGCCGGCCGCGTCGCTCGACTTGGGCTCGTCAGGGGCAGACTTGCTCGGGTCCACAACACGCTGCGCGGGCTTGGCCTTGGGCCCATTTGCCCGTGCGCGGATGCACGCCATGGTCGCCGAACAGTCCGAACTTGACGAGGATGCAGTAGTCGAGGCCCGGCGCCTGGTTGCCGCACACCATGTACACCGCGTTCGGTCAACGGGGGCGCGCACCTGGCACCTGTATTCACGCCAGTATCTCGATTATATGCAGTCATTCCTACGCTACCTTTCTCCAAGTAATCAGGATTGATATAAGGCCGATGAGTGCCACTGGAAAGCAAGCTCGTCTGGTTAAGCGGACGCGGACGCGGGATCGGGCTGGATCCCCATCGCCTGCACGGCCGGGGCCGGCTTGGGCGGCCGCTCGACCACCGCGCGCGGGCGCACCCCCCGGTCCTCCGCAGGCCCAATCTTGGCGAGGATGCATACGGACGCGTACCAGTAGTCAAGGCTCGCCTGGTTGCCGTACACGAGGAAAGCGGCGCTCGTCCCGTTCCACGCCTCCGTTGGCGTGATCCAGTTGATCTCGACGCGCCGGCGCTCGTCCTCGCCCCCGTCCTCGTCGTCCTCTTCGCCGTCGTCGCCGTAGCCGTCTAATTCTCCCCCACCATAAAAGCCCTCCTCGCCGGGCGGGCATTTGGGCGCGGGGCGGGGAGCGGCCCCGAAGAAGGTGTCCATGATGAGCTTCCCGCCGTTCTCGCGCCACATGAGCTGCTCCTCAAGCGACCGCTGCTCCGTGTAGTCGGTCGGGGTCACGACCATCTTCTTCAGGAGGATCTTGCGATCACCCCCGGAGACGACGTAGCGCAGCTGCGGCTCGAGGCCGACACCCTCGATCGCGAGCTTGAGTGCCGCGTCTCCGCCCTTCAGCCACCCGCGGAGAGACTCGAGGGGATCCGGTGCGCCCTTGACTGCCTTCCAGGCGCGCGGGAATGGGTACTTGTGGCGCAGGCCGAAGCCGATGATACCGCCTTTGGGCATGAACGCGCGGTCGGCGAGGAGCGCGTCGAACGAATCCGCGATGGCGTTCGGGTTCGCGAGGACAGGCGCGTCGACGGTGACGCCTTGAGGCTGGAGAGGCGAAGGGACCTCGCTCGTCCAGAAGAGGTTGTAGGTGACGGTGACGCGGTGTCCGGAGAGGACAGGGGCGACCTCGTGCTCGACGTCGCTGAAGAAGGCGACATACGCGAGGGCATCGGTGCGGCCGTCCAGGAGCGCGTTGGCGTCGAACGTCCACTCCTTGCCACCGTGGCGGAGGAAGAGGGCGCCGCCTCCATGCACGGTGGGGAAGCAGAGGACGAGGGAACCGACCATGTTGGTTCCCAAGGGGGTGTCTGCATGCGCCTTGAAGAATTCTCCTTCGCCTATCGGAGAGTGATCAGCAACGGCTAGGAGTGTGGGATCAGCCGCCGAACATACCGTAGACATTGAGCTTGTACAGCTCAGCGCGAATGATAGTCAGCTCCTTCACGCTTGCGAGAAGCGTGGCGTGGACGACGCGCAGAAGGCCAGACTCGGTCGCGTCAAACCGCATGAGGAAGTCTTCCTTGTCCATCTTCCCAGCCTTGCGATAAGTTTCGTCCAGCACCGTCTCGTTGTTCCTACCGAACTTGGCAGGTTTACAGGCTGCTGCGAGCCCTGCCACTGTCTCCGGCTCGTCGACAGCTGTGGTGAAGTCCACGAACCTGTTCGGAAAGGTGGAGTCAGACAGAACTACGAAAACGTGGCACCAGATACCGACTTCGGGTTTTCCTTGCCATAATAGAGTTGCAGCTGCTCAGGAGGCAAGGCGAAGATGCCGCTGCAGAAGGGCGGTTTCTCCGCTAGCTTTGCGCGAAGGTTCAGCAGCGAAGCCGTTGCGGGGCGAATGGTTGGCTCGTAGTCCATGATGTCTGGGGGATAGGTGGTGGTGTTCGAGAATAGGGTTATGCGTGGGCGATTATATGAGGTGCTGCGGCGGCAGAAGCTTCGGAAGCAGGAGGTGGAGAAGGGGCCGGGCAAGAAGCGAGAGAACATCGAGGTGGACGAGATGGGCGGCCTCCGCGGTCGGATCTGGCACGTTGGGAAGCAGGACCTGGGAAAGCTGCGGACGCGGACGATGAAGGGTCTCAAGCCAGAGCGGGACGCAGTGCTCATCTATGACGAGGACGACGGCGGGGAAATGCGCCCTATGCGTTACCCTCAGTGGTTGTCTTCTAGATTTGGCTCGATCGCAGCTGACTCATAGGGGACCCCAGCTTGCTTGTCTTTGGAGTCCATAAGAACGCCGCTGACGGTGACCGTTTCCCACATAGAGTAGGGAGAGACGATTCGGCCAAGCAGGCAGTGCACGGATTGATTAAAAGAGCAGGACTCGGGCGCCCTACAGGGTGGCCCAGGCGCATCACGGCTTGTTACCACCTGTGACTGTTCATTGATCGTGACGTCACTTGCGCAATATTCCCGGCGGTACCGGCGCTTGGAGCCTTCGTCGTACTTGCATACTACAGCACGGCATCTTCTTCTTTCTGGATCTCTTCTCTCGTCGTGATCTTCAGCAAAATTCGAACACGTGTCAGTGCCGCTGCTCGTCTGCGTCAGGGTCAAGCTCCAAATGGCTATTGCGTGCAGTGTGAACTTCCGGCGGGGCCTTCACCTTCCGGGGCGAACAAACCTCTCTAGTGCCAGTAAAGTTCGATCGCTGTAAGTCGCGGTCGATTCCACAATGAATGAGCGCTCACGAGAACAATACAGGCAGGAGGGGTTCCACGAAACGCGTACGAGGCACGCTTTCCAGCGCCCCAACTTGCTCTGGACGACCCATATCAGCACACCCTTTCCTACGTCGCCAAAGCCGAAGAGGTGGGCGATGAGGCCTTGAGGCCTGAGGGACAGTCTGAACACGGGGAATGTATGGGTTTCGTGGCTCAGAGGGAAAATGGTTAGCTTGGTCTTCTCCCGCGTCCCTCCCGCGTCCCGCGACGATGAGCGATCATGTACAGGATATCTCTCGACGGCCACTTCGCACCACAGTTTATCCCCGCGCCGGCGTTCTCGCCACACAGCTGCTTGCAATGGTTCGCCTCCGCTTTCAACTTCCCCGAACAACCATCGCCTCGGAGGTCGACCCTACATCCATGAGGCAGTGCCCACTGTTTGTCGACCGGGCCCACGCCTCTCTTAGTCCCAGCGCGCCAGCCGCCATCTTCAAGCGCAACAGCGTCGTGTGCGAAGTCGCGACCCTCCTACCTCCTCGCCACTACGATAAAAGCCTCCTACCCCACCATCAGAAGATTTGGGTCGACACCGTCGCCAGTCTGAGTCTGCTTTCACGCTCCTCCCCTCACATCTATATCTGCGCAACCGTAGATCCTGCCTATTTCAACGCTATTGGCCCCTCGTAGCTGGTCTCTGAGTCTGTGGAGACCTCCGACGAACCCTACTGCGTACTCAGCCTACTTGTCACCCGCGTGGCGCGATCCCGAACTTGTAGAACTCCTCCGCGGCGTCATCCGCTCTCCAGCCACGGGGGACAGCCAGATGGTATCTGTATGCTCTCATTATCCCTTGCATACCGCTTTCTGGCGGCTGGACATGACTATCGCGGTCTGATCTTAGATATATGCCAGCACAGCGTACGATTGGTGTTGGCGGGTTGCGGGTGACGCATCGTAGGCGCAGTGGCAGACGTCGCGGCGCAGGGTTTCGAACATGGACGACAGGTTAAGTACACGCGTGGTACACTTCGGGCGAAAGTGGATTGAAGTCGGACCTGCTGCTTTCGATGGTCCCGGGGACTCCGCGGCTCAAGCGGCTTCAGGCCCCGCTCACGGGGCAGCCGTCGCTCTGCAGCGGCATCCTCGAGCTGCCTAAAGACAAGCTCGAACTCTACTACGGTTATGATAGCCCTCGGTGAGCTTCCTCCCTTCATATCATCGTGCTAATGTGCTAACTCCGCTACTCGGTCGAATGCCATCGCGCAGCTCGCGACCACCTGCCAGCCAGTGATGTTCGGGAGGGGCGACGAGACCGTCCTCGAAGAGACGTACCGCAAGGCAGGAAAGATGGATGCCCGCGACTTCGTCGTGTGCTTCGACATTCAAGCGTCTCCACGCGACTTTGCTAACAGGAAGACCAGAAGAAGTTTCTATTCGCGGCGGCGGGCGCATATCTGTACAAAATAAACGTCTACAGTGTGTATTAACCTCGACTTGCAACTTTTCGATAACTGACTAGGCGGAACAGCAAGTTCTTCACAGTACACGCAGACCCTCGCCGCGCAGTCCCACAAAATGCTCGGGTCTCTTCCATACCACGCACGAAGGTGGAACCCTCTTCCTCCACGACCGGGAGAAAGTCGTCTCCGGCGCGCTGCTCAAGGACTACCCGTGCACGGTCGCGTACCCCGCCTTCTTCAGCGACGTCGAGAATGAGGTCACACCCCTCCTCTCCGGACACCGAGTCAACATCACCTACAACCTCCGATCTCCCGCGCCCCGGCGTATGCGGACGCCGACGCGGTCGCGGTCGCGCTGGGGGTGATGATCGACGACCCGAAGTTTTCCCAATGGTGGGACGCTCGGCTTCACCCTCCGCCACATGTATCTGTTTTTGCTTATTCGCCCTCGGGTCCTCTGGTACGTCCCTGGCTATCTCGATCCTCGAAGGTTCCTCTTCGTCATTGAACCAAATCTCGTCATCCACGCTATCAGCCATGGCCACCATCTCAAACCCGGCGAGATGTGTGTGGGAGGCTGGGACGATCGCGCCCGGTCGCGCGACGACAAAGTTGGAATCGAGGTGCGCCTCACTTCACGCTTATGCCGGCCCGGGTTCTCTCTCATCTCGCGGTGGCCCACTCTCTCGGGCATGGCATCATGCTACATCAAGCCTCACACCTCACACCGGCTCCTCCTGAGGATCACGCGACCAGTACGTGCAGAAAGCAAGACTCACGCCACCGACTGGTTTGCCGCACACTGCGAGAGGAGACAAGTCCTGCAGGCGATCTGACCCGGTTAGACGGACCGGAGCGCGGGCACGAGCATCGCGTTGTGGGCGCAATCGAGTAGTACTTATCGCGGCGGGCGGAGTTCGGTGGTTCGGCGCGCATGTGGTCCGTACGTCTCTCCTCACGCTTGTCGCCCTGCGATAGCGGATCCTTTGCCCCTGAGTTCAACCCATGACCTCCAGGGCCCGGAAGTCGGAGCAATATATGTGGTGCGTTGGGGATGAGCTAACCTGCGTCTTCCTCAGAAGCCCCGCGGCGCCACGATGACATCGCCTTGATCACACAAGGTCCAAACTCCATCGAACAAACGTTCTGCGAGGACTCCTCATGGGCACATAGAGCTTTCGGGCGCTGCAAAAGACTATGCTGGGATGAGCAGCGCATCGGCCGGAGTTTCGCCCCGGCTCTTTGTGGGTCCACTGAAAGCGTTCTCTGCGTCCCAGAAGCATTCAACGTGTGCTCCCGTCACGGTCCCGGTGCGTGCGGGGCTTCCTTCGTCGGTGGCCGGAAAGGTTTTCGCTCATATACGTCGTTTGATCAGATATCATCCGCCCCGCCTGCAGCTTCTGCCCCGAGCCCCCCTCATCAACGCCGGCACGAGCACCTGTACGATCATGGCGAGCGATCCGTCTCCTACCCTAGTCTTGAACGTGACGGTGAACGTGTACGCGTTCGACACCGTCCTCGGCTACGTCACGCAAATGGAGCCGGCCGGGGACATCATCACCACCGCGACGTTGTGTCTTTTGCTCGGTGCGTTCCCTGCCGTGGTGCGCAATGCCGCATGCTCATCATACCTTCCTATACGCAGGAATACTGACAGTCTTGGCCTCTGCGGCACTCTATCTCCTGATGCAAGTGTCTGTCTACCCCTCGGGTACTACGGCGTACTGACGAGCTTCGTAGTCAAAAGGGTGTCGGCCGACTGGAGATAAAGATGCTCATTGCGTCCGTCACGACTTTGTATGCGTGCGCGTGGGCATACTGCGCCCTCACCGCGGCACGATATATCATCGACCGCAACATCATAGCCGCGTTCGCACGGAAGGTGTTCTCCACGGATAACACCCTCGTCACTGTTGAGTCCAGTGTTGTCTCAATCAAAAGGATCGACTTCGCAAGCACGATGATGTTCACTATCGCTGTACGTCGCGTGTCCTCAGATGGGGTTTTGTCCAAATTGACTGTCAGGCTGCGTAGATGATCATCAGCGATGCGGTCGTCTGGTGGCGTGCATGTGCAGTCTGGCCGGGGAATCGCATCGTCCTCGCACTCTGCGTCGTCTCCATTCTGGCTAGTTGTGGTCAGTCAGATCGGCGCGTGTTCATTGATATCTTGTCTGATCTCACCTTGGTAGCGATGGGACTTGCGTCTGTGGCTGTGTCTACACTCGTTCAAGACCAGGTGTTGTACTTCTTCGGAAACAACTACGGCACGGCCGCGGTCACTCTGTCCCTCGGGACGAACGTTGTTGCGACTTCGCTTATCGGATACAAAGCCTGGTCAGAATGTCTTATTAGTGCGTTTCTTTCAGCGCTAACGGAAAGAGAATCTTAAGGAAACATTGGCGCGCACTTCGCACACACCTTCGTGACGGCAAGTCGGCGCGGCGCGTCCTCAGAATCTTGGCGCTTCTCGTTGAGTCGGGAGCTGCCTACTCCATTCTCCTGGTACGACTCCGTGTCCTTCATTCGCCCCGACGCTCACCTAGTTCTTAGCTATTGATCTCGGTATGGCAAGGACATCAGTCGATGGTACAGGCGGGCAAGGCGACATACGCCCACTGGCCGTTATGGCTCGCGCTCGACTACCTCTTGACTGGCTGCCTGGCCCCCCTGATCGTATGTCACCCACCCCGGCGCAGTTGCGGATCGTCGCCACTGACACACTCCCGCAGGCGACGTACCCGATCCTCATCGTTGTCCTCGTCTCGCTCGACCTGTCGCTCCAGCACGGGCTCAATGCCACTCAGCCCCAACACAAGCTCGAGCACACCCCGTACTCGTCTCTCTCGCGCACGCCCCGGTCTCCGCCGCTGTTGCCTACGCTCGCGTCGAGCGACTTCGGAACGCTCAGAAGGGACTCGCTCATGAAGTTCGCGCAGGAGGAGATGGAGAACGTCGATGTGATCTGGATCAGGCGGCGATCCCACGAGGGAGACGGCCACGATGGCGGCGATGGCACCGTCGAGCACGAGGCGAGGGAAGTTTGAAAGGTGTGGTTGGTGTGTCGATATGCGCTTCAAGACCTTTGGACGCATGCATTTTATGTTGCGGGGCCGCTCGATCACGTCGTTCCAGAGGAGAGTAATAGAAATGATTGCGATTTTCTTCCCTCCGGAAAGACTGGGTGTTGGTGCGGCACCACTGTAGAGGTGAGTCGCCTAAGGCCATAGGTCTCGGAGGGGAAGTCGTGCGTCATCGTGCCGGCGAACGCCTGGAACTTTGGACGCTGTCTTTCTCTCCTCTAACCCTTACCCCAGTGCTTTGTAGAGCCCTGCGACCCCGCTTCTCCCTTCTTCATCTACCAGTATCAAGTTTCACGATCTGGCTACCCTCTATGAGTCTATAAAGCGCTGCAGGAGTCTTACAGACAACTGTGTTTCGGTGGTCTTCATTCCCTTTTCTCTTGGGATTCGAATTTTCCGTTGTAACCAAGGAGGGCCGATGACGTGACCACTTTCAGGAAGATAGACGGGAATAGATGAAAAATAGCTCCATGAGCGAGAGCGTATCGTCGAGAGCGAGCCGAAGCGGCTGACGAGAGCGTAGGTAGAGTCATTCATCGAGGCCTAGAAAGAAGGAAAATGTTTAGTTTGCCCCCTCCACCCCCTCCGTGGCGGCTCGTCGGGCCAGTGGTCATCGCACTCAATCCTCACCAATATCTGAAGTACGCGGTGCTTCTCAATATCCCGCAGGCGTTCGCCTGGATCTCCGCTTCGAAGTTGATCTTGCACACTGCACGCTTTGAGACAACATGCTACGTACCACTGCGGGATGCCGGCGAACTTCCTTGAGGGCGGGTCTTCGTGAAAGCAAGCGGGCGATGCATAGCAGAGAGACGAGATGGAGTACAAATGCCACCACGGAGGCGTTGCAAACTAGTAAAGTAAGCATGTGAGACGAACAGTCCAAACGGGCACACCAACCACGGCGCCCGGAACAACCCAAACAAAACTGAGAGCGGGGAAAGTGGAAGGACATAAATCGTGAAGACTGAATCGGAAGAGGGTCGCACGGCGAACGAAAGCGAAACAACAACCGCGGAAACAACAGCGCCCACCGCGCGCGTGGGCGTAATCACACCTGCAAAAAGTCCGTCGCGAGCGAGTCCGCGTCCCCACGGTGCCCCTTGGGCCGCTGCGGCGTCCACGAGATCGGGCTGCCGCTCAGTAGCGGCCGTGCCCCCGTAGGCGTCGCTCGCCCGCTTTGGTCGAACGAGTACGAAGTTGGGACCATGCTCCGCATTTCCACGCCCGACCCCCGCTTGCCCGCGTTCGCCGTCGCGGTGCTCCCGACATGCGAGTACACGGAGAGCGAGCCGGCGTGCGATGGGGAGCGCGCGCGCCCGGCGGCGCTCGTGGATGAGAGCGGCGAGACCACGGCGGCGAACATGTCAAAAACCCCGGGCGATTTTGAGCTGGGAGAGTGCAGGGAGGACGAGCTCTTGCCGGAGCTGGGCCCGGAGCCGGGCGAGATTAATGTGGCGGTCGCGGCTGTTGATGTGGCGGGGGCGTAGCCGGGATTGACGGAGGACTGGCCATAGCGGAAGGCGCGCTCGCGCTCTCGGCGGCGGTTGTAGGCGCGGCGGAGGAGGAGGTAAGCGACGAGGGCGAGAAGGAATAAGCCGATGAGCGCGCCGAAGGTGATGGCGAGCACCAACGGGAGTTTGGAGGATGGCGAGCGGGCCGCAACGGACGAGTTCCTATGCGGAACGTTGTGAGAACAAGCCCCGGCGGACAGTAGAGGTGGACGTACGGGTTTGCAGAGCCTGTGCGCGCGCCAGAGTTGGATGAACTGGAAAAGACATGAGGTCAGCGGCGGTTGTGCACCCGACGGGGCCGAAATGAATGAAGGAACATTGAGATCGCAGTGGCTAGTTCCGTAAGAGCAGGACCTGTGCGGCGATGCCGTACGCAGAAGAAACCAAGTGTGCGAGAAGAGCGTGATGGAGCAGAACAACGGACCACAACCCTCTCTAGCACGTATGCGGTTGATCCCACGGCGCAGCCGTACCACGCACGCTGCATGGGGGCCGCCACGAGCGCAGACTGTCACGGGGTGCTTGGTGCATGCAAGGGGTGGGATAGAGAGGGAACAAGGGGAAGGACGCACTCTGTCTCTGAAATCCAGGGCGGGGCCGAGGACGCGGTGCCTATCGTGGCCGTGGTGGTGCTGTTCCCAGGGCGCAAATGCAGCCGAGAGCACACGTAGACAACATGGAGTGTGTGAGCGTGCAAGAAAGGCTACGATAGATGGACATAACGCACCCCGCGGAAGAGGAGAACGTGATATAGTCGAGGTCAAACCACTTTCCCTGGCTGTTGTCACCAGAGATGATGGCGGTGATCTTGACAAGGTGTGTCGCGGCCGAGGTGGTGGAGAAGGTGTGCGCAAAGAGTTCCTCGCGGAACACGGTCTCGTCCGCGGAGGCGTCGAGGTTGACAACCGTCTCGTCGAATTGGACCGAGAACTTTGCCTATCGGGGCAGTCAGCGCAGAGCCCATCCGCTATAGAGGGTGCTTTGCGCATTGAATGTGAGGAGGACGTACATGTTGGGGGCCCTTGGAACCAAAGAGCGCAAACCCAAGCCCGCTGAACTGAATGGAGACTGAGGCGCCGTTTGCGGTGGCGACGTGGTACGTCTCCTCGAAGAACTGGTCGAGGTCCGGGTCGGTGGGCGACTGGACGGCCCAGCCGGTGGACGAGTACGCGAAGGAGGGGTCCGCGTCGTCGAGCGTGAAGTTCATAAGCTACGAGCGTGGCAGGGGCTACGGGAGAGAGCTGGGAGTGTGAAGATGCCTTGGACGGGGAGACAGAAGGTCGGGGGCGCTGTGCAGTTTGGTTCTTCGGATGATGATGATGGAATGGGATCGATTCAGCAGCAAAGCTGAAGGTTGCGCATGGAGACGGGGGCCGGTAAGGAGAGGCGGCGAGTTGGGGCGGTAAGGAGAGGACTGCACCCTTGCAGGGTCGGGAGGAGGAGGGAGGGCGGGGGGCGGAGGAGAGGAGGAGGGGAGGGTGGAGGACGCGGAAGAGTCGCGCGTTGGCGCGCGCAGAGGCGGGCTCGCAGTCTGTGATCAGGAACGCAGCTGGCGTCGGCAGTGGAGACTCCCACTTGCAGATCCCCCATCTCTGATCTACTCGTACCCGTCCATGTCTGGCGGTGGCCTCCGTAGGGCGTTCGGTGCTCGTCGTCGTTGTTGTCGTCGTCGCAATACAAAGTTCCGGGCCTGGTTCAGCAGGAGTCGAAACCGAAGCTGACGACCGGGCTCGGAGAGAGTGAGGAGGAGGATGAGGACGTGCGAAGGATGTCTGCGCCCGGTTCCTGGCCCTCGCGGCTCGCCCATGCACGAGCGCTGGGCGCGGGTCTACCGGTCCGTGAGAAATCTGATGCGCCGCGCCCCCAGCACCGCCAGGAGAGTTCTGGCAGACCTGCCGTCACTCGGTCGGCCAGCTTGTGGACGGGGCGGGGATGTGTGGACAGCAAAAGACGCCTTCAAACTACTTGTCGAAAGCGTTCGCAAGCAGGTGGAGATGAGATGAGTTTGCGAGTCTAGTGGGTGGGTGAGACGCGAGTTCAAAAATACAGAACGCCCCATTACAGCACCCCGGCGTTTCTCGTAGACCACGGCGCGAAGAGAGGTGTGTGTGCCTAGCAAGCATCACCGATAGGGAGACCTTTGTAGAGACAAGAGATCCACGGATGTATTCATACGCACGCCGTGATTGCGGTGCGCGAGAAGTCATGCCTTGTAATTACGCGCAACGTCCACCGCCAACGTACACGACTGGCAGAGTGACCTTTGTCGTATCTTCCCTCTGACGACGCGAACATGCTGGCACAACACCGTCCTGAGACCGCAAAGAACACAGTGCAACGTGGGGCGCGCGAGTGCGGCAGTGTTTGAATACGACAAAGGATAGAGAATCGATAACGTACATCCGTATGCGAACCAGCCAGAAACAACAATCATCCCCTTTTGCGATAACTTCCAGCCGGGCCAGGCCAGCGATGGACTACGACGGCCCTCCCGCTGCAGCCGGTGCAACCTTGTCGACCTTGTTCTCGATCTGCAGCAGCGCACACAGCGCCGCAGTCTGCGGGTTCGGGTAGTGCGGCGCTGGGAGCCCCCAAGACGACGTCAGCTTCATTTCTCATCCCCACCGACACACCACGTTCGGACGACGGAGGTGAAGGCACTTACGCTGCACCCTCGCCTGCGCGCCCTCGCTCCCCGGGCCCGGCGCGGTCCGCACGAACTGCTGCACATCCTCGACTCTGAGCGACCCGTCCGGCTTGCCCGCGAGGACGTGCTCGTGCACCCACGCGAGCTCGTGCGCGACCGCGGCGCGCGCCCCGGCCTCGTCGGGGTACTGCGCCTGTGCGCGCGTGAGGGACATGTGCGCGTTGAAGGCGCGGAGGATCGCGAGCCACTCAGGGTCAAAGGCGAGCGTGGGCGGGCCGGCGGGTGCGTCGACGTCGACAACCTGCGGTTGGGGACGAGCGAGGTGAGCGGGGCGAGGGAGGGAAGGGGAAGAGAAAGGGGACGCGAACCTCGAGGAACTGCCGTCGCGGGAGGCACTTGTCCAGCGCGAGGAACTGGGTGACGGTCGGCGCCGGCGGGGGTGGCGGCGGAGCCTCGACCTCCTCTTCCTCGTCTTCGAGTGTGATCTCGTCCGGGTTTACTCGTGTAGTGTCCTCTGTCGGAGGCGGCGGGTCTCTTGGAGCTGGCACGGCCTGTGCCTCGACATCGTCATCGTCATCGTCGACGTTGATCTCATCCGGGTTCGTCTTCTCCGCGCTCTTCTCCACGGGTGCCTGCCCATGTCCGTCCGCAGGCCCACCCCCGCCGGTGTGCACCACCGCGGCCTCGAAGCGGCAGTGGAGGTGCGCGGAGAACCACCAGTGCGGGCGAAGGGTGCGGAGGAGGCCCATCATCGGCGGCGAGCCGAGCGCGCCCTTTTCGATGTCGTCGCGGAAGTACGGCTTCCGGCGGAGGAGGCCGCGCGTGTCGCCGTGGTGCTCGATCCCCTGCGGCCAGTCGTGCGATAGGAAGACGGTGGGTGATGTGAGCTGTTGCGAGAGCGGGCGGGTGGGTATACATGCGAGAGCGGGCAAGAGGGCGACGTACGAGGGAGAGGCGGAGGACATTGAACTGGCGGATGTGGTATAAGCTCCGCATTGAGCCGTGGGTGTACGGGAGGCGCTCCGAGTACCCTGAAGAGGTGTATAGAAGGAAACACGATGAGGACTTGTTGTAAGTACGCACCTTGGTGGAAGTCCTGGGACTTGAAGATGCCCGACGCCCCTGCAATGCGCACCCCATTTACTTGGACACACCCCGCATGCCCAAGAAAGTAGATTTTCGGGGCGAGCCATCCACCGTGGTACCTTCCCCAAACGCCCATTGAGGGGAACCCGCAAAGCGGACAAGAAAGAGGACTCACAGCTCCCAGAAGTAGTTCGACGCCTCATGGTTTCCTCCAATGACCACCGTCAAGATCGGCGCGGCCGCCTCCCCGGAGTAGTACCTGCGGCGCCCGGATCAGTACCTTCCACGCTTGAGTTTGGGAGAGAGAGGAGGGTGGGCCCACCTACTTGGCGAAACCGCCGAGCTGCTTGTACTTGTCCGGCACGGCCATGCACTGGAGGTCGCGCAGGTTGCGGACCGCCTGGAAGTCACCGCATACGAGGAGGAGGTCGACCTTGTACCCGTTTTCCTGCTCGAGCGCGGCTATGCGGGCGTAGATAGCGTCGAGCTCGCCGTGGCAGCAGCCCTCGATTGCGATCTGGAGGACGCGGACTTGAGCGGGAGAGGTTCAATGCCCGAGCGAAGAACGGACCTTCATCGTTATCGCGGTGCGCGTGCGCGGTCGATATATGCGCTCTGAATGGGTCGGATGTCGGCAACGGTGCGCCTGTGAGTTGGATGCGAAGGGCTGCGATGGGCTGGTGGAGGGCGGAGAGAAAGAGGCGCGCGGAGGGGCGTGGACCAGGACTGGCGGAGGGCATGTTTTGTGGGCGTCTCTGCCCTTGCCCTCCTCCTCTTCCTGCCCAAAATTTATACACGCCCGGCCAGGTCTCAGACGGGATGCTGCGCACGATGTGAGTGCGGATTGGGCGTGTCTAAAGCGACAACTGACATGTGCTCGAGGTAGAAAACCAAAAAATGCACGCTCGAAACGAGCTCTGCAGGCCCGTGAGCCGAAGGAAGTCGAGGACCCACGGACGGTCATCTTCGTCAAGGGCACTCACGCCGGCGAGAAGGTGAACGCGGCCATGAAGGAGCTCGTCCGTACCCCTCTCTATATGCGCGCGATCGTTTTCTAAACACGGGGCGTGGATGGGCAGATGGCGCTGAAGCGGCCGCACGCGATCTCGTTCTCGAAGAAAAATGCGGTTCGACCGTTCGAAGACGCAGCGTCGCTCGAGTTCTGGAGCCAGAAGAACGACGCAAGCATGTTCGTGGTCGGGCAGAGCACGAAGAAGCGGCCGGACGGGCTCACGTTCGTGCGGATGTTCGACCATCGGGTGCTGGACATGTGCGAGGTCGGGGTCGAGGGCTGGAAGAGCATGAACGAGTTCAAGGTGCGCATCTCCTCTCGTCTTACATTCGCGCTCCAACAACCGGCGCAGACATCAAAAGCAACGCCGGGTCACAAGCCTCTGCTGCACTTCGCGTCGGAGCTTTTCGACACCCACCCCCGGTTCGTGCAGCTCAAGTCGATGCTCATGGACTTTTTCAACGGCGAGGTTGTCGACGGCCTGCATCTCGCCGGTATCGAACACGTCGTCAGTATCTCCCTCGGCCCCACGCCGCCCGGGCTGAACGCGGCGACGACCACCTTGCAGGCGTCCTCGTCGACCGCGCCTGCGCCTGAGACGCTGCCGAAGGTGCACATCCGGGCTTACACGATTCGGCTGCTCGCGTCTGGGACGCGGGTGCCGCGGGTGGAGCTGACACCGATGGGCCCGTCGCTGGACCTGACGCTGCGGCGGCACAAGGAGGCGGACGGGGAGCTGCTGAAGCAGGCGCTGCGGCGGCCGAAGCTGCAGAAGCAGGCGGTGGAGAAGGGGCTGGGCAAGAAGCGGAAGAACATCGAGGTGGATGAGATGGGCGACCTCCGCGGCCGGATCCACGTCGGGAAGCAGGACCTGGGCAAGCTGCAGACGCGAAAGATGAAGGGCCTAAAACCGGAGCGGGATGCGATGCTCGTCGACGACGAGGACGACGGCGGGGAGTTGGACGGGTCTGGGAGCGATGGCGACGGTGCGGGTGGGGGAGCGCGGCAACGGAAGCGTGTGCGGGCGGCGTAGGCGGCACACGAGGCAGGCGGGCGGGCGGGCAGCGGGCGGCGGGGCGGGCAGCGGGCGGCGGGGCGGGCAGGGGCGGGCAGGGGCAGGGACGGCGGGGTTTAGCTTACGTAAGGATGTATCAGCTGAACGGAAGATGTTTCGCTGTCGGTGTTCGTGACCGCGCCCCCGACGACGGCCTCGGTCTGCTCTCTGCAGAGGACGTCCATCTCACTTTCCGTCCCTCTCTCCCCGCCGCGCCCACTCCCCTCGTCGCGCCGCCAGCCGCTGACAGAACCCCCTTGTCGCCCACACGGCCTCCCCCACGCTCGTTTTCCCAGCCCACGATGAGCACGTCCACCAGCACTATTCCCTTGGACACGTACGCATGCTCATTCTGCTCCAGGTTTCCTCACCTCACTCCTTCCACCCCCCCTCGACAGCACGTCGTCTACCACCACGTGAGTCTCTTCTTCCAAATCTCATCTCCACCCGGCGCCGACTGTTCCCCAGCATAGACACGAGTACCACACTTAACACGGAGACCACCACCACGGGCACAACGTCCACGGCCACAACCTCCTCGACCACAAGCCCCGCGACGACGACGACGACGGCGACGACGGCGACGACCGGGACCGATACCACGGCGACTACAGGCACCACAGGCACCACCACCGCCACCACCACATCCTCCTCTACCACATCGACGCTCCCCACCACCACTACCTCCTTGTCTACCATCACCTCCGCGTCTTTGGCTACAACCACCAACAGCAATGGCCAAGTCGTCACTCAAACTGTTGTCACGACCTTCACCAGTTCCTCGACGGGGACCAGTCCCACCCAGAGCTCGGCCGATTCTCACAGCAACTCCAAAGGGTACGTCGCCGCCGTCTCGTCGCCTCTCCCGCGTTTTCGCCGTCTTTCTTCCCCTTCAATCCCTCCGCATCCCATTATGATGTTTTTGCGTCCACGTGCCGACAGGCCATGCGATCGTGCTCTCGTCCCAATCTGTCGCTCTCCCACCAGCTGCTTCCGTGCGTATTGCGAGCGAGCGAGCCAAGTACTCGTCTACGGCCGCTTCCTTGTCTCGCTCTTTCACTTTGTATTGTTTCTCGGCGGGCGGGCCGGTTTCCCTAGTTTCAGGCTGGGTTTCCCGCTGTTTTCCTTGCGCTGCAGCCACATTGTCGACTGCTCCTGATCGTCTTTCATCTTCATCTGGCATCCTGCATTCCGGCTAGGCACAGAACGGTGGAATCTTTGTTCATCAATCGCCGTATGGACCAGGAGTCTGTGTTCTCATGCACGCTCGCCCTGGCCGCCCCCTTCTCGGCATCTCGCCTGACCTGCGAAGTCCTTTCGCTATCGTTCACACGTCGTCTCCCTGCGCTCCGCCTTGGTTACAACCCTGCTAAAGTGGCCCTACAGCTTCTTCAGCAACACTGGCGCGGTCGCCGGTGTTTTCACCGTCGTCGGTCTCGTCGCGCTCATCATCCTCATTGCATTCGCCACCAATGCCGTCCGTCGCCGTCGCGCGAAGAAGCTCGACCGCGAGATCGCAGAGGCCGCAGCCGAGGCAGCTCACGCCCCTGGCTTCAACGACGATGACTACTACCCCGACGACCGCCGCCCGCCCCCGGCGGAGATGCGCTCCATGACCACCGGGTACTCGGACACCACCCACGGCACGTACGCTCAGCCTCCGATGAGCTACTCGGGCGAGAGCTACAATATGGCCGACATGTCCCAGTACGATTACGGCCCTGCAGCCTCCGCCGCTGGCGTGGGCGCGGCGGGCGCGGCGGGCATTGGCGCCATGGGCCTCAACCGCGCGAAAAGCACCACGCAGCCATACAACGCTTTTGCGGGCCCGAACCCCTACGAGGACCCGAACGGACCCGCGGCGTACGCAAACGCAGCCCCAGGCTTCCGTGGTCAAGGCGGCAACGGGACTGATCTCGACATCCTCCACGCTGCCGGACTTGGCGGAGGTGCCGCCGCGGGCTACGCCGCCGCACACCAGCAGTACGGCCAGAGCGCCCACGGCGGCGCACTTGGACGCAACCCCAGCCTCGGGCCCTCGCAGGCGACATCGTCTTCCGAGTACTCGCAGCCATTGTACAACCCATACGGTCCCGCGTCGCCCCCGCCGCAAGCGAACGTGAACGCGAACTACAACCCGTTCGCGAACCCGCAGGGATACCCGACCCCGTCCGCGTCGCCGCCAACGAGCTACCCCCACGCCCCGTCGTCTCCGCCCACTGACGATCCCTACGGCGGTTATGAAGATGCCAGCCCGCCGACACACGCGCACGACAAGGCGCCGTCGCCTCAGCCTGAGCGGCTGCTTGGTGGGAACTTTGCTAGTCCACCTGCGAGCTCGGAGGGCCACGGATATGTGGAGGATGACGATAGATATGAGCCGAGGAGGGTGCTGAAGGTGCGTTCCCTGCGACCCACTGCTCTAACTTTGTGCTGACGACAACTCTGCAGGTCGCGAATGAGTGAACACCTCGTTCTCGCCTCAAATCTGGATGATGCTCGTACCACTGTAACGCGCCTCCGCTTCTCCCCGCACCCTCGCGCCCGAGTCCGCACCGCAGCGCACGCATCCATCCGTCCTGTCGTTGACTCGTCCCCCCGCTGTTCGCTTACTACTACTATTTATACCCGCCTACGCACGCCGCTACGGCCGCCACCCTGTAATCCTACCCTCTGCCACGACGAGCCATGCGGCGTGAGCAGGGAACGCAGGACGGACGTGTGGGGCGGGCATTTGCGACACTTAGCTTATCAATACGTATCACCCCACCGTCCTTCCGATCCCTCTCCCCCACCTACCTGCCGTCTCCCGCCTCCCACATTCTGACCCGTGAACTGACCTGTCGCCGTCACCACCGCTTCGCTCGATGTAGCTGTACATCCCTCAACCATGTACATGTATTCGAGCCCTGTCCCGTGTCCCGTCCCCACCTGCCCGCGTCTCATTCGCACGCGGCACTCGTGCACGACGGCTCCCACACGTGCTGACTTCCGTGGTCGTGCGGGCGGGATAGAGAGGGGGTTTTTCTAGGGGTATGAGGGTAAGAACTAGAGGAGGGATAGAACTAGCGCCCATCTGCACAGTGCGCGAACCATCGCGCACATGCACGGTGGTGCTTTGAACAGCATAGTTGCCATGTGCGCGATGGTTCGCGCACATCTGTAGACAGTGTCTGCGATCCATCGCGCACATGGAGCATAGTTGTAATGTGCGCGAACCATCGCGCACATGGTGGAATGTAGGGTGTAATGTGCACGATGGTTCGCGCACATGATGAAGTGTGGTTGTAATGTGCGCGAACCATCGCACACATGTAACATGGGTGTTTGCACAGCATAGTTGTCATCTGCACGATGGTTCGCGCACATCATCGTAGACAGTGTCTCACATGTCTGCGATCCATCGCGCACATGATGGACTATAGGGTATAATGTGAGCGATGAATCGCACTGTGTCATGTACGTAATGGGAGCAAGTCCCCCAGCAAGAGGGATCTTTTATACAAATTCCTCACAGGTAGATGCAAGCCAGTATGGCTTAGTCGCTTAGGTGGCTGGGTGTCTCTGTTGTGATCGATGGTTCGAATCCTAAACACAACACCCGACGTGGGTTGATTCCATACACCACTGCGATTGTTGCCTTGTGTACCAAGGCAACAGTCGCAGTGATGCATGGAATTGGCTCGCGTCACATCGACAATGTCATTTTTCCCCGGTGTGCCTCGCTTCGTGCACATAAGCCAGTATGGCTCGGGGGCTTAGGTCACTTGTTGTCTGTGTTGTGGTGATTCACGGTTTCAATCAATCCCACACACTGCAAGTCCACTCAAATCTCCAGCTCAATGCCAGCTTGGTAGGAAGCAATATATCTATAGGGCTGCATATTTATTAGTCCTCTTCGTCTTCCTCATCTGACCCCTCTTCCATCTCCCAGTCTGGGTCGGAGAGGGAATCGGAGACCACGTGCTCCTCGTCAGTGCCTTCGCCGTCGGAGGACCCCACATCGTCTTCACTCTGCTCCGGAGTGCTGGTGTCGGGTGGCCAGATTGTTCTTCTTGCGAGCCTGACTTCGAGCTCTTGTACCGCTCCGGTGAGCGGGTTGGTGAGTGAGCCTCTACGAAATGCTACGGAAGTGGTTCAGATGTAGACACTGGCTGTGGGCTGTGGTACTCACGGCCGTTCAAAACGCTAGCCTCGGTGACGTTGACGATGCCGTTGCCGAGGATATAGCCTTTGAGATGGACATGTCTGTTTTCGACAAAGATGGAGCGAGTTTCCTGAAAGATGTTAGTCGGTGGGAGAAGAGGAAGGTGAGTAACGGGAGGGGTGACCTCGTTCAAATCAGAGATGTCGAGTAAAATGGGGTCAGGAAAGGGCCAAGATTGGCTGATGGTGGCCGTTTTTGCGACGAGATCGGACTACGGAGAAAATCCGAGTGTGAGGGAATGAGATTATTATAAAATCCTATGAACCGAGAGTACTTACGGCTCTGACTACGCAAGTGACCTCAATGTCGTAGGCGGCGTAATCCAAGAACTGGGAGGCCATGGATGGTCGAGGTATGAAGGAAAGATGGGTGGACTGGTTGGGGAGTGGAGGCCAACTTATGTATACGCAGTGGGGGGCACGGGATTGGCCGTTGAGAAAGAACGGCGATAAAAAGAAATGCGCACGGACCTGGGCATGTCGAGAGGGGATTGGTTGTAAAGACTGGAACATTAGTACTTGACTTAGGAAGTGGACTCAATGTGCGCGATGGATCGCATGCATGAGATTTAATCTGCGCGACGGATCGCGGAGGTGGCTGGTTATGTGCGCGATGGATCGCGGACATGGAGTTCAATGCCCGCGACGGATCGCGGGCATGAAGTTCAATGTGCGCGACGGATCGCGGGCATGGAGTGCAATGTGCGCGACGGATCGCGGACATGGAGTGCAATGTGCGCGACGGATCGCGGACATGGAGTTCAATGTGCGCGACGGATCGCGGACATAAGGTGCTATGTGTTCATCCGTGCACGTGCCAACCAGTGGCTTCTTACGCCCGCGATCCATCGCGCACATGACGAGCTCCATCTTCCGTGTCATGTGGCGCAACATCACGCTTCGGAGATCTTCTCCTTATAGTAATATCATTCGTGAGCATCGTCAGGCAGATCATCGATGGATGCCCCTTAAGTAACCCGTCCGCGGACACGCGTCTCCCTGCCTCTCACCGTCATCCCTGGACACCGAGAAGCACCCCACGATTCGTTTTTTTCACATCTATACTCACAAAACAACGCAAAAATGCCCCCCAAGAAGGTGCGTCTAAAGCTTTCGCTCGATTAGAACATTACGGACTGACGTACGACAGCTTCAGAAGCAGCAAGCGACGGAGTCCCAGGTGAGCGCGGTCCGGAAGGTGATGTTGGTGAGTAGTCATTTTGACGGTCGGGTCTCGCGCATAGGATGGCGCCTCAACAGCGTCGGGAAGTGGGACGAAGAAGAGGACCCCCAAGGAGCCCAAGGAGCCTTCCCAGGCGAAGAAGGTCAAGGCCGAGGTCGAGGTCGCAGTCGCCGGTCGGATGTTGGAGCTCTCGAAGAAGCCGAGCACGTCCGTCGTGGCCACCAGGAAGACGGGATCCATCCAGACGGACGCAAAACTGGAGTCCGACTCGGCCCAGCAGGCCGAGGCCGACAACGCCTTTCTCGGCTTCGGGCGAGTCGATTTCTGTAGCGACGAGAAGATGCTCTGGACGTCGGGGTCGATGAACAACCGCGCGCTCAACGCCGTTCACGTCGGCAACATCGCAGAGAACCTCGTGCTCGAGGGGGTCCTGGACGACGACCCCACTCGCATGTTGATCTTCGAGATCTACCCGGAGCACCTCGACAAGGACGTTGTGTTGGCGAAGACGGCGGACGACCCCGCCAACTTTCCGCTCGTCAAGCTGAGCGAGCAGGGCAAGAACTTCTCGCATCTCTTACTGGCGGGAAACCATCGTCTGCACGCGCTCCTGGATCGGCAGAAGAAGGACGCGGTGATCCTCAAGGCACAGCTCCATCGCTTGAAGGAGCTGGAGATTTCGGTCGGTCTGACGGAAGAAGGCCAGACGACGCTGCCGCAACTCCCGGACCATGAGCCGATCGCGGACTTGAAGCGGGAGATCGCGGCCACGGAGGACCGGATCGAGCACATGCGGTTCTGGCGGTGCAAGTTTTATCACTCTGGTGAGCAAGGGTGGGTAGCTCGGAGGGCGACTTTGGCTGACGGTGGATGCAGGCAAGCTCACCGATCTGGGGCGTCGTCACCTCGCGCGGAACATCACGCAGCACATCCGCGTTCAGACCGGGTGGGAAGCGTTCAACGCGAACGTCGCGGTGCTGCGGGACGCGGTCATGTCGGGACGGTGACGGCGGAGCCCGGGTCGGGCAAGTTGTGGGAGGAGCAACTCAAGAAGCTCCCGAACAAGCTCGACCACAACAACCAGTACGGGCCGCTGATTCGTGGTCAGGTGTCTGCGAAGTTCTGCCTGGAGCTCGCGCTGTGGCCGTACCTTCAGAACGACGACAACTTGGACCCGAAGGAGCTGAAAAAGTACTTCAAGTCGGCGTCGGAGGCGAGTGGGGTGCTGCCGAACGGACAGGTGCGTTTGGATGGTCGAGCGTAGTCCTCGCGATTGACGGACGTTTTGCAGTTCGTGCTGGAGCTGTTGCACCGGTCGACGTCGCAGCTGAGCTTCCTCGCGTCACCGTCGAACGTGATCGCCGGGAGCAGCGCGCACATCGTTGCGATGGAGTACGTGGACACGTTCGCGGCGTTCCGGAAGGCGACGGAGGACGTGCAGGTGACGCGGAACGGCGGCGAGGAGCAGCCGTACCACAAGATCAAGGAGCACGAGGCCCTGCACGCCGCGCGCGAGAAGTGGGTGAAGCTGTCGAACATGAGCGCGGTCGGGGTAAAGACGCCTCAGCGATGCGTGTTCCCGAACGAGCTGTTCGAGGAGATCGACGAGGTGTTCGTTTCGACGCTGCACCCGTTCATCCTCGCGCGGCACGCGATGGGCTCGATGCAGAGCTCTGGATGGCGTGAGGGCTTGAAGAACTACTGGCGGGGAGTGACCAGGGTGGGGAAGAAGTACTGGCGGCGCGCGTTGGACCGTGCGATGATGGAGGCGGAGGCGGAAAGCGAGGAACAGACGAAAAAGAAGAAGGGCAAGGGTAAGCAGGCGGACACTGACATGGCGACAGGCACGGGAGAGGCGACGCGTGCGACGCTCGCCGTCGCGGCACTGAAGGGGGTGAGGGAGAAGATTGACATACTCCACTACATGCAGATGGCGGGGGCGGAGCTCGCGTTGCCTTTGCCGACGAAGACGTTCATGACGGACGTGTTCAAGTTCGCCGGGAAGATCGAGCAATGCACGAGTCTGGTGAGTCGTGATTATGATTGATATGTCCGCGATGGATCGCGGGGGTGGGATCCTCGTGCACCCACGTATAATAGATATCGCATGTGCGCGACCGATCGCGCACATTCGGAAGCCCAGGGAATGTGCGCGACCGATCGTGCACATGCCATATGCCGGGTCAATGTCCAAGTGCGCGAATGATCGCGCACTTGATCACAGCAAGTGCCATAATCACCCGCCTCGTCCACGTCCTCGGACCAAGTGCGCGAATGATCGCGCACTTGGACATTGACCTGGCATATGGCATGTGCGCGATCGGTCGCGCACATTCAGACCGGACGAGGATGGACCTTGAGCGAAAGCGACTGGTCACACACGTGCATTGGGAATGAGTGCGCGAATCATCGCGCACTTGACTATCGTCACCCCTCGCTGCGCTGCGTGCCAAGTGTCCACTCATGTTGATCACTTGTAGGTGGCTCGCACAATCAATCCCACTCTCGACTATCTCTTGTTCAGGACGGTCGAGAACAGCCACGACCACTTTGGCGAAATCCGTCACTGGGCCACCAACTGCGAGGACCACGAAAGGTGCGAGTGCGTGTGGCAGTTGGTAAGTCGGACGTCCGTATCCACCGTCGACTTCGTTAACGCTGTCTGTCTTAGTTCCTGGTCTGGTTCCTCGACCACGGCGAGCAGCTGTGCGCCCTGGAGGTCATGTGCAAGGCCGGCGATCTCGAGCTCGTCCGCTACATGTCTCGTTCGTCCCTCAAGACGCTGAGCGAAGTCGGCTTAGCTGTCCTTGCTGACCACGGCATCAACGAGTCCCACGCCCCGCTTCAAACCGTCCTGAACCGCAACGAGAGCTTCCGCCAGACCGTCCGCAATCTGTACGCCGCCACCAACACCGCCATCCATGTCGACGCGTCAAGCGGGTCCGGAAAGGGCAAGAAGAAGGACATCGCGAGGCCGACGCTCGACAAAGTCGACGAGCCCATCAGGCGTATCGTCGCCGACCTCAGCATCAGCGACCTGCCCCCGAGCCTCGTCAAACTACTACCTCCTCTCCGCACGACGCCTAAGTGGCGGCACAACTGGTCCCGTCCCTCACAAAACGACAAGCAGACGATGCCGATGGGCATCGCGATGGAGATGGCCCTGTCCTGGGAGGCCATCAAACGCTTCGTCGTGCTGCCCTTCTACTCCCCCCTCGGCAAGGAAGTCTTCTCCAGCTTCGCGCGGTTCTGGGCAACACACTCCACCGCTCGCCACCGTCCCAACCACGTCCTGGTGCCCGGCAAGATCTTGCAGACGTGGTCGTGGTTTGCATTCGAGTGGGAGGACGGGCTGTCGGTACAGGAGAAGGCGACGCCCGAGCTTCAGGACCTCGTCAGGGTGCTCGGCGAATCGGTGGAGGCGTACAAGCTCAACCCGTTGCTGGCGTACTTCCGTGGGGCCCTCGTGAGGCAGCACAACCTCGCCGAGGGCTTCAAGGCCATTCGCGAGCTGACGAAATGCATCGCCTTCCACAAGGACGTCTTTTTGCAAACCGACGAGAAGAATGGCTTCGTCATGAAGCCATCCTATCTGGGCGAGGTCGAAGAGCAGACGGTCGCGCCGATCATCGACTGGCTCCAACAGGTGAGAACGTTTGGTCGAAGGACGAGGCGAACAACTGACGCGACGAACTGCACAGGCCATGATCTGGAACGTCAACCGGCAGAGCGTTCGCCAGTCGGACTACGAGAGCATGTGGGTGTCCCCCAAGGACCGCCCGCACGAGTACGTTGCGCCGACGATCCTCGCATACCCAAAGGCAGCGGACATCTTCGCGTTCTCCAGCCTCGCGGACTACTCGACGAGGTTCAACCGCGAATTCATCGAAGACGGCGATCGTCGAAAACTCAAGGTCGAGCAATACGTCGAGGACAAGCTCCGAGACTTTGACGTCCGGGCGCATCAAAAGGCCCTCGACGCTGAGAAAGCCGCTGTCGTCCTTGCAGCCATGAACGCGGGGACGTCGTCTAGGATGGAGCAAGAGGAGGACGTGCCGCAGTTCGCGAGGCAGGACCAGGACGTGACGATGAAGGAGGTTTCGGACGATGCGACGAAGGGCGGCGGGGCTGAGGACGGGGGACGTGCCGCTGCAGAGGCCCAGTTCCGTAAAGAAGCCGAGGCCAAATTCAAGTACCCGCAGGACCTTCTCGGCATCGGCATGGACGGCGAAAACTTGTCGTACGCGGCCTTCCCTCCTGCCAAGAAGGAGGTGAAGAGGAAGAACAAGGCGGCACACGAGGAGCTGATGCGCAAGCAGCGGTCGCCGAGTCGCCGAGTGCTTCCGTACTTTGGCAGGGCTCCTGACTTTGACACTCACCTCAGCGAAATGCGGGCCAGCTTTGCGGCGCGTGACGAGGACGTTGAAGATGAGGAAGAGGAGGAAGAGGAAAACCTGGCTCGCATCATCGCCCGTGCCGACCAGGACTCGTCGTCCGAGGACGGCTCCGAGCACAGTTCCAAGGTGGGCACGACGTCGGCCCGTGGCCGTGTCGCCCCGCGTGTCAATCCACCCCGTCGCGACGACAACATGGACGTTGTACCGAGTGCCGAAGGGTCCGGGCCTTCAACGACTTCCTCACAAACAACGGACGGCGGGCCCACGTCGACATCTGAAGTGGAGGACATCACAATCTCCAACGCCGGACACGACGCCGATCCGGGTGAGTGGCATTGACCGAGTGCTTTCGGGTGCGCGATGGATCGCGTGCATATGAACCCCTTCGCCTGGGAACTGATGTGCGCGATCCATCGCGTGCATATGAACCCCTACCTCTGTTCCAATGTGCGCGATCCATCGCACGCAATGGGTTCGTCGCCCGAGCCCTCGTCCGCAATGTGCGCGATGGATCGCGGACATATGAACGCCCCGCCAGAGTTCCAATGTGCGCGATCCATCGCACGCATTGATATCCTTGCACGGACTAGTCGTCCGCAATGTGCGCGATGGATCGCGGACATATGAACGCCCCGCCAGAGTTCCAATGTGCGCGATCCATCGCACACATTGCGGACGACTAGTCCGTGCAACGATATCAATGCGTGCGATGGATCGCGCACATTGGAACTCTGGCGGGGCGTTCATATGTCCGCGATCCATCGCGCACTTTCAATCTCTCTATCGTTGTCGCATCAGCGCTGACATCCGCAACATACACAGACGCTGAGGAGGTTACTCCGAAGAGCAAGAAGACTCGCGTTCGCTCTGGTAAACGCCTCGCCGACCAGGTCGACCGTACGCTCATAGCCGTCTTGTCCTTTGCGCCCTTCGTTCATGATCCCTCTTTTTCGCAGTCAATCCCGACGGTTCCCCCAAACGGCCACAGAAGAAGAAGGCTCGACCCAGCCACGATGGCAGCCGCGCCGGAAGCGAGGACGGTCAGGCTTCTTCTGGCAGCCTTTCTCTCTCCGGGCTCTCTGCTTCCCTCCCCGAACCCACTCAGCCCAAGCCGCGGCCCAAGCCGAAGCCTCGCGCCAAGCACAGCATCTCCCGCACCGAGCCAGCCCCTCGAGCCAGTTCTTCGAAGTCAGCCCATCGCGATCGTGGACCCACTGCTTCGAGGACCTCGTCGCGTGTCCAGAGCAAGCCTCCAAGTTCCACCCGCGCGGCCTCCCAAAAGTGGCCTCCGTCCGCCTTCCAGGACGACGACGACGACGACGACGAAGGGAGCGGTCCCGCTCCGAGCGTCGAGGTGTAGATCGGACTGGTTTCCCTCGCCTTCTTCGTCGTCGCCTTTCGTCGTCGTCTTGCTCCTCATCGCCGCCGCCCCATTGCGCTTGTTGTCTCGTTGGCTCCCGTCACGTCTCGCATGTCTCGCCCCTCGCCTCATCTCGCCATCCTCGTGCCGTATGGACACTTGTATATTAATACCCCCTCCGCTCCTCGCTCCTGCTCCCGCTCCCGCTCCCACTCACGCGCACGGACGCCTCTCGTCGTACCTCGTCTCCCTCCCGCCCTCCCCACGTCCTTCGGGATGTTTCATGTATTACCTATCTTTTGGACTCTACCTGTGGACAGTGGCGGCGAACGTACTCACATGCTCCCCCCGACTGCTTTATGATGTTGTATGATTATGTAGTCACTCGCCCTGGTGGTAAAGTGTATGAATAATGTTGATGACACCGTCCGTGTGACCGGCAAGAAGCACTCAAGTGATTGGCTTCCTGAGCACTGCCTCCGCTAACTCAATCAGGTCGGCGCCGAATCTGTCGCAGTACCCAATCAGCGACGCAGAGTCTTGGTGGGTGGCTATTACGTCGGCTATGTCCCCCGTGATGAAATCAAAATTGGTTCAACCAGACTAGCCCTAACCTTCACCCCCTACAACGCTCTCTGTCGCATCTCACTTTTTCACTCTGCCCTCACTCGTGCTCATCACGTTAAACCGCTTCTTTCCCTCTCTCAATTTCACAATGTCAATCTCCGAGGCCATCGAAGACACGGGCTCCTTCGAGCACGCAGACGTCTACAACCGGTAAGCACCGGATTTATTTTATGACGCGTCAAAGGCCCCTCCTCAAATCAACCATTGGGCTAGGAGTGAAGCCGGACTGGAGGGTGCTGGAGTCAGGGCCCTCAAGGATGCCCCCGAGATGTCCAGTGTTCACGCCTCCGGGCAGGGCCTGAGCGACGTGCCACCGACGCTCGAGTCCGACGGTAGCGTGACGCAGGCAGATGTCACTGCGTCTGTGATTCGTCGGTCGTTGATGAAGCACGCGCACGACGCCGAGGAAGAGTTCAAGCTCATTCCTGTCACCCCCATCGCGTTGTCGAAGCTGAAGCATTATTGCGAGAACAACAAGGTCGCCGAAGCGTTGCAGGTCATGCAAGAGAAGCACTACATCGAGGTGGACCCCACAATGTACGTCGGAGCCAGCGACCCGAGCATCGTCGTGGACGTTATAGAGGTGAGTCTCTTTCTGTTATTTGAAGCATGTGGAACACGTCGCTGAGAAGGGCAGACACGGTGGGACGCGGAGATCCGGATACCGCGGGCGGCAGGATTCGGGGTGGTGCTGCCCCATCCAGAGCACGCGAATGAGGCCGCCTTCGGGCAGTGGCGAGTGAACATGCGAGTGAACGAGCCGACGTTCGCGTTCCGTGGCTCTCGTGAGAGCTTCCCATTCGACCCCACTGGACGGCTTGTGTACTTTGGGAAGACAGGGGGAAACGCGGACGTGTTCATCGGATGGATTCCTGAGGCCATCCTAGAGCCGAACCACAAGTGGCCAGAACATGGCAAGCTGCCGACGAGTCCGTCGAGGACGCTGGCTCGAGCGACGCAGGCGATGACGATCCACTTTCTTCGTGAGTGCAGATACCGTGACATCGACTGCACGACGTCGTATCCGGACTTGAACAACGACCGTCTGTTCAAGATGACAAGTAACCTTTTGTGAGTACTCGCTCGGTTCCGTCTCGTTGAATTGAGATCCCGCATGTTAGGGTTAGACTGCTTGGGCGCGACTCATCGTGGAATGAATGTGCGCGACTCATCGCGCACATGTACATCGAGCAGACTTGCATGTCCGCGATGAGTCGCGCATATTCAAGTGGGGTAGCCAGCTTGTACGCAATGAGTCGCGCGTATGCAAGTATGCTCGACGTACATGTGCGCGATGAGTCGCGCACATTCGGATCGCTGAGTATGGGATCTGATATTGTACGCGATGTTAATGTGCGCGACTCATCGCGCACTGCATGGCTCCTAGGTTATGGTGTATTCTCTTTTTCTGCTCTCTGTTGCTAGGTCCCCTCTGAACTCGGCATTATTATTTACAGCAAGGCGACCGGCAACACGCTGTCGATGACTCAGGAAGAGGTCGCCGATTTCAGCCAGGCCATTCGAGACGGTTTTCAGGAATGGTACGACGATGCGCCACAGGAATACAAGGACATTCCCGAGATGCAGCACGCCTTTCCCGGGGCGATCTTCATCCAGTACGGCCAAGACTACCCTTTCGTTGTCAACCCTCGGGAGCATCCGGAAAGGCAGTGGTTACAGCACTACAACGTCGAGGAGTTTTACTCAATGGGCTTCGCCATCACGTCGCATCTTCAGTGAGTGCACAAGTTCCGCGAATGAATAATTCTAATGTTCGATGCTTTCTCCTAGGGCGGGCTTGATTGAAAGTGAAACTCCTCGCAACGTCGACCGGTTGAGGCGAATGAACCTGTACACTACACCTGATCCGCGTACGAGGGAGAAGATCGACGACATCGCTAACTACCCGCTAGTGGACGAGGAGCATGACGAACGGGAGATCCGGGTGTACAACGAGGAGGGCTTTCGGGTGAGGCGTCATGACATCCAAGTGGGGCCTGTCGGCCCTGCGCTGCTCGCGAACGTGAAGACGTCGAAGAAACTTTTCGAAGGTGCGATGGATCGCCTCGTTCATTAATCCCCGGGTGTGCTAAGGTCGGACTCGCGCAGCTCCTGAGCTTAACGTCTTTGAAATGGACGACGAAGACGATCCTATGGAAGGTCTACCGTTCGACTACAAGGCCAGCTACGACGCTTACCCGCTCGGGTTCACCCATTGGTTGGGACAATGGCAATCCGACGGGTTCACGTACGGTCTACGAAGGAAGGTCGAGGAGATCATCGAGAAGGTGTCTGAGGGCGATGAGCCTGCCGTTATCACCGGCCGCTCGCAAGGGTACAACACCGCGATCCACCGTGCCCGGTCCAGCGCGGAGACTCACATGGCGCAGCGTGGTCTCATGACGGCGGTCAGCAGTGGGGCGTGGGCGATTTCGCCAAAGGCGAAGCAATCAGCGCAAGATCTGTTGGACCTCGTCACGATGAGAAGCCCAGGAGAGTGGATAGACAGCCAGCTGGGGAGCACGAACCCGACGTCGTGGCGGTGGGAACAAAACTTTACCGTCGTTTTCTCCCGTCTGAAGATGACTATCGACGACGGCGCCAAGTTGTTCCTACATCTCTTTCGTCGACTGGCCAAGGCGGTCACTCACCCTGTGGCGCTAGATCCGATGGTGGAAAGTCTCGTCGCGATCAAGGACAACGTGAGCACCGTCTTTCTAGCAACTGATGATCGGTCAATGACGTTCTTATCAGAACTGGCCGAAATTGCTCAAGTGGACGACGTTCCCTCTTCGGTGCTGGATCAAGGCAGTATTCGAGGCCCACATTCATCCCCATCTGACGTCGACGCGGCCGAGCCACCCTCATCCCGTCTGGGTGGAGGTGATCGCGATCCTTGATCGTCTGTTCAACTACGCGTATACCGGTGCGGCGAGGGTCCTCTGCGGGGGCGCAATGAAGCAAATATTCGCGACGCCGTCCGTGAAAGACTTTGGATTTCCGATGCTCAACGACGACATCGTGTACGTCAATCGGCGTAAACCAGCGATGGACGTTAAGATGTGGCCAGTCGACAACAAGGGCAGGTGCCCCCTGACGGTCTCTCAAAAAGCGATCCAGTTTGCGTACGGCGTCGAAACTGCTGCGGTGAGTGACATTGCCCAAGCTTTCTGGCATTAGGTCGTGTGCCAACGGTCAAGTGCGCGATGGATCGCGCACTTGACCATGAGCCCTTTGCATGTGTGCGATGGATCGCGCACTTGACCATGAGCCCTTTGCATGTGTGCGATGGATCGCGCACATTTACATCCTTGTCACATGTGCGCGATAGATCGCGCACATGCAACGGGCTCAAGGTCAAGTGCGCGATCTATCGCGCACTTGACCATGTGCCCGTCCTATGGCATCTGCGCGACTGGTCGCGCACATTTGGTCCCAGTCAACGATGAACCTTTTGCGAGTTACTGACACCCCGTTATCCGTCAGTCGTACATGCTTCATTTTCGTGTGATCATGTCCAGCGAACACCCCCACTGGCTCTCCAAGCAGATTCCTGGGGTTTCAAAATTTCCACGGGTCGCCTTCATCGCTGAGCTCATACACGAGGCCTTGGTCGTCGACAATGTCGAGTACGTCTACACGGTGATCGGGAAGCAACTGGACCGGGTCATCTGCGACCCCACTCATCTTCATTATGAGGCCGCGGTGGCGAGGCGCAAATGGCTGAAGGTCTGGCACACCGCACCGATGCCCCTCTCCTACGGTCACGAAGAGATCAACCACGTTGCGCTCATGCGAGTGCTCAGCACCGATGGTGAGGTCAACGCAACTGGACTGCCGGAGGCCGCTTCGCCGATGTGGTCCATGGAACGCTTCGCCATGGAGCTCGTAAAGCAGGCTTCCTCGGAGCACCGCCGCTTCAAAGCCCCTGTCCGCAAGTCCGGTTCTCTCGGTCCCGTCCTCCGTATTGGCGTCCACTACGCGCGTGCCTTGTTGCACAAAGAAGACTTCACCGAAGTCGACAAAATCATTCGCAACATGCTCGTCAAAGTCTTCACCGCCCGACGCCTCTCCTTCATCCCCAACGAGCCCCCTCGGCACAGCACCCTCCCCTGCCCCCAGAACGTCTCCCCTTACGCCTGGACTTACCTCGGTGATTCGCCCACCAAGGAAGAAGAGCGCTCCACTCAGGCCCTGACCCACGAGGAACGTATCACGAGGCACCTGAAGAAGACCAGCCAGCAACGCGCCCTCGAGAATCTGACTTCCCCTTGGGACATGAGGAAGTTGACCCTCATCGACCTCGTCACTGTCCTCGGTCGACGCGTCCCCCCCACAGAGTTCACGCCCGAAACCACCGATATCGGTAAGAACGAGGACACGCGCATTCGACAGGTCTACACCTGGGCGGATGAATACGTCAAGCTCCACTTCCACGAATGGCGCATCCAGCTCGCCTTCATCTGCGCGTTCATCCTCAAGAAGATGACGCCGAAGCTCTTCTGGCCGAAGGACTACAAGAAGCTCAAATTCGGTAGTCACAACTACGGGGACTGGCAGGCCGTCGAGAAGAAGTTCCGCACGCTCGATTGGATCGAAAACGGCAACTCCAAAGGAAACAGGGGGATGGTCACGGAGGGGTTGATCTTCACCCAGGCGATGGTGTCTATCGTCGCTTACATCGTGCCGGACAGCCCTCTGCACAAGTTCATGAAAGAGGACGACAGATGGCACTCCGGGCAATGGACGTTGAGGCACGGTAAGATTCGACCCCCTTGCCTTCGTCGACCTTTCGCTGATGTGTCTCGAAGGCTCGAAGGCGCTTTGTTTCCAGAATTGGATACGACTGGGAATCTTCCAGTGCTCTGGGAATCGGGTTGCGCCGAACAGCTCGCCACGCTGGGGCGAATCGTACTGCGTGCACGACCAGATGGTTAGGTTAGGCAGGAGTAGACGCGCCCGAACGGAGCCGACGAAGGAGGCGGAGTGAGGAGTGCGGCTACGGGTGAAGAGAGTGCTCGAAAGGAGGCAAGATCTGGGGGTTTCCCCTCCAGAGACCTTTCGACTTTATGCAGTCTCATCAGGCCTGTTATTTCGAGTAAGTCAATGATGTACTTATACGGGCGAATCTGAGCAACTTTTATGGCTCTACTGACCGTAATACACGGCTCATGATTCGCTGCTATTCTTGTGTCTCGTAGTCAGCATGTCCGACCGGGGAATGTATACGCCGACCGGGGATTGACTCAGCTATTTCCAATTGATAGATTGGCAATTGGTTATAAATAGCCGCTTCTGGAATGTCCTAGAACATGACGTCAGTGATCACCTGATATGATGTTTAGGTTAGGTTAGGTTAGGTTAGGTTAGGTTAGGTTAGGTTAGGTTAGGTTAGGTTAGGTTAGGTTAGGTTAGGTTAGGTTA